TCGCCATGTAGACGTTATAGACGGAAGGCCTATTAAGTCAGGAAAAATTACCCATATTGTCGATGTCTCGTTAGACATTCATGGTCATCGGGAAACGGCGCCATGTTTTGTAACGAAGTTAGGACACTATCCGATTGTGATGGGGATACCTTGGATGCGACGACATGATGTTACGATTCGACCAAAAGAAAATCTACTTGTTTTTGACTCTCGAAGCTGTTGTCAACACTGTTCACTCAGTGGAACTGCAGTTATTGTTCATGGTATCTCAATCCCCTTACCGGAACACCATACAGTCATCGTTTCAGCAACCGAGAAATCCACTATCGATATCGAACAATTAGTACCGAAAGAATTTCACCATCGTCTTCACATGTTTAAAGAATATGATGCTTCAATTCTCCCACCACATCGACCATCCCATGACATCGAGATAGTATTAGAGGAAGGCAAACGACCACCATATGGACCTATATATGGATTATCTCAAATTGAGTTAAAAGCACTACGAGAATATCTTGATGAAAATTTACCCAAAGGATTTATTCGAGCCAGTGAATCACCAGCGGGAGCACCCATACTGTTTGTGAAGAAAAGCGATGGAACCCTTCGACTTTGTGTTGACTATCGAGGCCTAAATGCGATTACAATCAAAAATCGATATCCATTACCATTGTTGAAAGAAACCCTGGCTAAGTTGTCAAGAGCACAATACTACACTAAGTTGGATTTACGATGGGGATATAATCAAATCAGGATAGCGGAAGGAGATGAATGGAAAACAGCATTCCGGACTCGATATGGACATTTCGAATATACAGTAATGCCGTTTGGATTAGCTAATGCCCCTGCCACATTTCAGCATTGGATCAATGATATTCTACGTCCCTACCTCGATCAATTCGTAACAGCATACTTAGACGATATCCTTATCTATTCCGAGACCCTATCAGAACATAAAGAACATATTCAGAAGGTTCTAAAGGTACTTGATGAAAATCATGTTCACCTTAAACCTGAAAAATGTGAATTTATGGTTCAGGAAACAAAATATCTTGGTTTAATCCTTACTCCAAATGGGAATAGAATGGATCCAAAGAAAGTTATCGATGTTTTGGAATGGACTACACCGACAAACCTTCGTGATGTTCAAGTATTCCTAGGATTTGCAAATTTCTACCGACGGTTTATTTTGGGATATTCGAAAATTGTTGCCCCTCTTACAGCCTTGACAAAGAAAAATGTTAAATTTGAATGGACGGATGAAAGGGAGGAAGCATTTCAGACTTTGAAAAAGATGTTTACAACGGCACCGATACTAGCTCATTTTAATCCAGATCGAAAAATTGTGATAGAAACTGATGCATCCGACTATGTTTCAGCAGGAATCCTATCTCAACGTGACAACGAAGGAATCCTACATCCAGTTGCTTTCTTTTCTAAGAAACACTCTCCCGCAGAATGCAACTACGAAATCTATGACAAAGAACTTTTAGCAATTATACGATGTTTTGAAGAATGGCGACATCATCTGGAGGGAGCTCAATTTCCAATTGAAGTTCTTAGCGACCATCGGAATCTTGAGTATTTTATGACAACAAAATTGTTAAATCGTCGACAAGCCCGTTGGTCCGAATTTCTTTCACGCTTCGATTTCGTTATACAATTTCGGCCAGGAAAACAAGGAACAAAACCAGATGCATTGACTAGGAGGTCAGGTGACCTACCTAAAGAGGGGGATGAACGGTTAACGCATCAGAGTCAAGTGATTCTGAAGCGAAAAAATTTGGATACCAAGCTAAGTTTGTTCGCGGGTTCTTTGTCAAATGAATCCGCTGAAGGAGCGTCCACTGTAGAGGAGTTATTTTCAAAAGCTTACCAAGTGGATAGTTTCCCAAACAAGGTCCTCAATATGCTTCGGAATGGCACACGCCACTCAAACAAAATCTCACTTGCTGAATGTATGGAAGATAACAACGGTCGGCTGATTTATCGAGGCATGCTATATGTACCAGACGACGATGACCTTCGACTAAGGCTTTTAAAAGAATATCATGACAAACCATCTGCAGGACATCCGGGTAGAGCGAAGACTCTGGAGCTCCTAAGTCGAGAATATTACTGGCCACAGATGCGGAAGTTTGTCGATCAGTATATTAGGAATTGCAATGTGTGCACCCGTAGCAAGGCATCACACAATGCACCTTATGGAGTACTTCGCCCCATGCCAATTCCCGATGGACCCTGGACAGATGTCTCGATGGACTTTGTGACTGATCTTCCTGAGAGCGATGGGTATAATGCGATTTTGGTCGTGGTGGATAGACTAACCAAAATGCGGCATCTGATACCAACGACAAAGGAGGCGGACTCACAGGAAGTAGCAAGGCTATATATTGATAACGTCTGGAAGCTACATGGATTACCCGACACTATGGTATCCGATCGAGGAACACAGTTCGTCGCGGAATTCTGGAGGTCTCTTTGTGATCGACTGGAAATCTCGCCAAAGTTCTCTACTGCATTCCACCCCCAAACAGATGGACAGACAGAAAGAATCAATGCCATAATGGAACAATACCTCCGAAGCTATGTTTCCTATCAACAAGACGATTGGGTCCGATGGCTACCGATGGCTGAATTTGCAACCAACAACCACATTTCCGAAACAACAAAAGTTTCCCCCTTTTATGCTAATTCGGGAAGAAATCCTAGGATAACATTTGGGCCTTTGGAACATGGTAGAACGAAGGCGGAAGATCAAGCTAATAGCATTGCGCGAGAAATGAAGAATATCATCGACTTCTTACGGAATGAGATGTTTCGGGCACAAAGAATACAGGAAGAATCAGCCAATAGGAATCGGACCCCAGCTCCTCGATACCATTTAGGAGATAAAGTTTTCCTATCGACCCGTCATATTCTAACAAAACGACCTTCCAAGAAATTCGACTGGAAACGTATTGGACCTTATAACGTTAAGCGCATTGTCAATCCCTATGCCTACGAGTTGGAACTTCCCCGGTCAATGAAAATTCATCCAGTATTTCATGTTTCGCTATTGTCACCCGATGCGAATGATCCTTTACCGGGACAACAACAGTTGCCACCACCTCCGGTTGAAATCGAAGGAGAGGAAGAATGGGAGGTCGAGGATATCTTGGATTCGAGGAAACGAAGAGGAAGATTTGAGTATTTGGTACGATATATGGGATATGATGAAGCCTCCTGGCAACCACTATCGGACCTTGAGCATTCACCTGATATCGTTAAACGATTCCATGAGCGTTATCCAGGGAAGCCTAAGCCTACCAGGAGGTAGGCCTTAGAGGGGGGCGTGGTCTGTAACGGCAGCTACGTATTTCGGCTAGGTGATGAACTGAGATGAGGGAAGGAGGTATCGTGCAGTGGAATTAGGATTTGTAATGGGGATTTCTGTTATGTTCTTTGGGTTTCTGTTACGCGAAGGTATTAGTCATCGTTGGATTATGGATGGATATATAAGGGGGCGTTGTCTTGTGCTTTTGTCTGTTTTCCTTTTTCTCTTTCTTCTTTACGCAACCTCTGTATTTTATTCCACGAATACTATTCTTTGTTCGCACTACGTCATAGGGCTCCAACCGGTTTATCATACCAGGTAGAGCCACCCATAGTCCATAGTCAAAGTATACCTTTACGTCTACGTCCACGTCTACGTCACTACCTAGGTTGTATTCCTTGGCACCACAGTCTATCGCCTATAGTCCCCGTGATAGGGTTGTCCTGGTGGCGAAGAAACGGCGGTGGGCAGATGGTAGGGGCTTCGCCTTCGGGGCGGATCCTGGGGCCGGGGCTACGGCTGCCTTGGCCGTCTTCTTTCTGGGGGGGTTGGGTGGGTTAGGAGTGGATCGAACCACTTGTGCATACAGGGGAGTTGCCCTCGGTTGGGCAGGCTTGGCGGGCGGGGTAGGTCTGTGGGGGGCCTAGGGTGTGGGAGGGGGGAGGCTGGTTCTCCCGATGAGGGTGTCCAGTTTTTGAACGATTAGGGGGTCTGAGGGGATGGGAGCAGCTTTGGGGGCTGCGATTGACTCCCTCAGGGAGGTGATGTCGTCTCCTAGTTTGGAGACTGCTTCGGTGAGCTGTTTGTTTTGATGAATAACTCCTAACAAGAGGAGGGTCATCGTTTGACTGTTTTCGCGGTGGTCTCTGTTTCCGATTGTCCTTTCAACCTCAGCAGAGAGGGTGTGGTTGAGCTCTGGAAGGCCAATGGTCTTGTCGAGCGAGCTAAGGTGGTATGCGGAAGTATCGTCTATCAATGTTTTATATCAGTCTAGCGCATGAAATCGTGATTAAACCCCACCTATTCGTGAGCTGAAATGTTAGGCGTCCTGCCTTTAGTTTCGAAAACAGAAAACCTCGCCTATCGGATAGAACATGCGCGTGATTCTCCAGGTGTGATCCTGCATATATCCTGTTTGAGACCCAGGGGTAGCTGCATGCGCTTATTGAAACAGTTCCATCAACAAATCTGCGCGGCACCCAAGCGCCGAGGTGCTGAGCGAGCACATCATGCACTATCACTCGCGGTTGCTTTGAAAACATAACTATTTGTTGTTATTTGTTGACTCATTAATTGTATGCAGCCCTCTAAGGCTATGACAAAAATATAACTGTTTCGTGACAAGAAGTTATATTTACAGGCTGAAAATAGGAATCTGTATGTAATATGGTAAAGCTTGAAAAAAAGAAACATGAAGAGTAGTGGTGTTTTATGAAAGAACATTGGAAAGAATATTAGTTAAGGGATGTATCCTTGGAATTTTACCATGGAAAAAAATGACATGGTACCAAATGAGTCCTCTCCCACTATGACTGTCCGATATCACGTCTAAAAGATGTATGGATGTGCTGGGGAGCTTTGATGCCAAAGAGTATTGATATATGGGGTGCGGAATTCGACTAATAACCAATCAGCTCAAGCAACTCATATCGAAAGGTCAATTGATACATACCTAGAAGCCCTAATTCGCACTCACCAGCGTATACCGTGACCTCACCGTAGTCCCCAACACCAAACCAAACACCTCCTGCTCCACTGAATCCGCTCCCCCACTCCTGCGTGCAGCATTCAACTCCATCTGCTTGCATAACCACTCGATGTCCCTGCTCGTTCTATCCATATCCTGCCTGACCATGACAATGTACTTCTCGACATTTTGTAAGTCCCTTCTGTAGAGAATTCTCGTGAAGGCCTTCTTGCTCAGGCGCAGCTTCTCGTCCTCAAATGTGTCGACGAGTAGGTCGAAGCGCAGACGGATATGCGTGAGTGAGTTGCGTGATTTTGTCTGGTCTGAGTCCACGGCGCGGAGCTCTGTGAGGAGCGTACTGAGGCCGCGGTGCGTTGACGAGAGCACGCGGTTAGCGGGGAAGAGGCGTATGGGCATTTTCGTTTGGGGTGAGGTATGATGTAGGGTAGTTGTAGAGAGGGAACGCTGGAGATTCTGTGTCTTGGAGGAGGGGGAGGGGAGGTTGGACGTTGAGGTTGGAGACATTGCGGTAGAGGTCAAGATACAGCCCGACTCAATTGTCACGGTGATCTTCTGAACTGGAGGGGGTGAACTGGCAATGCAATGGATGGAGAGGAGAGACGTGGAGACGTGAACGGCGGCCCAATGACGTCCGCTCCACCAATGCCGTAATCAGTAATCAGTGGGAGGGATGAAACCGTTAGCCCCGGGTGAAGCCGCCCGGGCCCAGAGAATCAGAAACGAGCGCAGATGCGCTAGAAAGCCACGCTAGATAACGACGTGTCACTTCCCATATACCCTATTATTCATCATCATCATGGGTGATCACTCGATCGATATCTAAACATAAATTGAATTCGATATTCGATTCTTTCTTACTGAAAGCCAATTCCCCTCCTTGTGGGGTTGCGGTAGACTCTTTGGCTACTGATATCAATAGTGGCTGGCTGTGGCGTAAACACGGGGCCAAAGGTGCGTAACTCTCGCGCCAGTGGGACGAGAGACACTGAAATAGAGTTTGGGCTGAATGGCCCGTGCTTTCCTTGGCGTCTGCTGCATTCCCACAATGCAAATGCATATGTGCGGCACACGGGGAGCTGAGAATGTTGACTTTGGTGGTACTGCTATTTTTAGTGTCGTTGTACTGTGTATCATGGTTGACTCTGGATTTGAGAGTATGAGCAGAATTAACGCCGCGTCATTACATGTAGTATACAGGCCTAGCCGCATCCTCGCTTCTTTACCGTGTACTTAAGTGTACGCGCATATATAAGCTGTGGGAGTAACATAATCCACACCACAAGGGAGAATACTTAAATACATGTATACATATATATACATGTGCGTACATGTACTTACATAAGACGCCCCATAAAATCTACATTAAAGCCGGTGCCGGTTCCGCATACAGCCCAACAGCGAATACATGGTAAAAGTTCCACCGATCTAGCTCTCTGGTAATAATGCAAATTTCATCTGTAGTAAATTGTATAGCCTATATGCATGTAGCTATAACTCTCTATACCGTTTAATTGACTGCAGAGGAGAATATATATATTCAACACCGAGCTCTAGAGTTTTCGTAGCGTATGAGCACTGCCGGACTTTAGAGCTTTATAACACCGGTAGTGTAGTGAATTCAGTTTATACATACATGTACCCGTGGCCACGCCCACAGAAGTAGCACCGACTCCCCCCCCCCCTTCCCCCATGCTCTCAAATCCGCTGATATAGCATATCCGAGTAGCTGCCAAACCGCAAGCAAAGCACGATTGATTGAAAAGTATATAAGCTAGCATTCGACTCTCATTCTCCTCTTCCTCTCCTTAACATTCATCCTAACAATCTACCTCTCAATCAGTATCATCCCACCTAGAGTACTCGGATACTTAGCACTATCAGCCTTCATTTACAACCTGCACGTTCAGAAATCATTTTATCATCGATTTCCATCTTATCATCGATTTCCGTCTAATTTCTCTCATTAGTCTACATATTAAACCTCTCCCTTTGCTTCCCTTCATTACATCAAATCTACTTGCCCTCATTACCTCACATCCATCACTTTACCTACACGTACACAGTACTGCATCACTCACTCACTCACAAAGCATCTACACGAACTACCCCCTCGTATCATACAATGGACCGTTATCTTCCTAATAGAAAGGCCCTAGATGATATCGTTCTAGAGCTAGAAATAGTGGCCGGAGCTCTTAGGAGCTTCAAGACACTTGAAATCACCGACATGGAAGCTCTTAAGGAAGAACGTATCAATCTTTTGATCGTTCGTACGCAAATCATGTCCACGGAACTGAACTTCAGAAGAGAACGCAATAAAATGAATAGGTTTTGGTTTCTCAAGTTGATTTTCGGCAATGAAATCTCTGAAATTTCCCTAAGACTTCTTTCGGCTCGCGCTGAAGCCGAACGAGTCGAAGGATACTTTGAGTCTAAATTCAGGGAAATAAGGGGTAGGATCAGGACTCCTAGCGAGATATTGATGGAAGATGATTAAATGATATATCTTTTTTTATGTCCAACTCAGATGCCTTAGAGGCCTCAGCTAAAGATAAAACTAAACACTCGCGAGAGTAACATTTTCGTTAAATATAAGCTCATGATACCGGCCGGTTAGTCTTCCCACCCCCACTCTCTACTCGTTTGTTTCAAAGAAGCTCACTCATAGATTGCGTATAGGAAACAATCCTGCATACTTCTTTTCTTTAAAAGGTCGCTACTTTATACTGTTTCGATTTTCCTTCCAAATATTTCCTTTCATTTATCCACGGTAGGTACCAATGATCTATCTCTCAAGATTACTTCCATCATAAACTATCACTCGCTAACAAATACCACTTTACAAAGGGCTCTTCCTTTAGGGTACTCGGACTTTAACAAATGGCTTTGAATAACTACCTCAATCGACGGATATAAAGAGCTTGAAAGTGCATGTATTGTACATTCATCTTGCTTCGTTACGTGAGGTGGTATCGAGAAGTGGTGGAACTTTAGTGGCTTGGCATTGTCAATGATCATTGGTGAATGATTTCGGTTGGCAACGGTATATGACGGGTCGGGATGGTATACTTTTTTAGTACTGGAGTTATTTGGGTTTTCTTCTTCTTTCATATATATCCGTATGGATATAGGCTTTTTTTTTCTCAAAGGTATCAAAATGGATACTTGATGGATATATATTATAGCTACAAATTGACACTCCGGCATTGCCGAGTGGGAGAGACTGGACTGGCGTGTTATCATGATTTATATGATAATTTATAGCTTTCAATACACTCACGATTCTGAGCATTCGCCTTTACGAACTATTTTGTGACTCGTACCCGCAACATTTTCTTCCTTCGTAGCAACCGATCACCGTATATACTCGCTCACCGCACGATGCGGCTCCCCGAATGAAAGTTACAACTGCGAGTAAACCTACTGTGGTGCCCCGACTTCTTCATCCGCTAGCCTTAGGCAACGAACATGAAAACAAGCATGCACCTACTCCACGAACGCTACCCGACCAATCTAACTACCACCCAGCGAGCAGCAACCAACGTCGTCACAACGACGTATGCCAATTCACTCACGGCCCCGAAACCTCTACCTTATGCTTCTCTCGTCTAGAACCGCATCTCTCAACATCAACATACACATTAGCCCCAACTAAAAATATCACAGTCCACGCTGCAGCGTGAGGTGAGCGTAAAGACGCCTTGGCCACTTCAACATCAATAGGCGTGAGCTTCAGGCTTTCTTGTGTTGTGTACTGCTATCTGTTTTGTTTCTCTTACTGATCTCAAGCTGCTAGGATTCCGGTGGAGTAACGAACTAGGCGGCGAAAAATGGGTCCCAGCAACGATCACGTCTCATGAAGTTACCGATATATTGAGAATGGTGCACGAGCGTACCTACGTTTGGCGGAGTTCGTTTCAGTCTTGTTGGCTACGAAGCTTCCGGATTGTTACTCGGGCATTAAAATAGATTAAGGCAGTAAAAAATTGTAGTAGTGATGGTGGTGGCTAAGGCTATACTTTGGTAATTCCCCTCTACTTTTTCTGCCCGGACGGGGTTTTGCATGGCTTTAAGTTGTTTGGGGATGAAGGTCAAAAGAGTCCGACTAATACATGAATGTGGTGCAGGAGCCTACCGAGTATCCATCGTGGAATCCACCGTCTTTCTCAAAAGGCGTTGAAACTTAGGTTCGATGTGGGATGATGTAAAGAATTATTTCCCAAATTATTATATCTATTTGGCTCGTTCAGAAAGTGAGCAGGTCTCACCAAGTACGGCGATGGTGAACTGAGTACCCATGTTTGCAAAAGAGCTATTCACCGGAGGGTCACATTGGCAACATTGGAGCAAGTTTGTATGAATCCCTCATGATTTTATATCACCGCCTTAGCTTTTTTCAAGAGACTAATCTCCCTATTAGAAGGTATTAAAAAAAACATGAGGGTTCAGTGGAATCATAAAACATCACTCGCACCACAGAATTCCGAGGACTATTCACCTTACGCCAGAGATAAATGAAGTGGGCACAAATAATCGGTCTGGGTTACACTAGCCGCATATTTCAGGCATGAAATTTGAATTCTGCGAACTCAGGTTATTGGTATATAGTTAGGTAGAGTTCTCACGATCTTGAGCAGCCTTTAGGAGGGAATTTCCATTAATTGTGACAGAACTATCTTATATGGCTAGCAGCTCTCATTATAATTCGGACTGATCGTCTGAGGCACTTCAGGACATCTAATATCACTCGTGCCTCTGTTGATGTGCGGTTGACACAATGACCCTGTAAGACTTGACCCGGGTCCTTGAAAACACATGCACATACGCTTCCGGTGATGGGTAGATATAATCCGGCCAGGTGCTAATAACGACCCTACCTATAGTAAAACCGCATTTAAAACTTCGATCAATCGAGATACAGCAAAACCTACCATAATTCCACCCCCCACGGTGGCCGAATTTTGCTGGAATTATCGGAGGGATGGAATTTAGAGAGAGGTATTTGTTAGCAAACCACAGGTTTTGCTCCCTCCGAACACTGGAAGTTTGGTAGGGATGGGATTTCGAGAGGGTGGAATTATGATAGGTTTCTCTGTATATCTTTTGTGTTATGGGTGAAAGGTGTTGAGTTGAACCTCCTGCGGGACTGCTTGAAGCGGTCAGAGCAGTTTTCCTTGAGACGCCTCTGCCTTTCGAAGGGACGCCCCCTGCTCGAGGTAATCGGCGCCCTCGAAGCGGATATAGTTGTTGATTATAATTGGATGGATGGGAAATGTTATCTTCACTCTAAAGAGTCTATCGAAGGTTACCATCCACAGATAGGGAGAAGATCTATCTTCGATAGGCAGGTATGATAATTACCCGGGCTTGGGCTCATAGTCGAGATATTGAGTAATCATAAGACATCCAACGAAATATATTAATAAATGTATTTACTAATGGTGAACTGTTACCTTAGAAGTCTACTTACACGGGCAAGAGGTCTCACGCTCATTATGTCTCGAACTACCTCAAGGCGATACCTCGAGGGGGTAATACAGGACATACTCACGACAGGCATGAAGTACCCGAATATGCAGCTGCAAGTTTTTGGTGTATTTTTGACTTCTACTCCAATGGAAATTGCAGATTAGGACGTGCATTTTCGGGTACTTGTTACCTGCTGCGAGTACTCGTGGGTTGACTGTATCAACATGCTGCGGATTTGAGTTCTCAGGTATATACGGGATCACATGTGATGTCTAGAAAACCCGTCGGGCCAATGGAGAGAAAGTTCAACCCAACCCACCCTCAAAAAAAGACGGTGTTATGCACTCCACAGGGTATATTCCAAGGTCAATGATCCAAACCTCATCTTCCGGTGTTTCAACCCACAGTAAAAGCTTTTCACTGTGCCTCATCACAGATCTTCCATGATAGAGCGGAATATCGCCTATCGCCTGTTGCACCCTAAGACATTCTCGGGGTACACAAGAAAAGATTGATCTGATTCATTCTTTGATTATGCACTTGCACTTCTATATGCAACCGACACGGTTCAAAAGGAAAAATCGGAGCTGAAATTATCAGTTGCTTTTTCCCCACGTCAAGAACCAGCAAGAACGAGAGGAAGATGTAAATCACAGCTGGAGCGTGGGACTCGTTTCAAGTGGGTAATTGAAAAAAACGGAAGGGCAGGTAGGTAAAGTACATCCCCCCTATGTTGTGGGCAATCATTCCCAACGGAATGTAAATGAGGAAACCCCTATGTATCCCGAATACTCTGAAAAGAACACCCCGTAAATGAATGACACGGACTATTTACTATATTTGTGTTGTAGAGTTGGCCTCCCTAAGGTCCAGCTTTGCGCGGTATGAAATGATTTCTTGTGAAAAATCATGTCTTCCTCACCTCACATCTCACCACTTCTCTCCTTGGATTTACGTTCTGTGCCGCAGTAGTCGACATATATGTCGCAATGGCGCCGGCAGTGCCAGTGGCAGCAGGGCTTCGGTTATCGGCTGTTACAGTTCGGTAAAAGAGACAAAGAAAGCCCCATGTGATTCTTGGGCTTCTCGGGGATCTCGGTCAAGTTTTGTCGCCTTGACCACTCGCAGGTCAGTTCTCTTGCTCTAGCGAGACAAATCCAGGGTTAGGTTTGCGTAAGCTGTGAGACTTCTTTCCCTTGCCAAGTGGAAGGGTTATCGATAACCACTCCACGACATGGGCGGGCCGGGCGCATTTGTTGGGGATCGGCAAGGATCGAGAGTTGGAACGGCCAGTTGCGAACAGGGGTCAAACCTTATCTGCAATCTTTTTCTGGGGTTAGTTATCGTTTAGAGCCGCACCGACAGCCAAGGGTGGAGAAATTTGTGAAGAAACCTTTGTCATAGAGCTGATGAGGGCGTTGGAAGAAAGAAATGTCATCACTGGTGAGCATAAGCATCTAGAGAAGTTGCGATCTGGTCACTTGGATCCCATCGCCTTTTCATCATCCTTCAAACGAAGTAGGATTTGCTTAACAGCCCTCAATTAAGTCAGTTAAACTCGCAGAAGTGAACTGTGCATGTGCCGCACCTCAACAAATTCTGAAGAAGGCTAAAGCAAGTACTTGCTGCATCCCACCGAAACCAGGACCTCCCTAGTTAGATCAACTCTGCTTGGCTGGGGTCAGCAGAAAGTGCATAAAATCGGTTGGACGACAATGGTCCCGACATGCTGTCCCTGCATACTGCATAAAGATCTAGAAAATTTTTGGGAGGCAACTTTTGTTCTCTTTTTTTTGATATGTGTGCGGGCGTGCGAGAATCATTTTCCTTTTGATGATGAGAGCCTTCGGCAAAGCCTACTGTAAGTTGAAGTTGAAATGATGTGCGTTTCGGGCGATTTAGGAGAAAGAGCTCTGTCGCTGAATCTGGTAAGACGAACCAGCAGATGTTCAGGGAAAACCCTCTTTTCGTAAGCTGATTATTACCCTATGGTGTGTGAAAACAAGGCATGTAAACAGATTGGGTTGGAAACTCCCTTACCTTTTGAGTCTCGATGATAGGTATTGATCATTCCTAGGAGAAAGGTCTCTAGGCGAGAGGGACCCCGGTAGATTCTAGCAACTGAGAGTGTGCCTGGCTTCCCCTCATACGCGCTCTGTGCCAATCACAGTTACATCTCTACTCTGCGAGTAGAACACGGACCACAGGCCAGGCAAGAAAAAAAAAACGCGTACTAAGCTAGGGTGGGTTCTGGACAGCCAACTGTCAACAATTTGCCTCTCTGTCTCCTTTTTTTTTTTTTTTTTTTTCCCTCTTTTTGGGCCCTCTTTTAGTACCTACCCTCCCCCGACAACTTCTCTTCTTCTTCCTTCCCTCTTTGTGCTGCTCATTCGACTCCACCGCTGAGTTTTCTGTTATCCATCAAACTTGCCCACCAATCGATACAATTTCTCGTTCACTATAAAATCTTTAACAGATAAGAGGTAAACCACTACTCCCCACTCTTTGTTGTCAATTCATCATTTACTACAACCGAAGTGATAAAGTTGAACAACGTCTGACAGTCTTCACAGATAGCAATCTCAACCATCCACCACAATGGCAACAACTCGTTCAAGGACCCGAAAGTCTTCCATCTCACAGACCTCGACTCCCCTCACCTCCAACTCTGCTGCCGGTTCTAGCGCTGCGTCCCTAAACTCTTCGTCAACGTCTCTTTCATCAATGGCCGAGAAGCCAACGACGGGAAAGCCCATGCTCGATACCTACGGCAACGAATTCAAAATCCCGGATTTCACGATTAAGCAAATCCATGATGCGATTCCAAAGCACTGCTTCAAATCATCAACCCTTAGATCTATGAGTTACGTTCTCCGGGATGGGCTCCTGATCGCTGGAAACTTCATTGGTTTCAAATGCTACATCATCCCAGCTCTTGCGGAGCAACATGTCGCAACGAGAGTTGCCGCATGGGGTACCTATGCGTTCCTTCAGGGTCTCTTCGGAACTGGTATCTGGGTTCTTGCGCACGAGTGTGGACACGGTGCATTCTCACCTAGTAAGGTTGTGAATGACACAGTTGGATGGATTCTTCACTCATCTCTCTTGGTGCCTTTCTGGTCATGGAAGATTTCCCACGGAAAGCACCACAAGGCCACTGGTCATCTTGAGAGGGATATGGTTTTTGTGCCCAAGAGCCGTGAGGAATACTCGAGAAGATACGCTGGAGGGATTGGTCACGATATTGCGGAGCTCACCGAGGAAACTCCAATTGCTACGCTTATCCACTTGGTCCTGCAACAGGTGTTCGGATGGCCAATGTACTTGATCAACAACGTTACTGGCCACAACTTCCATGAACGTCAATCAGAGGGCCGCGGTATCGGCAAGAAGAACGGCCTCGGAGGCGGTGTTAACCACTTCGATCCCCGCTCTCCCCTGTACGAGGCCAAGGATGCCAAGTGGATTCTCATGTCAGATATTGGTATCGCCACCACCATGTTCTGCCTCTACAAGGCTGCCCAGGCATTCGGTGCTTGGAACATCTTCCTCTGGTACGGTCTGCCGTACATCTGGGTTAACCACTGGCTTGTCGCTATCACTTTCCTTCAGCACACTGACCCTTCGCTTCCTCATTACCACCCCGAAACATGGACTTACACACGTGGTGCCGCTGCCACGATCGACCGTGAATTCGGTTTCATCGGACGTCATCTCCTCCACGGCATTATCGAAACCCACGTTGCACACCACTTCGTCTCCTCCATTCCATTTTACAAGGCCGATGAGGCCACCGAGGCCATTAAGAAGGTCATGGGCAGTCACTACCGTTCAGACACTAAGGGGGGTGCTTGGGGTTTCGTTCGTGCTCTTTGGAGATCTGCCCGTTGGTGTCAGTTTGTTGAGCCTTCTGCGGACGTTGAGGGCGAGGCCAAGGGCGTAGTCTTCTTCAGGAACAGGAATGGCTTTGGAGTGCCTCCTGTTCCAAGGGAAAAGGTTGATGTTAGGCCATCAGCTGTGAAGGGTAAAGAGAGTGTTCAAGTGCAGGTCGCTGAGGTATCAGATTCTGAGTAGATTATCTGCAGCTTGCGGTAAGATTATTGTAGAAGTATGGGAGGAGTTCTATTGGCTTGCCCAGCCATAGAAACCCTATTTCTAGACCCTGTTTCTACAATAATTCTACCTCTCGCTGTACTTTGCGAACAGATAGATCGATAGAACATTTCTCTTTTTTCGATAAAATCTTTGATGAGTTGATGATGCGTTCTTGGGAAAGGCTGGGGGTAATATTTGTATGAAAACTAATTGATTTTCTTGGGAAAGGCTGTAAACTACTTTCAAATTATTTGTTCAAATCCATCTCAAACAATAACATCTTGACGTGAACCGCCATTAGTAAGGCACGCTTACATGCACTTACGACAGATCATATTTCTATACAATTAATGAATTAAGCAAAAAAAGAAAAAACAGATCGTATTTCTTATCAAACGGCGGTCCGAGTGATACGCTGTGCAGAATATTACAAGGCTTGGGAAATATCAACGAATGCGTAGCATGACCTACGGGGGAGATTTCGAGATAGATCATCGACCTTTTTGAGATTCCCAATTTCAAGGAGCTGGAACCATATACAGATTATATCAAAATATCATAGTAAGAACTAGCAATAACAATTTGGAATGGTTTCATGAGTGGTCGACCGGATTTAACTTGATGCGACAGAGAGAATTTATTACTCTAATATATAATATATAAATTTCAGTAAGCCAAGTCATCTATTTAGTCCCAACTGGTTATGGTAGTATCCTTCCGTCAATTGGCTATGGCGGTATCCCTTAAGCTGTCGATGCTGACCCCCCTATAATAGAGGAATTAGATTTGTATGAGAGATCTATTATTTGATAAGAGAGATAACGGGATCTATTAGTAAAGCCACACCAAATTTGCTTTTTTTTTGGTGGGTCAGCATTTTCGTGACAGCTTAAGGGATAGTCCATTTTCTGCTGTGTAAATACTTAAGTACCAATACTATTATTTATTACCATGATTTCTCTGGGACTCGCATAGGTGTAGATGCTAGCTGCCGTTCACTACGCCTACTACTCCATGATCCACGTACGTAATTGAGATCTGGAATTTCGTGTCTAGTATGGTTCCCGGATTGTCAGTTTTGTGGCCGGTTTCTATTACAGCGATAATATCTATCACTGTCAATGACCGTATGACGTGTTGGGGCTGTGGGTACCCATATTGGGTCGTACAGGTAACTGCGCTTTGTTGATAACATTGCGATTGAGCATAAATGAGCAGAGAGCTTTAACTATGTAAGGGTGACCTACTAAGTGAATTACAATAACATTCTTAGGCTACGTAATGGCGTTATTTAGTCCTGTATAACTTGTGTTTTCTAATATATACTCGAAGTAAACTCAAGTCAAATGCAGTCGACGGTCAATCGGATTGTATAAGTGGAGTGTTCTTGGAACTCAGAGTGTATCCCTCAAGAACCAAGAAAGTCTCTTGTTTCCTGGACCCGTCAGCTTTGGAAAAGATCAGACTAGGGCTTCTTGGAGTACAGTTTGCGAAGCTTTTTATGCCCTAAGACTACATCTCGTTCTAAGTTAGACACGTATGTTTTTTGGAAGGAAAATAGGAAAAGAAAAAGAGCAAGAGGAAAAAAAACGTGTAATTTCGATGCCATCACAGAAATCAAAGACAATTAACTGTTATAATCTTGGGCAAGCCTCTCCCTGAATACGAGGTTAAGTTAAGAAAGCATCATTCGTTTACAAACTCATCATGCCATTGTGAGGTACGAAGCCCTCTACATAATCTATTTTTTTTTTTTGTTTTCTTTTTTGTTCTTTATTGGTAATAAAGGAAGAGAATGACCGGATCATGGTCACAATGCATTAAGTAAATCTTGCAAACCCATCCAACCTATCCCCTCCTAATCACACAACTCATGGCTGGTCTCCTCGTCCAAGTGATGGCATCGTTGATGCACGTCTCCTACCACTACCCCGGTCCCGATTTTCTCTACTTCTTCGACTTAGGCGACTTGTAAATCCCTGAAAGACATCCCTAAAGATATCACGCTTTCGCTTCTTGGGGGCCTCGGGAACGGCAGCAGCATCAGCAGCATCAGCATCAGCAGCAGCGCCTAGCTCCACTCCTAGATTCGTATCCTCAGGTGCTAGAGAAGATGTCAACTCTTCACTATCGTTAGTCCTTTCACCATTATCATCATCATCCGCCACCATAGCACGCGCAAACTCTGCGGTGAAAGCAGGATCGCGTGCTGGGGACCAATTACCAGTGTACTGGTTCACAGGTCGTGTAGGACCACCACCATCCTGACCAGAATTTGGAAGACGCGATATCTCCTCACGTCTTGGTATTTGCGGTATTGGCGGTATTGTGGTTGATATCGATGTGGCCGAGCGTGCATGATATTGGTGAACTTGACTAGAGGCTTGACCTCCTAGATCTAGTCGCACGACGTATCCGTGCGCTTCCCGACTTGGCCGAGAAGGGTCTATTGTTGTCGACCTGATGGGCTGGGTTGTTGATGGCCGTGGAGCGAGAAGCAACCAATTTCTCTGTTCCTCACTCCATACCAAACCGCGTCGGTCCAAGACTTCAGTGTTCGCGCGTCTACGATTCGGGCATTCTGGATCGAGCACAACAACGATAGGATTGTCGTCGTGAATTGTAAAACTAGCTAGGGTTTTTGTTCTGTTTTGCCCTCGATTGGTCATCGAGGGGTTCTTGCTATTGTGGTTTACTGGCGCCGCTAGTGTCGACATGATTTGATTGTTTCGTTTTATGTTTATTGGAGGAGGATATGATGAATAAGGTGGTTGTGCGCGCGCTGGTGGGTTTTGGTTGGTTTGGGGTTGACATTCTAAACACGGGAGGGAGGGGGTGGGCTGGTATTTATACAGTCGCGAACTTCGTTCTTAAACGGGCAACAAGACGTCAAGAATACGAAGATTCTCATAGTAGTAGGACACCTCTTTTCTCTGACATTTCCTAGTCAACGTTCATTCGAGGAATGGTTTTTCATCATGAGCCCCTATGATCGCCGCTCCGCTCCGCAATTGCAAGGCGAAGCTGCTGTTGTCCAGGCGCAAAAACGTGGTTCCCAAATAATCGAACGCATTTTATCCCTGTAGCGCGCGACCCCTCACGAACTTCTGGAAAACGTTTCACAATATCCCCTAGAAAGAGCCCCAAATTTAAGAGAGAGTTTAAGACTCGTCGCTCAAGCAAGGTTGTTCTTCACGCGCGACCTGGTGGTCGGTGTCAGTAATAAACTTAAGGTCTGACATTTGACACCTCAAACAACTGCGGCTCTGGTGCCCGGAACTGATAGTGGTCTCAGCTGTGGCGAAGATCCCAGGCGGAGAAACATATATCAGGTGTCCTTGTGAACCTTGTTTTCCTCCAGTTCAATACCTCGAAACATTTTTGGATCTATTGAAATATAAGTTAGTAGGAAGGCATCAAAAAGGTTGGAGACGCAAATGATCGATATTACCAAGAGTCCTGAAATAGCCGGAACCGGAAAAGCAATATTGCTTGAGCACCAGATTGACAGCTCATGAACGTAGAAAACACCCACAATCAAAACGCGTCTCTTGTGTCTCCATGAACGCGTGTAGTGTAACAGATGGTGCAATCTCCTTCCGTGGAGAATTGAGGAGCTTTTCTCTGCCAGTGGTCACTCAGGGTGAAGATATATGGATAGGTAGGTAGGTAGTTGCTCGACGAGTTGCTGGTGACTAGATGTCCCATATGTGAGCTGGCAATGATTCAGAACTGCAGAATGACTCAATTATGTATGTAGAGACCGTGCTGGCAGTTGTAGGTTTGAGCAGAAAGTATTGTGGGTGTAGGAAATGATAGTAATGAAGATCTTGGCAAAATGGAGAACAGTTCGCCGTTATGAAATGCAGATAACTAGCCGCCGCGCAATTATTTATACTAGTGTAGGTACGAAGAGAGAGAGCAAACTACATAATAAACGAGGTTCTGTTCCGCGCCGTTTAAGGTCATTAGATCGTTTGAAAATAGGCCCAACCAATGTCTACTACCGCAGGTTTTTGCTTAACAACCGGGTGCTAGCCCAACAGAATGCCACCACCACCATTCTCACTTCCACGTCTCCTCTACCTACTACCACGAATCTCTACTTCGTTATCTACAGCAAACCAATTTATTAAAGCAGAAAAATAGTTTGGATTGATGTAAAACAGCGCACAAGGACTTGACCTCGGTAAACGCACATCTTCTCTGGCGTGCACGCAAACCACGGGCTCAACAACACAACTTAACACCAGTAACAAGAGCAAAAAAATGAAGATGTGCTCTGACTCGGAGTTGAACCGAGGATCTCAGCATTACTAGTGCTGCGCCTTACCAACTTGGCCACCAGAGCAGGTTGATGTTCTCCTTTATTAAAGTAACTACTTTATTGGTGCTATATAATCCTGGTTTGACCAACATACCCCAGCAACAACAGGCCTTACTATATTGGTGGAGCTAACAATTCTAATCTAGAATCTGTTACCATCAGCGGCATTACACGTTGTGTCTTCATTATTCTCGGTAGCTTCAATTGGTTCGGCGTTGGGGCGGTGAGCCTTGATCACGTAGTGTCGGTTCCAGAAAAGATTTTATGTAAGTAACCAGTAGAGGGCACCTAATAGGAATAGCTGGCCATGGAACAAGAATGAATGGCTTTCGAATGTTCCCTCATGATATCACAAATCTTATGTAATCTCAACCCGATTGAAAAACTATCGAGCATCTACTTCCTACGTGCTACGTACTTATGTATGTCGTCGGAAAAAGTACATCTCAACGCTGCCCCGAGATATTCGACGATCTACTGTAGAATGATACGAGTATGTCCGTACTACAGCCTACAGGCATTGAAAAATCGAAGGAACTATATATTATTATGTCTAAACTAACGGTATAATAAATGAGCTTCGTAATACAAGCATTGGCTATACAATATTGAAAGAAAGCTGGCGGTTCCTAGAGTTAGGAGGATTCACCTAAACCTAGGATTGCCTGATCTGATACTGCACCGAATTTATTCTCAGATATTTCACAAAAACCTTCACGATTGAAAATAGCAAACCCGGCGGATCGCTAGACGTATATTGATTTTATTGAGGTGAGTATCTTAGGGTTAGGGCTACTTCTGTAGCTGAAATTTTCTGCCAAGTCCACTTAGTTCACAACCAAAATTTTTAGTAAACACACCAATGCGACGCGATAATAGCTCAGTTGGGAGAGCGTCAGACTGAAGTCTTCATTATCCGGGGTGTCATCTGAAGGTCACCCGTTCAATCCGGGTTTGTCGCATATCTTTTGCTGTTCTGTTGAATGGGGGTGTTAAGGATATTTTGGTGGCATCATGGCGTGTCACTCAACTTATGAGTGACGGTGAGTGATGGTGAGTGATGGTGAGACGTGATGGTGATGTATTGAGTGATGATTTGTGAGTTGGGGTGGCTCGAGTTGATATGGGTCAAGTGCGGAATGTGTTTAATTAGAAGGCTGCCCGAAATATGTACTTCCTACGTACATACTTACTAGGGGTGTGCCAACTCGCGACCGCGAGTTGTACGTTGAATTATGGGTATCAAATAAAATTTAATTCTCCCTCTACAATCATGAGGGGCCTTCGGCCCCATCCTCCTCCTCTCGTGAGTGCTCAGTACTTTGATGTGTCGTGCTGACTAATCAACATCCCTGCACTCAGCAGCCAATCAAACCGTTCCAATGTTAGAAAACTTAGCGATAGTACATTATAGATAGTACGTTATACATCCCATTATTTTACCACCTATTCACACAGTACTTGTAGCTTCTTTACTCTAGGAATGAATTTGGCTCTGATGCAAGGAGAATAAGGCGTGCAATCAATAAATTTATAAAGTACAGTTCAGGAAAGTGCAACGACCTCTACTTACATGGCAGAGTAAAGGGTAGGGACTTTCTGTCTAGCGCATATCCTGCTTTATATCAAGCGCTTTATATCCGATGCATCTCAGAGATCTGTTTCCATCCAAGCTTGATTACAGGTTGGTTGTGCTTGCAGTTACCGCAAATCACACTTTATCACTCGAATCTTAGGCTCAAGCGAATTCGCGAATGATATGTGTATCCTTGTATAAGAAACTTTAGGTTATGAACCTATAGCAGTAATTAGTAGGTATAAGCCGATTTTTCTAAGGACTACAAGTTACGTAGGGCACGGCCACATGGAGGTGCTCGTGGTAACTGCATGATTTGAATTGTAGAAATGCCATCGAACGATCGAGGTTCATATTTGACGTTTTGAACAACATTCTGGTTTATGAGGAGTTATTAAATCCTTTTGATACGCTTAATATGGCTTATTAGAGGCTTGCATAGGGAAATAACTGGTTAAGAGGCCACTAAGGTTAAGTCCAGACAAGGTTTGGGATAGCAAATAACGCGGCTCGATACGTGTACATACTACATGATGTATAATTTAAGTTTGCTCTATACCCGCTAACACTATAGCACAATAGCAACATCTTTCCGTCTCTTCCCATCTTTCTCTAAACAACAACAAAGTCGCTAGCGATATCATCATTCGTGCCGGCCGGTATCTCGCCCTTCACCGTGTGATTGACCTTCTTGATACTTTCTACTTCGAAGTTGGCCTTTAATCAAGCGTCTGTTAAGGACTCACTATTGGTAAGTTATCTTCGCCACTTATCCATAGCCTTTGAATTGCATTTAATTTCTTACTTAGGTTACAGAAAGGCTTGCCTTCCAAAAGAGCGGGATAGGAGACCTCAAAGTACAGAACTACCACGTTGACTGATCCCTTGTACTCTCAGACATTTCCAACCCCTTATCTAAAATCGAGATTTCTAGAACGCTCTAGCATTGACCGCCCCAGTTGTCGGGAGGGCCCACTACAGGTAATTAAGGTTATTTTAGATATCTCCATATAGAATCATAGAAGATTTATCAGTAGAAAGAATTATCCGAGTATCAATATGCCAAAGTGCAATCTTATCATTACTCCGACGGGGTTAGTACTCCGGAAAAAATATCTCCCTTGATTTCCACACTCCGCTTCCAAAGAGTTCCATATCAACAATAGTCATTCATACCTACTAACAAATAGTTGAAAAGCTTCGAATAAAGTAATTAGCGAGTGGGATGGGGTTCATTTGGGCTCTGTATATACGCCTAAGCTAGAGGACATTATCACGGGCAATAACCGCTCAGCCGGTCGTTTTTTGCAAGACTCTTGAGTCGAACGCCCCGTGCGCGTAAAAATACCAAACCACGGTCCAACTGTTTTTCTCAAACAGACGACGTTTGAAGCTACTCGGTAAAGTGCGAACTGTAGAGTGTACCGGGGTCGGATAAATCCCCCCCGCCGGAAACGACCGCTCAGTAACAACACACCCCTTTACCGACGACAACTGCAGGGTTGGGGGTTTCCGACGACCAAAGTCAGCATGGACTAATATTACCCCCGATGGGTATGACTATCAATGACAATGGGCCAAAAGTGGTAAACATCCTAGTGAAGTATCATAGCACGCGGGTTATATAGTGGGCTTTAATTAATCCGATTAGGGCCATGCCTTATGGTTTCGAGATGTGGATTAGATGGTGGACCAAACTGCATGTTCAATCACTCAAGAGTCAACCAACCCAAGAACAAGCCTCTGGGAGGGGTAAGCTTGTCTCTGGTAACCGAGAACTTGACCGCACCCTTTAATAAAATTAGTTGGAATTGACGATGGTTATGATTATGGGGGCGGCTACATACGATACGATACGACGTCAGATATTCATGGGGTGTTTTTTTGGTAACGGATTTCAAAGGGCCCGTGGTTTTTTTTTCCCACGATATATAAAGATCAGCTTCCTTCAATTCAAGTTCCTTTCTTCACCAACTTCACAGTCTTTGAGTTTCTCAGTAGTTTTATTTCCTACTTCCAACCGGCTAGTTCCGTTCTCTCTCTTTTTACTACAGTCTATCATTCATTCAGAGCGGTGCTCTTAGACTATACACTCTTTCGTTCATTGAACAACTAGCCTTTCTTTCTTTTCAAGAAATCTCAATTCCAATATATTCACCATGAAGACCTTCGCAGCACTTGCCCTTTCTTTCTCCAGCCTTATGGCTACCGTCTCCGCTCACGGTTACATCGTCTCTCCTCCTCGCCGTGCCCCCGGTGCAGAGATGTCAGCTGTCTGTGGTAGCACCATCTACAACAACCAGGCATCAGACAATGCCGGCCCAATTCAGTTGCTCATGCAGTCTGCTTCTTCTATTGTCGATATCGATGCTTGCAACCTATGGCTCTGCAAGGGCTACCAGTTCGCAGACAACACAGACCAGGTCCAGTCTTACACTCTTGGCCAGACAATTGATATGGAGGTCAAGATTGCCGCACCTCACACTGGGTACGCCAATGTGTCTATTGTCGACACAAAGACAAACACCATCAAGGGCTCCGAATTGAAGTCATGGGATGTGTATGCGTCTACAGCAACCGGTGTTACTGCCGATGAGACAAACTTCAGTATCACTATTCCCACTGACTTGACTGGTTGCACTACTGCCGGAGGTAAATAATCCATAGCCTCTCCATTTGAATACAGCATTGAAAGGTCTCAAAGCTAACGATTCGCAGAGTGTGTCATTCAATGGTTCTGGTACGCTCCTCCCTCTGTTGACCAGACCTACGAAGGCTGTGTCGATTTTGTCATCTCCGATGGAACTGCCGCTACCACTTCTGCAGCTGCTACCACAACTGCTGCTGCCACTACATCTGCTGCCACTGTCGAAACTACCTCTGCTGCTGTCGAGACAACATCCGCTGCCGTTGAGACTACCTCTGCTGCCGTCGAGACTACTTCCGCTGCTGTCGAGGTCCCAACTACCTCCGCTGCCCCAGTCGAGACCACCTCCACAGCTGTTGAAGTTCCCACCACCTCCGCAGCGCCCGTTGAAAGTACTTCGGCCACTACTAAAGCGCCTGCCGAAACTACTTCTACAGCGGTTATCGCGACTTCCTCTACCGCGGTCGTAGTCCCCACCACCTCCGTCGCAGTCCCAACCACCCTTGTCACCAAGACCCGCTCCAAGACCTCCACCCATGTTCCGGTGACCAAGACCTCTACTTCATCTTCTGCTCCTGCTGCTACTACCTCTGCTGCTGCTTCAACTGGTTGCAGCAAGACCTCAGTGGAGTACAACAAGTGCCTGGATGCAGCAAACGTGTGCATCAGGAATGCTCAGAGCTCCACGGGTGGTGCGGTTGATTTCTCGGCTTGTGTGGCTCAGAGAGCCGCTTGTGCTATGTGCTAGAGTGGGTTGAGTTTAGATGGGTTATAGTTTCAATATTTGTACAGTATATATATTCTTTATTTGTAGTAGAAGAAGGAGGGAGATGTAAAAGGTTCCTTGAGGGAGTCAAGTTAAATAATTAGAGTAAATTTCATGCTTTTAGAAAAAACTTTTGTGCATTGTGATACGGTGATTAAGTGAGGTTTCTTCAAAGAGTACTTAGCTCACACGCTTGGTACCCACAGTGCCAGGCTAACGCATAATGCCTTTTTATGTCTCTATCTTGGGTGAAAACAGATGTGATCAGACGGGAAACATAACACAGTACTTTTAGAAAGAATACATAATTATAAATACACGCCCTGTAGCCTTGGAAGTGGCAATGTGTCATTGTAAGGGTGGGACGATATGGTCTATAATATGATACTTGTCCATGGAGAAAGAGTTCGTGTCACGACGCGTGTTTACTATGAAGTCGAGACCCGAGAAGGAAAAAGATCTCGTTTATGTTCTCTTCATTATTCGCAGCATTGCCTCTCGCACACAAAACTTTACAATAATATCCTGATCGTGATACTGGAAGCTAAAACTAGGACATTAGTGTACCTACCCAGCAGCTAAACTCATAACCAAGCCGGAAGCTCATCGCCGGAATAGGAGGTTGTTGGAATTCCAGGATTCTCGGTGCCTTGAGCAGCTGTAGACGTGTTGATGAAATACAAGGGCGGCTCTATCTGCGCTTTCACGCCCGTACTCTACTAGGCCTCCATCAAAAATAATCACAGACGAGTGAGATACCATGATTCTCTCGGCCCCAGCCGGAACTCGGCATGCCGTGTAAATTTAAATTTATGCATGCCCCCTAGTTTAGCGCGGTGGGGGATGTCCTGCTTTATTCTCTACTTCAACTAACATCGTCTCCCCAGCAAATAACGGCCACTGACAGCTCACCGCTCATCACGGAGCTTTCGAATCCCGATATTTTTTTTATTTTTCGGTGGTAGGGCGATTATCGGAATGTTTGTGTCTAGGGATAGAGGGAGAGGGCAAGTATCGTACGATTGAGCTGTCAGCAGCGGGCATGTTCTACTTCATGATCAATCACGAGTGCCGCGGTTGAGAAAAAGTCGCAAAAAGATACCAATTCGATCATGTGTGGAAAGTACTATATGGCGTCAGCATTAATAGAAGCTACTATAAACACCCAGCCGCCACTGGATCTAGGCCGTCCTAAGTAAGAAGCTGCATACAGATAACATTAACAGAACTCTCACTGACCCTTCGATTACGGAGTTAGTACATGTGCCTTTTCCAACAGATTTCCTTTTTGGGCTATGTGTATGCCAGGGGCAGAGAATAAAGTACATGCATATATTAAGCGTCTAAGCTACCAGGTCCCAGCGTTTGGATTCGGGGCTAATGAGTGGGGTATATGGATGCCCCCTTCTTCCTAAAAGGGGTCGGATTATTTAGTCAGTCCTGACGAACGGATAACTCTATAGTTGACACTTGAAACTCCTGTAGATCCGTTTCAAGCGCAAACTGTCGTCGTCGAACTCGACCCGACTTCTTCGGGGATTCGGACGAATGACTCTCGGGGGTAACTTGGTGATGGTAAGCTGCTGATTGACCGACTGAGCAGCCGGTTTGGCCAAGAGTCTTGTTATGAACTACACAGTTTATGAGTTTATGTAAAATGACAATATATAATAATACCTGTCTATCTGTGTATACTTTACAGTACTCTCAGACACCACACATTGGTAGTGTTTACGGTACCTACCAGATCCAGAGCGGCCGGCCGCTGAGTTGCCAATTGCAATATTGGGATGCCAGTTACTCCCTGATCTACTGTGCAATATATGTACGCCGCACTATACACAATATAATGTATAGCACCTCGTAATCATCACCCCACTGTGAGATCCGTCCGCCGTTCATCTGTTCAGATCGGGACCGGAAGCTGCCGCGCGGCAATAGTAGAAAAATGTTATGAAAGTTATTCTACGATATTCCTAGGTCCTAGAAGAATATTAAAGGAGTCTATCCTAGTCTTGTCGAGGGGTTGCCGGATAGTGATGGGGTATAGGTTTGCAGGGGATGCACGGACCCTCAGGGGCGCATATAGTAGTTTGCGTGGGAGTTCTACTGTTTGGGACGTACCTTAGCTCTGTTTCCCGGAAATATTATGATTGCTGACAGTGGACTACACTGACGCAAGAACGGCTCGCTACCAGAATAACCCATACCCACGAGTACGCAGATATAGCCAGTATGCACATATAGCCGTGAGTGGAAGAGGTGCCAAGGTGTGAAACGATCATTTCAGGGTAATAACAGAGACAGTACTACTACCAATGCGGTAATGTGAATAGTAACAAAAACAGCCATGCAATAAACTTGAGAAGGGCTAAGTAAAATATCCGAAGGAAAGATTAGGGGAGGGATATTTCTCCGTTCGTACGCGAGTGGCTACTGAAACGACGATCCAGGAACAACACCAAGAGAATTCTCCATGAGGGTAGCACGGCATGCAGTAGAAGGATCCAAGAATCACCACCACTATATTCTGCTCGGCCCATGCATGGATAATAGTAGTGATGATAGCAGTAGATTCTCGATGGGATCTATCTGTGCACTCTGATCAACTATATAAGATGTTTCCTACTTCCACAACCTCAGCTTTTCTTCCCCATCGATCATTCGACCTTCATTCACTTCTCACTTCTGTCCGCTCCTCAGCTTCTATTTCCCTTTCCACCGGCTCGACGCCTTTTCCCTCTTTCATTCATTTTTGAATTATTCCTCAGTGACCCAGTGTCCTGTCTATCTTTTATTTCCACTACCGCCAATCCTAGTCGCTGAGCGTCTCAATACACAACAGAAGTTCTTGTTTATATCATTTAAAAACCAAACAATCTCTCAAAATGAAGACTTCAATCGTTCTCTCAGCTCTTGGCACTGCTGCCCTCACTGCCGCCCACGGCATTGTCCAGAACCTCAACATTGGTGGTGACGAATACACCGGATACCTCCCATACAACGACCCATACAGTTCACCCGTCCCTGAGCGTATCGTATGGGCTTTCCCTACAGCCGGTAACGGCCCTGTAGAGGATGTCAGCACCTCTGATATCACCTGCAACAAGGCTGCCACTGCTGCCCAGCTCACTGCCCCTGTTGCTGCTGGTGATAAGGTCAGCTTCTACTGGACTACATGGCCCGAATCCCACAAGGGTCCTGTCATGACCTATCTTGCCAACTGTGGCGGTGACTGCACAACCGTTGATGCCACCACACTCAACTACTTCAAGATTGACGAGGCTGGTCTCAACAGCGACGGTACATGGGCGTCTGATGACCTCATTGCAAACAACAACAGCTGGACCGTCACTATTCCCTCAGACATCGTTGCTGGTTCGTACTTGATCCGTCACGAGCTCCTCGCTCTCCACAGCGCCGGTACTGCGAATGGTGCGCAGTTCTATCCCATGTGTGCCAACTTGGAGATTAGTGGATCTGGATCAGCTGTGCCCACCGATACCGTCAAGTTCCCTGGTGGATACTCTGCCACTGACCCTGGTATCTTGGTCAACATCTATGGCACTTTGACCAGCTACACTATTCCTGGCCCAGCTGTCTATGGATCTTCTGGATCTGGATCTGGATCTGCTACCACTACTGCTGCTGCCGTCAAGTCTTCTGTTACTGCCGCTGCGACTACCTCTGCTGCTGCTGTTGAGACTACCTCTGCTGCCGCTGTAGAGACCACCTCCGCTGCTGCTGTTGAGACCACTTCCGCCGCCGTCGAGGTCCCAACTACCTCCGCTGCTGCTGTTGTGACAACTTCTACTGCCGTCAAGGTCCCAACAACCTCTGCAGCTGCAATCAAGACTACCTCCACTGCCGCTGCTGTGGTCCCTACTACATCCGCTGTTGCCGCAGTCCCAACCACCCTTGTGACCAAGACCCGCGCTTCAACCACTGCGGCCGCCGCCACTACCTCCGCTGCCGCTTCAACCGGATGCAGCAATACCTCAGAGGCTTACAACAAGTGCCTCGATGCTGTCAACGAGTGCATCCGCAATGCGCAGTCCAAAACCGGTGGCGCTGTCAACTTTGACGCTTGCAATGCCCAGAAAAGTGCCTGCACCATGTGCTAAGTGTGATGTTGTATATTTGTCAATAACGTTGCGAGGATCAAAAAGGGATGATGGGGGTATAGCATGTAGTATGTATATGTAGCGATTCGCTTTTTTTGTTTGGTTATAATTTTTTAGTTAGATTTTTGGGGAGGTGTAGTAAGGCAGGGAATGGCGCTGTGTGCGGTTCTTTGGTCTGAGCAGGTGCTGGATGGAGTTGTATAAATAAAACTAGTTTATCCCTAAGTTGTTTTTCCCAAGGTGTGAATTCTGGCTGTGAGTGATAGTTCATGATCAGAATGTATTTTGTTCAACTTGTGGCCAAGATCTTCCTAAAGAGTTTCGGCGATTTGTTATCTGGAAAATGCCCAACCGATAAGATTAAGAGTCCCTGGTCTATGAAGAGGGTTCGCCGTATAAGCCTCCTCTACTGGTCTACCGGCTGGTCCACCTCTGCCCGGAGGACCCATCTTTCTCTTCACGTTAACGAAAGCCAACACTAGATCCAGCTGTAGATGAAGCTAGCTCGAATTCAACAGGAAGAAAATTGGCCAATTCTCAAGGGTGTACACCTACCTGTTCCAGAGAATATACGACGTTGCGGTGTGCTGATCCCCACGGATGCTTAATTCCAGCTTCCCCATGAAGAGGACTTACGTATACGACTTGCAATTGTGTTAAGGACACATCCCACGAGAAACATATCAAATATCCCACTATTTAAGCTTGCCTCAATTGTCTGTCTCTCTTCAAAAGATATTTCAACGACCAGTTCAATCCATTCCCCATATTTCTTGCCCAGGCCCGCCCTTCAAGACAAAATATGGAGCTAAGGTGTTCACCCCAACCTTCTGATATCCCAAAATGGGAATGACTAGTAGGAGACTGCCAAGATCGGTCAAGAGCAGAGCATGTTTCAATCATTGACCCACGCCTAGTAGTACGTTTTTACTGAATATTAGGTTTGGAACTATATATATCTCATGCCCCAACGTTGCTAACATATACTAGGACAATAGAGTAAGTAGTCTATCGGGGGCTATTTGGTGATTATAAGGATAGAAAATGTATTCATCGATCGATACACGCTCTTTGTGTCAATTGAATTGCGTATTGATCTGAAATTCTGTGGTATACTCGGGGGATTATTTAAGAATAATCTGGTCCGAAGTAAGAAAATAGCTAAGCTCGGCCGGACCAGCCTAGCCTAGACTACCGAAAAGGCCAGTCCACCAAATCTTGGCCCGAACATGACAGGTCCTTGTACTGGCTGGCCTCTGCTCTTCAATCTCGTCCGTTCCTTTAGCGGAGATCTAACGTTACTCTTGGTCTAGACAATCAGCTCATCTTACATACTGGCTTTCGAAATCTGAAATGGCTGCAGACGTGGATTTACTGATAGGCTTGATTAAATAGCTTTTTTCCATTGGTGGTTCTTTTGACGCCGGTCCCATTATATTTCGATTCGCCGTTTGGGTAGGTACGGTATTATATTCTCCCCCAAAATGACACTTACGCTCCCCTAATTGCTCTCTCCCCCCAAGATGCTAACGTCTATGTATCAAGGAGAGCTCCGGGCCCAGGTCCAGAATAATGAGCAGTAAGAATATCCATTTTATTTTTCGACTACCAAGCTATCTACGTAGCTGTCTAGGTTTACTTATCATTAGGCCATGGCCAGGTGCTGGCCGACCCACAGCACACGAGCGGACTTTTGCTCATACAATCATCACCTCCTTCACACCCTCCGTCTCTTCAACCCACCACTCCCTAAACACCCTAATCCTCTCCGCCCTCACCTTGGCCAACCTCTTCCCCTCCGCCGTCTTCATCCCCGCCTCCAACTTCAACAATTTATCCTCAAAATGGTCAATCACCCCTCCCATCCCCTCCCCCGGCCTCTTCGCCGCCCCGAAAGTAAACGCCCTCCCCACGCCCACCGCCCCAATCGCATCCAACCGGTCCGCATCCTGCACCACCTCCAGCTCCGGGTGCGCCCTACACATCTCCGCTACCACCTCCGGGTTCGCGCGCTCGTGCGAGTACGACACATTATTGATGAGTTTCTGGATCGTCGTAGCCAGGGCCGGGTCGCAGCCGGCCGTGAGCAGGAACTCCTCGGCCGGCCCGAATGCGCCCGTCCTCTCTTGCTCGTCCCCCGAGTACTTCTTGTCGCCGACGTCGTGTAGTAGCGCGAGTAGGGTTACGATAGTCGGGTTGTAGCGCTGCGCACCGGTTGATGTTGAGGTCTCGGCGGCGAGGATCTGCTGCGCGAGTGAGAGCACGCGCAGGATGTGCTGGTAGTCGTGAGAGGAGTCGTATTGTGCCATATAGGCCTTTACGTACTCGTGCGTGGCTATGATGAGGGCGCCTTGCGAGTGTACGTGGTCCATGGCTACGGAGGTGCCAGATGCTGCGAGAGGTTTGTTTGTTCTGTTCGTTGGAAGTACGGATGCTGTTTCTTTTCTACTTGTCTGGTTGATGAAGTGACTCAAGTTGAGATAAGGGACCTTCCCAACGCGTCTTGCCCCTCTTGCTTCACTCATTCCCATTCGTCATTGCCGGCGGAGGTTTATTAATGGCGTTGGCAATGCAATGGCCAAAGTAGGTATATGCAACTCGTACGGAAGGTATTTTGATACGAGTCAGAGTCAGTATTCCTTTCTCCCTGAAGAGAAGTTGTTTGGCAAGCGGATAGTACTGACTGATATGGTTAAACTCTATGATATTAACCGCGACCCTTCTTGGTGCAGGTTCCCGTTGATTACGAAGATCGGTAATTTACATGTTTCACGATCAACTCCGCATTAGAAACATCGACTAGACGAAGAAAGTGTGCTTGGAAGGTTAAGGGGGCAAAACTCAAGCGATAGTTCTTTGAACTTGAGTGATCTCCTCAAAAAGCGAGATGTGAAAGACAGGACAAAAAAGATAGAAGAGTGCTCTGACTCGGAGTTGAACCGAGGATCTCAGCATTACTAGTGCTGCGCCTTACCAACTTGGCCACCAGAGCTACTGTATGGTAAAGTTTTTAAAAATTATAATCCCTATCCATGCTTGTGCAACTAGCACAGATTATCACTCGGGTCACTTGAAACCCCACCAGAAATATATCCCGCCCGGCTGTGCCGTAAAACACAACCCTGGCAGTTTTTGCAAAAACTGCAATTGTCTCCGCCAGAAAGGATATCAAGTGACTGGCAATCAATGCTTTGCAATCCTTCCGTCTCTTGAGCCCAAGTAGGGATCAAGCATGTCCTCTCGCCAAGATTCCAGATCTAGCTGCAGCGAACATTCCACCTTCCAAGTTTCCAAATGTCACACCTTATGTATGCCCAACCATACTAACCTGCTAACTATAATCTCCCCGCCGCTCCCCCGAAGTCCCCGGAGTACTACTACTACTACTACTACTAGCAAAACGACCCCAAGTTCTAACTAGATCTACTACAGTAAATACACGTTGGTAGCAACACCAGAAGTGTACTAATTACCAAACCAAGTTAGCACAGCACCTATTAGCTAGCTAGCCGTAGCACTAGGAAAAAAGGATTCCCCGCGGGCCTGCAGCTAGCCTGTTTTGGGCTCCGCGCTGCTGTGCTACTACTACGCATTCTTACTCTGCTTGGCTTGGGCGCGGTGCATAAGGAAGTAAACGCCGACGTCCGTCGTGAGGATGGGCAGCTAGGTTGGAGCTGCTCTATATTAATGGCAGGTACGATGGGATCGCCGGTGCCGGGTGTGGATTTCCCCGCAGCGGGAGGCTGCGGTGTGGAGTGGACGGGGGAAGGGATGGGGCCATGGGGTATACGTGCATTTAGGTTTGGATGGGGAAGGTTGGGATGTCATGGGTTGTAGTGGATGGGCGATTCGGAGAGATGGAAGTGAGGGTTTCCTTGTGTATAGCTTTCGAAGGGGCGGATGGAGGGAAGGGGGGAGTATAAATGCTCTCTTTTTCAATGCTCCCTCCCATTCTTTCTTTCTACAGTTTCATATACCCAATTACTGTATTACAATCCTGCAGAAATTATATCAATATCTATATAGCACCCTTACCTACAAAGTCAGTATATCACTTGCAATGTCACCCCCCTCCTCAGCTGCAGACCGACTCCTCAAGCTCTCTAACACCCTCTCCACCGCCGGCGCCACCACCAGAATGCAATTCGACCCAAACTCAAACAGCTTCCCCCTCCGCAAGGACCTCCCCGCCATCCCCGGCGCCCCAAAGGGCGCCGCCTGGTTCTGGGGCGCCGACGACCAGGTAATATAAGCCGCCACCTCTACCGTCCGCACCCTCAAGTAGCTAATAGGCGGTATGTAATAGCTTGGGCGAGTGAACCTCCTGACGCCCGCGCGTGTCAAAGAGGCAGTCAAGGAAGTCGTGACCGGCGAGACAGTGCCGCTGAATCTGGAGGTGTCGGAGCTGAAGCCGTGCTATGGGCGAGAGACGTTTGAGCACACGATCAAGAATATTATGCCGAGAGTGGCGTTTGATGATTTGTATTCCATGAATACGCAGAGTAGCACGCAGTGGGATGGGTTGCGACATGTAAGTGTATCTGTGCGGTGAGGCCAGGCGGTCGGAGGGTAAGGTAGTGGGGAAGTGGTGGTTAATCGATCTGGCGGCGTGGTGATATATAGGTTGCGCATTTCGACTCGGAGACGTTTTATAACGGGGTATGCATGCATCCGCCTCCTTCGTAGCCCTTACTGCGCAATTGATACTGACCCTGCGGGCCCACAGTGCACACACAAAGACATCACCGGCCCCGCCGCCAACTCCAAATGCGGCATCCAAGCCTGGTCGCAGCACGGCATCGTCGGCCGCGCCATCCTCATCGACTACGTGGGCTACGCCGAGGCCAACAACCTCCCCGCCCTCGACTACTACGACAACCAGAGCATCCCGCTCAGCGCGCTCGTCGCCGCGGGGAAGGCGCAGGGCATTGACGTCCGTCCTGCGGCCCAGGGCGGCGATGTCAGGGTCGGCGATATACTGCTGATTCGTAGTGGGTTTATCAAGAATTATAGGAGCCTGAGCCCGGAGGATAGGGTCAGGCTGCACTCGAAGAAGGCCGGCTTTGGCGATGATGATGAGCAGACGTATCCCGGGCTTGAGCAGACGGAGGAGGTGCTTGATTGGTGAGTTGGGCCCTGTACTTTCTTGCGGGTGTGTTGCGGGTGCGGGTGGGGCTAATGGTGGGTTGGGTTAGGCTTCATGATTGCTATTTCGCCGCTGTGGCCGGGGATGCGCCGGCGTTTGAGGCGTGGCCGAGTAAAGGCGGTATGTGTTATCAACCATTCCCAAACTCTTTGCACTTTATTCTAACAGTGGCATAGATTTCTACCTCCACGAATACCTCCTCGCGCTGTGGGGCTGCCCGCTGGGTGAGCTGTGGGATCTGGAGGAGCTGGCGGCCAAGTGCCGGAAGAGCGGGAAGTGGACGTTTTTGTTGACGAGCTCGCCGACGAATGTGAATGGCGGGGTGGGGTCGCATGCCAATGCCATTGCGATTCTCTGAGGGAGTTTTCTGATAGTTTTTTTTTATGTGTGTTTTGGGATTTGTATATAGTCGTTGCTTTTCTATGTTCATGGGATGGGATGGGGTCGGAGGGGTCGGATGGGGTCGGATGGGATGAGATGGAGGGGAAGGGAAGAGGATGGATGGGATGAGATGGAGAGGAAGGGAAGAGGATGGATGGGATGGGATGGAGGCTGTTGGCTACGTATACTAAATACATGTAGTAGACAACTACAACGACAACTGTGGACTTATGGCGAGGAATAGGTGGCATGACAGCCTGTCCTCAATCATGTCGTATAAAGCTATATAGTTAATACACCATCGTCTCTCTTCTCTTCTCGTCCAACAGTTTGATTTATCGTGCTACAGCCATTGGAACACTCACTGCCTTATAATACAGTACGAGTCAAGTGCGTGAAGTAGGTACTCTGTTCTGGGCCCTACTCTAGATACCTAGTACTCTCTATCCGGGCACGCGCTCCTCTTATCAAGTCCACTCCCCCTTATCTCACCGGGTAACATGCATCGTATATTCCCCACTCTCGACCAACTTGCAAGCACCCCAACAACTCAATCTTAAAGGTGGAGCGAGCATATCCCAGCATCCTCAAATCTCACGGTCCCGGGAAAACGCCGCTTCTGTGCCATGTGCCGTCAATGCACTAGTCACTCCACGATCCTTCACAATCTCAATCTCAGCCCAGAATTTGAAAGTCAAAAAATAAATATTTCCCTGATATAGCACCAGCCCAGCGCTCAAGCAAAACACCTCTCCCTCTCGCAGCCCTAGTTAATTATACAAAAAAGAAGAAAAAGAAGAGAAAAAGGTAAGAGAGAAAAAAATAATAATATCACCAAATGGTGAATTACTCCCCAGTCTAGCAGGTAAGAAAATTGAGACCCTCTAGCTCTATTCTTTACTTCCATTATGTACTCCAGCGGACAGGACGCTCAGCACTACCAGAGCACCCCAGGAGGAGCAAAGCAGGAAGGCTACCTAGAGCCTCCTCCTTCACCCACTCACTCGTCCTCGTCCGTCACCTCATGGATCGTGCCCAGTCGCTTCTTCGCAGCAGCAGCAGCAGTAGGCGCAGCACTACGAGAAGTTCCTCTCGCAATAATCCCTTGGGCAAAAAACGTCAGTCACCACCGTCCCAATCAAATACCCCCATACCCCCCTCTCCCCCCTCCCCATAAAAGGCATAAAGGACAAAAACAAACCTCCCCGTCGCCAAAAAGTCCTGCACATTCTTCTCGTTCTCCTTGCGCTCTGCGGTCTCGACCTCGCTGCGCTTGGCCTTCTCTTCGCGCCGCGTCTTGATCGGGTTGGCGATGGTCTTGAGCGCCTTTTTGGCCCGCACGGACTTGCTCTTCTTGAGCCCGCCGCTCATGGGCGTGGCCATGGGCATTGGCTCCTCGGCGGGCGGTGGTGGTGGCGGTGGCGGGAGCTGCGCGGAGAGGGGCGCCGCAGGGGTGTTGCTGGTGGGCACGGGCTTGCGCGAGGTGGAGGCGGAGGAGCGGGGGATTATTGGCATTTTTGCTGGTTGTGGGGTGGAATGGTAGTGGTGAGGTTGGAAAGTGCACAGCAGCTGGAGAGATAGGTGGGTAGGTTGGTGATGGGTAGGTATCAAGAAGTGAAAAGAAGAAGAGAAGCCGAAAAACCAGTTTTTCAGAAATACGTGAGCTGCTGGAACCTCCTGGATGGGAGGGGGGAGGTGGGAGAAGGTGGCTCTTTAAAAGAAACCCGCCGGCCCTGCTTTCCCTGGCTGGGCTCAAAACGCAATTTGCAATAAGAGTGAGTATCAAGTAAGTGGCACACACCCATACCATACTGCGCTGCAGCCCCCGCGCGCGCCCTGATTACTTCTAGCTACATGGAGCAGTGACGAAGAAAATACCCACACACGGCCGCAGCAGTCTCTATCAAATCAAATCAGACCAGTGGTATCTTAGCAGGTATCAAGATAGGTGGTTAGGTAGCAGCGCTTAGAGCAGGGTTAATTATCCACCACTCTTGTCTCGTCTCTTGTCTCTTGTCTCCCCGCATAGTTACATACCCTGGAATATTCGCCTGCTTTCTTGCTTGGTAGCTACATACAAGCACTTGGTTGCGTATGTATGGAAAATGAGGGCAGTGATTGGATTGGGTCCCTTACCGCGACGGCGGTGATTGGGTGCGTGGCGTTCATGTGCTATCACTCGTCGTGGTTAACGTTGGGTTGGGTTGGGTTTTTTTTGTACTCTACATGTATGCACACAGCCTCTCTCTCCCTCTGGGGGTTTCTAAATATGTTTCTACGTAGTACTAGTACTTACTACCTGGGTAAGTGTCTACATGCAGTGCTTGTTTCCGCATGTAAGGAAAGAAACACTGGTTGGATTATGCGGCGGCGGGTGCGTGTGTGAAACATTGTCGTAGTCGTAGTCAAATATTTCTTCACCAGCGCCGCATGTTATACCTGCTCCACACCACCGCATCACCGGAATGCAAAAAGCCAGCAAGGTACTGAGTGATCGCTATAGCTAAGAAAATGTACATGCAAAGAAAAAAAGGCCCCTGTATCCGTCCAAGTTCAGTTTGCCCGGCCTTCTTCGGTCTCTATCGATAATTATCCCTTAATTATAAACAGTCAAATGCCCCACCCCTAGAACAAGGGGATTCAATTTTTATAGGAGATCTAGCCATTATTTGATAAGAGAGATAATGGGATCTGTTAGTAAAGCCACACCGAATTTGTTTTGGTTGGGGAGGTCAGATTTGCCTGACGGCTTAAGGGATAATCAGCTATGTACAAGTATCTTTCCCTACTAAATCCAAGTATGGAGAGTGACCTCACAAAGAGTACCTACATAGGAGCATCCTAGCCTCGCATCATCTGCCGGCGAATTGATAGGAAGATGTTCATTCCCTGCATGGTCAAATCAAAAGCTAACACCGCTTATCAAGTCAGTCGATCAGAGAATCGAACTACCTTCATGCTTAATATGTACAGCAATCAACTTAGCTTACACCGCACAGAAAAGCAACGATATTGGTTCCCCAATATCCTGTCTCCCCATCTTTACGGTACTTAAATCCAAATATATCGCGCTTTCTACTTTCCCTTTGGGAAAGATGGTCGTCCACTCGCTTGAGCCCGTCACTCATTCTCCGGTCCATTTGGGCTAGCTAGTCGTCGATTCGCTTGAACTCGTGGTCGAGCTTCTCGCTGAGGTGCTGGATCATTTCTAGCTGGGTTTGGCAGGTAAAGCCCTTGCAGACAGTTGGCGTATTCATGGTATTCATCCCCTAATCAACCCGGATTAGCAGAGTAAACGCTGAGTTAAAACTCGTAGAGCCGTAAACTTGCATTTGTGATAGTGAAATGGCGAGGGTAAAACCCTCTAACACTGACCGGGACCACTCTATAGACAGATTTACGGAACATCTCGTTCGTGGGTGCAGCGAATGTATCCTGGCAGAAGTAGAAGAACCAATCTATAAAGTGTTTCGGAGTCTCGAGCCTTAGAGAGGGAAACAGAAGAGAAGATTCTCCTCCTCGAGTCGCTTACTGCCACATTTTTGTACATAGTGTCATCATCCCATCACTTAAACCACATTACCGCCACCTCCATAGCTATATCCTTTCCCTATTTCTCCTACGACGTATACTACATAAACGACAGTTGATGACAGCGCAAACCTGAGACTACAACCCTAACCCATACAAGCGGATTCGCTATAAGAAACGGCAAGCACGTGTGCTGTTTCCGTAATTGAAGGCGCTAGTGAACCGGTCTGCTCTGCTCTGCTTTGGATGGATGGTGTTTAAGCTTTTTTTAAGGTTTTGTTGCATGTGGGCGGGCCTGTTTCTGATCGGACCCTGTCAGTGTCGTTGTTATTGTCGTCTTTGGCTGGATCAGCGTAACCTTTACTTTACTCTATTAATGTTACTCTATGTACTGCCTGCTTCGGGCTGCAGGCATTGAGGAAGAGAAAGAGGAAAGTATCGTCACTCTCTTCGTCAATATCCTTAGGCACCATCGGCGTGATTGATATTTTCTTTTTGATAAGAAACATTCTGCAGGGAGTAATTGCAGTTCTAGAGTGCACACCGCGTGGCTTTCCCAAACGAATGACCCTCTCATCTCACGGCGCGGCCATAATCAAGAAAAGATCACCAGAGCATAACCGTTATCACCAAGAGTCTTATCAGCAAAATTGTCCTCCCCCCCCTGACGGAGTTGCCAGGATTGTTCAGCGCCGAGATTACAATAGCATCGTTAGATATCGATATCGTGGCTTTCTCGAGAATCCCCTTTAATCTCAACATGGAATACACATACAAGTACCTAATGCTTGTTATCTACACGAAAATAAACGGCCAAAGTGTTCCCGCTACGCTACATACCACCCCCTGGGGAAGGGTCCGGGGTAAGGTAATTTCAAAAAGAAAGAAAAAGCAGACTCTCCAAGGATGATGAGATGAGCGTTCTTTAATATTAAACATCGACAATAGCCATTCCCGCCCCTTAACGCAAAACACCGCGCGCGCAAAAGACGACAACATACACATAAAGGGAAAGGAAATTTAAAAAGGAAACCGCTATTGAAGATCCGGGTATATTCCTGCCCTTGAGATATGAGGTAAAAAAAAAAAAAATCAATAAATCCAAAACTCCAGTACCTTTTTTCTTCACATAGGAATAAAAAAATAAAAATAAAAGAATAGGAAACTATCGCCAGCCAAACAGTTTTGCTTTCCACCCCTTCTTTACTTCTTCCCAGCTTTTCCTCTTGGTTTCCCGAGCTCTTTCTCGCTCCATCATCTTCAGCCTTGCCGCTAGTTCTTCGGCATCGACTTGTGCTATCTGTGCTGCTGCATCGGCCGGATGAAGTCCAACTCCTAGGATACTTGCAGCACTGCTACCGGGAGCGGTAGTAGTGCTGCTGTTGAGAAACCAGCTGCTGCGCTTTGAGTTAGGGCTGGTCCATTGATTCTCGGGGATGAGCAATGGAGGCGGCGCTATTCGCATCATTTCGATCGTGACATCGCCGTTAGGAGCGGTGGATTCGGAATAAATCCAATGACTGCCGATTTCGAGGCTAGGTAAGGGATGCTTGGTGGGAATAGTATTCCATGCAGATGGCGGATTATTGAAAGCGTTGATATGTGCCCCAGTTCCTGCAGGTCTAAAGTCAAGATTCAAGCTCTCGAATCCAACTACTGTATGTCCATATGAGATCACACCAAGGTCAGGGGCGTATCTCGTCTCGGTATTCTTCTCAACTGGATCTGCGCCTTTGTCGGGGGATTGCAAGTATCGGATTGTGGCAGGCCCTCCGAATATCGGATAAATCATTACCTGACCCAGAATACCCCCGCCCCTGTACTCCTCGCACCGGATAGAACCCCAGATAATCACGGAATCTCCACTGGGAGAGAAGAACATTTCCATATCTCTTTCTGGGACAAGACTGAAATATGGTGCTACGATGAAATTAAAAGCACATGAGACCTTTCCAGACGTAGCTTGAACGAGTACCACTCGGTGAAGGTTTTCATGGTCTGGAAACTGATGATGCGGGAATTTCTGGGCGAGCAACAGATGAAAACCCGAAGTATCTGGCTTGAGGGAGATCAGAGTAGCTGGTGAGATACTGAGCTGCAGCTCAAGCAGCTCTGTCTCTGTCGATAAGTCATTGCTTGAGGTTAGGGCATGAAATCGCATAATCATAATTCTGCTCCCTCCACTATTGTCAAGAGAGTTTAAAAACGCAATATAATGTTCGTTAAAAACTGGTTGGAGCCTCCTTCGCCCCGCCGTAGAATCGTTCTCAACAACACCATGGAAAACAGATGTATTTATATTAGCGGACCACAAAGTTCTTCCATTTCCGCCGTCTCTACAGTCGGTTAGGATAAACATTGATGAATTATCGCCTCTGCTGTATACTAAAAGGACTTTGCCGCGGTTCATATATATCCCGGACAATTCCTCGCGAGGAATAGAGACATGGATATCTTGGCCATTGATTAGGTTCCGTACAGTGATCCGGACCGACATTAGGTTGTCTTCGGCGTACGCTGTCAAAAAGTAACCCTCATCGGAATCTGTGTCTACCAGTCGGAACCCATCTGGCGGAAAAATCTCCGGTACTGCATAGCTATCCATGTGTGGTGGGGCCGGAAAAGCCACCTCCCAATTCAGTGACCATTTGCCCGTTTTCAGCCGATGAAGGCGGCTACAAACCGCGTTGAAATCATCGTATCGTTTTTTGCCCGCAGTCGCTGTTGTCGCGTCGTACGTCTCCTGCGCGAACGGGAAAAAGTGGCCGAGCAACGAAGCACATAGGGTCGGTTGCGAAAAGGCGGTGTTCCAGTCCCGGCAGACATGTCGTATAGAAGCGATATCGCGGAGCTGGAGCTGTCCTTTTGTGACGATCGCCGCAAGGACGTTAAGTGGGAGCGTGGGTAGCGACATATGGAAAGTTCGGGTTTAGGGTGGAGTGTTGAGGATGGAGGTGAGAGACATCATGTAATAACTCACCAACAGCCTGGAGCGATAGGATGTGGTGGTGGAAGTGGTGGTGGTGGTAGCTAGGTGGGTAGTGGTGACGTCGGAGGAGAGGGGCCTTGATGTTGTAATTAAATACTTTCTGTCCTGCTGTGCTTTTTGCCAAAATCCTTTCCGCGTAAATCTACTTTATGGGCGTGTGCTTCTTGCTTGGGGTCCAAAAAGAAAAATGACGGGAGAGAGAGGAGCGTGAATAAGACAGGAGAGAGAGAGAAAAAAGTTGGACGTTCCCTGGGTATGTTACAAGGTTCTTCCCCACATTCATACCCCCCGCTGCTGCTTGCTATATAATGCTGTCGGCTGGCTAATTCGACACGTAAGGTTGACAGCAGTTCTTGTGTTGCGCGATATCCTGGCTGCTTGATATGTAGGGAAGGAAAGAGTAGGAAAGGAGCGTATGAAGAAGAAGGTTGAACAGAGAAGTAAGTTGTAAGACAGCTCAGAAAGAAAGGAAGAGAGGAACAGCACAACGGTAAAAAAAAAGCTACAAGGAAGAAGGAGTTCATTTGTTGTAACTCATTGCTGCTATGGAAAGAACGGCCCTTAGTAAGTGCGTCTAAGGTGCTAATTAGCTACTGAGGATGAAGTCACCTCGCTGATGCAATTTCGCTTGTCAGGCACAGCAGCATGGGTTGTCCCGTACGCGCATGTCTATCGATGCCCGATAAAGGGAATGGCAAAACATGAAGGCAAGCCACGTTATCATAAAGAGATTGACAGCGGGGAGAGTGAGGTGAGGGTGAGTCTTGTCTGTGCGAGGTATTTTCCTCTTACTAGGCAGTCGCAGAGACAGCCAATAGTCTGGTAGAATGGCAACGGTATGTACTCTAGAGCCTGCAGCCACATCTAGAGTTGGGAACTGGGGAGCTCAATTGGTCTTTATCATATGTTAAACCTCTAAGGTGATATTTGTGGGATGCTGCGTGATCTTTTATTATGCAGGGCTCTAGCTCTGCGTAATCTTTTATGATCATCTACCTATTCCTTGAGGTTTAGAGTACTTGCATGGAAACTACATATGTAGACAATAGGACACTTTCCTCATGATCGAGATTCATCTGACTATCCTCTCTTGTCCGAATTATAGACCATTGTACCTACACTACTGGCAGAGTTCCGCAGCAGTATTCAACTCTACCTGGAGATTTTCTGACAGCTCAGCTTGAGATGTGGAGCACTAACTGGACTAGTTATTTACCAGCAAGTTGTCGAGGCCCGAATGTTCCTATTAAGTACTCGGACTCGGACTCGGAATGAGACAACACTACCTACCCGAGTCATACTCTATGATCAGTATCGAATCAGACTCTGTGAAGTACCGAATCATCTAAGAAACAGTGTCGGATTACTAGCGATGCCGAGAATTCTAGCTATGGATTATTACGCCTATTATTCTCCGGCCAGTGCTTGGTCACTGCACTAAACTTATATTGGCAATTTTATATAACTCTACAGGCGACCCCTCTGCCTCCGATATTTGGGGAATACGGAAGATACGTGATCAGCATCCAGGTGATTAAGTGCTAGCAACGTTCGAGCAAATAGGCAGAAACAAAAACAAATACGGCCGATCGATATCTCTGAGACACTTCTAAGGCCGAAGTGCACGATGATGTTCAAAACTATATCCTATCGGAGAATTTTCCGCTTTCGCTCTCGAACGGGAAGCTGTTGGTACCTACTTTATGTGATAGGTATCGTGGAATTACGCGACATGGTTTTGGATCCCTACAAATGCATGGTGCAGCAGGTACCTTCCGAGATGCCTTCGGGATCCTTCGAGACATTGGGCGCCTCTTCAGCCCTCAAGCGAAAGACCATTGGGGTTTCCGGAGAAAGTGGAAATACCGATTCTGAGGCCTTTTCTTCCTTAATTCAAACTTTTAATTTCACTTGTGTGCCATCTAGAACATGCTTCTCCAAACCGATAAAGACAAAAAAGTAATACAAAAAACTACAGCCGTGTTCCAAAACGAAGATAAGAAATGTAGGATACAACCCTTGTACAAAGCACATCGCCCCTCCCGCTCTTTCTAACTCCCAGTACCCCTCGCTGCCCCACAAACAGAACAAAAAAGCAGAAAGTCAAAAACTAAAAGTTATATTCAAACAAAGCAGCGTTTTTATTAAACAGCTTTCTTCAGCGGTCTCCTCAAATATTCGAACAACGCCAGTCAAGATCTATTCTGAAGAGTCCTCTCTCTTTACCCTCCTTCTGCCCTCAGTATCAAGCGATTGCAAGCTGATAGCATCATCATCATCATAGCCCCTGGTCTTGTTCGTTCGGCCAGCAAAAGCGACGTTGCCGTTGCTGTCACTGAGGAACTCTCGTAGGCGTTGCTGTTTCGATACAGTTAGCGTATATTTTCATATAGTTGTAGGAGTATAGGACGAGGGAACAAACCTTTCCGATATCTACGGCCTGTTGGCTCATAGCATTGCTAACTTGATAGATTGGTCCCCACAGGTTCGTCCTGTATATGACATAAACCACAAAGCAACACAATAACAAGAAAGCGAAGTACACTGGGCTCCTCAACACGGCCCAGATCTCATTCCACCCAAGCGCGAGCACCAATCCCCACATGAACATCGGGATCTGGGCCACACCATTAATAGTGCTGCGCTTCGCCTCTACAAAAACCGCATCGGCCATACGCTTGAATCTTTGATGCAGATCAATCCGCTTTGATTCGGAAATAACCTCAAACTCGTCTTTGGAAGGTCCAAGCTCTTCAAGGTCTTCCTCATAGTCTGCAGGTGCATCGCCGAGGAATTCAGCCAGCGGAGGCCGTTCTCCACTCGATAGGCGCATCTCAGAAACGAGCGGAATGAGCTTCAGGGTAGCGTCAAGGGCCTTTGTGTAGGAGCCTTCAATATCATCGGTTGGTTTCCAGACGCGGGGAACACCTGTTTCATCGTATCTGAAACGGTCTTCGAATCTGTCAATTATTAGCAATTGTCCGGAAAGCAATATAAAACAAGCGTGAGACACACTTCTCGCGAAGCTTCAACAAAAGGTTTCCCTCATGAACTTCTTCGTCAATCTTAGCCTTTAACACTCCCCAGGCCTTCTTCTTCAACCTCCAAGCACCAATGTCTCTTTCCTTCTCGCTAGCATTAAAGCTGGTCGCCCGACTCAAAAAGGTGTCAACTCCGTCGCCTACAACACCAATCCACACGTTCCAAACACGGTCCCAAAGGCCCCCCTTTTCCCTAGTGTTGTCTTCCATCCGCCTGAACTCAAGCTCGATCGGCTCGATGAGTTTTGCCTTGATGGCTTTCTCAAGCCTGGACACAAGTCGCTTCATTTCTTCTCCTCGTAAACGTCCTGCAACTGCATCGAGGTCTTTTTGCAAACCCTCGAGCTCTTTTTCATAATTAGACCACTCAGCGGTCGGTCCGGCGATGTAGCATTCGGATGCCTCTGTAATGAAAGCATTTACCACCTTACTCCTTGTCTCATCCACAACCTCGGCAAAATCATAAGATGCAGTCCCGGCATGAGCAGCTGAGTTTGCTTTCTTGAGGATGGCGGTGATCTCCTCAGTAAATTCTGCGAGCGCTCTCTTAGAAAGTGCGGTGAACTGGTTGATAACCAACACTCTCAGGCGGCCCTCAAGACCTGCGCGTAATTCATCCCTCTTTCGCCCAAAAACGCCCTTGTGATACCTCCCGCCGGCCTCTTCAAAGCCACCAACCGCTTCTCCGAGCGCTTTCTTCATCGCAGGACCAAGCCCGTCGAGTACTCCGCCCTTCTTGGATAGCTCCTCGAATGGCTGGATAATCTCATTGAAACCGGCAACGCAAGACGCTGCAATCTCGTCACATCGGAACTGGGCAAGCAGTTCCTGTTGCGAGGGGAGATCTAGATCCTTATTTGAAACAATTTGCTCCCACACACCTTCAGCATAAAGCGGGAAACCATCTGCAGGTATCCGTCTATGGTAGGCTGGAAGGAAAACACCGTTATTTTTATCATCGATAGGTGAACCGTCGCTCAGCACCTGTACATCTACACCCTCTCGGAACTTTGTTCTCAAAGCCTTTGTCTCTTCCAAAAACCTTTCAGGCTGAAGAATCTTGTGCGGGAGCGCAGCGAATTGGAAATCGAAGAAATCTGTAATTTCTGATTCTTCCATACCAGCGGGTTTGGAAAGAGATGACCAGATCTTATTAAGATCTGCCATGAGAGTGGATTTAAGACCCTCAAGAGGCGTATGACCGATGTGGTCACGAATCACAAAGAAAAGAAGTGATCGATGGGTGGTACTGTATTAATGTCAGCATCCTGTAAAAACCAAAAAGGTCAAGAAAAAGCACTTTTTGTCCTTCAAAAACAAACCCAAATTAACCTCAAATACAGTCTTCAATAAACCCATATTGGCTCCTTGATAGAGACCAACCTGGTGCTCCCAGATGTTGACAATCTATTTGCCCATAAATATTAGCCGTGGTGCCCAAAACTCAGTGAACAAGCATTTTTTTCCGTAGTGCTCATTATAACCCAACAACCAATCAGCGAAAGATGCGCAACCCACCAAAACCTCACTGGTAGCCAATGCAAATAAGGCACTTTTCCTTTCAAAGTCCTGGTCCTCTCCTCTCTCGCGACCATCGGTTCCCTCCACATCCATAACCAAAATATTATTTGTCATACCCCCTTCTCTATTGGCTACTAGCTGCTCATGATCCTGTTCGTCAAGAGCCCTCGACATCCAAATTCCCTTGGTAGTCTGTCTGCGAGCAGCCTCGTCCATAACTGAGAAGTGGGTTCCGAAGAGATGGTTGAGAAGGGTCGATTTTCCCGTTGACTGGGATCCAAATACAGCGACAACATGGTAGTTGAAACCCGCACTGATCAAGTTCTGAATAGCGAGGTATGTGGGGAGGTTCGGTCTAGGCAGAAGGGGCGTTAGAATAAGCTTTCCGGGGGATAAATGCGCGGAGAAAAAAGGGGACACGATGTGAAATGAAAAGGTGATCAACGCAGGGAAGCATACGTAAACTCCTTGTCCTCATCGATAACCTGAACGCCTTTCTCGTAAGTCTTGTAGTCTTCATCGCTGATATTCATTTTTGACCCCAAGTGGCCGTTCATCCCGCCTCCACCGTTCATGACGGACATTCTCTCGGACGTGGTGAGCTTGTGAGCGTTGAATATTATTGATTAAGGATACAGTCAATTACAAGGCTGAGGTTGAGGGGATAGAGAACAGTGAAAAACTGTGAAAGGGGCAGTATTAGGGCCTAGGAGGGTGAAGTGGTGACAGAGAAGAGAGAGAGAAGGATGTCAAGGCTGGAGGGCGATCTTGTAATTGTAGGTGTAGGGGATGGACAATCCAAGCTTCCGGGGACATCTGGTCTTTGCGTTATGGGTGGAAGCCACACCACATGACTGAGCCTCATCATGTGGCTTGATCATATTTGCGTCACCACATACCCGAAGACAACCACAGACGTGTCGAGTGGACATGGGTGAACCCCTAGCAGCATCAAATTCATCTTTTCTTCCATCCATCCCACCGTCCCTTCCATCCGCAGCAAAACTCTTGGGTCCACGTATCATATGTTATCGTTCGTTGAAGCCCATATGCACCGAAGCCGCTGCAGTCCCCTTTATTCTTCATCATCCAATCTCAATCAAGAAAGTGACAACGTATCATGACGATCATCCACCAACTGGAATACCAGATGCCTGTCACAGCAAAGACAAACATCCGCGCCCGGGAAAAAACCTACCTATCGAGAGTAAGAATGGCGGATGGTGCACCTCCCCTGATCCAGGTTTAACCTTGAGCACATGTCGGCAGGCAGAGCAGAGTAGATGAGTACATAATAATGTATGCATCATGAATCGCTACTCAGCCTGTTGCCTCGGAGTTACTACAGATAATTTCTACAGTATTCAGCCGTAACGGTGGAGCTGAGGGTGCTCGACTTCTGGCCTTTGAGGGGTCGCTTTTAGGATTCTAAATCTGTCTGAAAATGCCTTCTGGAATTTTCGCCCCTAACTAGTCTGAATTGATGGATGGATGCATGGACGTTTGTTCTAGCATGTGCCGTACAGCGGCATAAAGCAATGGATGTACCTGCTTTGTACCAAGCATAAGAAAAACGAACACCAATAATATCAGAGTGTTACTTGCATCAAGGGGACGAAATTTTGGCCTCATCTACCTTTTTGAAATTCCGAATTGGTCCTCACCTGTATGATACTTAGACCATCTAGGACAAATCCAATGAACCAAGAGACAATTGCAACAGGCCACGAGCTACATACACTAACTTGAGAACCAGCGCAACTGGCTTTATCGGTTGTCGTAGTGGGATAGAACTCAACCTTTCTGGGCTTTAAGATGGAGATTTGCGGTAGTTCCGAGTGATATCCGGTGTCTCAGTCGTCGTATGTATTACAAAATTTCATCAAGTACATGTAGTAATCCCCACAAACCGGGCAAAATGTAGCAAGAGCTGGATACGGAATCCAATAATGCCAGGAAGCAGCCGTTCTTCGTTTTTCCGTGGCCAACATTCACAAATCGAATGTTTTAGCCTTCCTAGTGCGTTATCGTGCCAAGACACATACAATGCCAAAATTCGGTTACATGGTCAATTGATCTCGCTGCAAACAGCACATTCACAGCCTAAAATGGCTATATACTCCTCGGGTGCCAGGAGTTTTCTGAGTTGTCATTTTTTATGTTCCTGGCTTTGAGCAGGTTTTTGACCGGAGATGGTGCGCGATAAGCACTGATCTAACAAGCATAAAATGCTCAAGATTTTTGCACAAGCAACCTCGCTCGAGCATTACAGGTGGTTCTATGAAGAGCGAGCTCGGGCGCGTGGCTCGACCGCTACAAATCTTAAATAATCTGTTTTTGCGGCCGCGGCTTTATTATTAACAGTCTCAACTGATATTACTCCCACAGACCTCATGTCTCAGTATGTTGTATTTATTACGCTCGAACCCGCACAAAAACGCTCGACTTTAGAGCACTGGAGGCAGCGCTCAATTGCTCGAGCATAAATCAAAAGCTGCATACAGTCAGGGTGTACTCATGCGACCCAGCTGCTTGAGAGGTCTCATTGTCATTCTCGGCCACCTCCGCTCACTCAGCTAATCAACAGCCAACTATCACAGTATGAGTATCATACTCGCATCTTTTTGGAATTATAAAGAGGGCATCCCGAGGGCTTTTCTAGGCGCTCAGACCATTATGTGGCCCCTCCAAAGTGGGAAACTTCAGTGGCACCAGCGGAAGAAATCCAATATAACAATACCACGTTTTTTGACACGTACACGAAACATAACTCATCTTCACATGCCTTTATCTAAAATTCATTTCTACCTAGGATGATAATTCTCGGTAATCGGCGGGATGAGGCGAAAGAGAAGGAGGGGCAGCGTGGGCACCTCGTTCGGTATAAATCCTTCTCTGGTTTAAATTCCCGAAGTCTTCGGTACTGAATAGAAAATAAGAAGAAAAGAAAATGAAAGTAGGCGTGTCTAGGCCACACACCCCTCATCGTTGGTAGTGATACGTGCTATGGCGTAGATGGCAAACTTTTTGGAGTCACCTATGCCTACATGGCTTCCTTAGTAATTGACACAAAGAATGGTACTGTGGAAAAAATACTCATAACTGGGAACTCATGCATGATAAAGGAACATCCTTATCTTAAGGACGGGGAGTGTGGGGTCACAGTTGATCACTCGGCGACATTTGAGTGGTTACAGGATTAATCTGAGATTCAATTGATAGAATTGGCCACTTTGGGGGTTTATTTACTACGCCTGACACAACCTCAGTGTTCCTTCTGGATATAAAGGGCCAAAGAAGTATTTTGATATATTAGAGCGCGCCTGGAGCGATCCCAGGGTACATAGGTCGTTTCAGGGAAAGGCTTTAGGCTCTGTTCGGACGGACGCCAATACCATGGTATTCACCCAAATAGGAAGGTGTGCGAATCAACGTAGTATTTGAGTGCTTGGATGGCCAAAGTTCCTGGTTTTGATACCATGAAAACCCTACAAAATGTCGTGGTTTCAACAAACACATCTGGGGTTTAATTCTTGTGGTTTCTCGATGTTTTCATGCTTCTACTCAGTAATATTTCATCTCCATCTGAACGCTCTTGTATTTGGGCATTACTCAGGCTTACCTCAGAGCACATTACCAGGCAGTCAGATTTACCACATTATTAAATACCACGTCCGTTCAAAAAGAGATGTAGCTCTTATTACCTGAAGGAAGATCGCCAGTTCATTATGGGGAATTCCTAATGTAGCTAACTTGATAGTACCTAGCTCATCAATCAATGGGTCCAACCGTTCAGTGGACCATACTGGCATTGAGCTCATGAGAAATATCTTGGCTAATCAGCATCCCCAGGTAGAGAACCAGTTATAACCTAAAACTAGGTCCCGATACGAAAATCCAAAATTTAATGTTCTTTGAACGCCTACCCAAAAAGACAGAAAACCCTCGAACGTCTCCACAATATCGAACTCCGCCCAACCCCGTCCATTTTTTTTTCTCTTATGAAATAATAAGGAAAAGAAAATGAGATATCAAAAAACAGCATAGGGAAACTTATAAGAAGATACGTAAAGTAGGAACAATAGACGCCAGCTAACCCATCAAATACTCCAATACAAAGCTAGTTCCGCGGTGTCACCACTTAAATCACACACCTTGGCGACAAAGAGAAGTATGCATATACTACCACAAAAAGCCAATATCTAGCTCAGCAACTCATCTCTTAGGAAATTTGGACTTATGTTGCGCCTGCGAATTACCTCTGGGGGAGAAAATTCCAACCGGAATCGTCGATTTCTCTCCCGCTCTGCCTCTTCCCATTCGATCACCTCTTGCTCAGGTGCCCAAAAGGTCTCAGAGGGCGGAGTACTTACAACCCTGGATTTATTCCACCAATCATATTCTTCGTCGTCCGAAAAACGAGTGATGGACTGTAGTTTATTTTCCGTCTCAGAATGAGAGCTGGGTGCCGCTTGATGAGTCTGGCTGAGGGAACTTTCCGATACTGGCTGTAGTCCGGGGAAAACCGTCTCGAGGTTAGGTGCGTCAGGAAGTTGTTGATTAGAGAGAGAATTGGGGACTGAAAGTGGTGGAGTTGAAGAGCAAATTGCACGGAGATGGGGGAGACAAGATGCACCTTCCCCGTGTCTCTCGGGCCTTGTCTCTACTGCGAACTCCCATCTCTCGCGCTCACGGCATATGGAATAATAATTCGACGGTCCTTGGGCGGTTGCGCTGGGAAGTTGGAATGGGTACGGCTTGTGGAAGAAACTTCCGATGCGTGGATAAACAGTATAGCCGTTTGGCTGATCAGTATGGACAGGGAACGCCTGCGAAACCTCAGGACTCGATACAAGAGTATTGAGATGGCTATGCCCGGATTCAGATTCGAGTTCCGTCGAGGGTCTCAGCTGGGGGCCCGGCTCATGAGGATTTAAGAAAAAGTTGGGACCTGGGAAAAACGGCGCCGGTCCGGCCATTGCACAGTGTAGTCGCCCATCGGAGCGTCTACACCGACATTCTTCCCGCCTTTCGACTTCACCAGAGTAGTAGCAGTAACTTTCCTTAAACCTTTACGCACCGTCACCATGTCAGCTCTCTATATCGATCTATATATAGTTATGTGATAGCCAGGAGAATGTGAACGTTTTTTAATACACACCCGCAAATCATGTGCCGGCAGCCAGCGCTAATATTCTCAACAATTGTTCCACAGTCCCTACATCTCTGCCATCCCGGATTCACCTCAAGAAACGGCCTTTCCGACCCCAGGATCGAAATCCGATCAGTGTTAGTCTCTAGCTGAGCTGGGTGCTTACATGACCAGCACGTAATCCCACCACACTGGCACCTGACCGCATTGCGTCTGCCCTCGCGACTGCCTAGATATATGCCGCAGCCCCTTCTGCTACAGTATAATCTATTCGCAGGCGACGTTGATAACTCCATCGACTTTTCGCAGTACAAGTTGAACTCGTATGAGCTAAGAAAGCTTATGGATGTGGCAGTGGAGAGGAATGGGACACCGCAACAGCCGGCGGGCCAGCTGCTTTTGTTCGAGGTTGCTTTCCTGTAGAAGTCCTTGATACAATCGGCGCAGTACTTGTGCTTTGCGGGGCAATGGGCGGCGTACAACACGCAGTTGATTCGATCACTAGGGCAGGTGCGGCAAACAGGTACGTTAGGTCCCGGGAATAATACGAGCCGGGACAGCGCAACGGAATTGTCAGTTGGGGTTGGGAACTCGGGCCAAAACTTTGGTTGTGATGGTTTCCAGTTATCTGTCATTTGTGAAGTGCAGCTGAGGATTTCTGGAGGGTATAATATCACTGGGAGGGAGAGGTGACCGGTGGTCTAAAGCTCGACCTCATGAAGTGCCTTATGGCTTTATAGGTTTTTTAGAAGAGTTGTCATAGAGAATCCAGGGCCGTGGTGTGACATGACGTATACGGATTCTGGTTTCTATTGCGCGGTCATATCTAGAAAACTTTGTTACTATAATTACTTGATGGGTGAATTCGCGATGTATGACGCTAATGGTTTGGTTGGTTTGTCAAAACGCGTTGCAGTCGCGGTTGGACTAGGCCGGAATGGCTGAGTAAATCATACATTAGCGACAGAATTGGGGCCTCGTTAACGGAGCTCAAGACGACAAATTGCCTCCCCGTAGATCATAATAGCTCCTTAAGCTCTGTGAGTGATCAATTATGATCCACGTCTTCTACGTACTGACATCACCCCGCTTGACTAGTCTTTAAAGCCCTGGACAATATTATCTAATATATCGAGTCTTTGATTAGGATTAGGTCTCATTGTTCTCAACCGCACCACCGGGGAACTGTGGTAATCCACTCCGGAAAACCTTTAGTGTCCTTGTACAGTTTCTGGTCCGATACCACCCATATTCCCGGGCCTTGACTGGCCCCAAGGCTTTATGGGATTTGGCCCCGAGATACCCCGAAGCAAATCAGCTAGTGGAATAGTGGCAACTCTGCCGGATGAGCCCTTGGACTCTCATCCCTCTCGATCATGGCCTATTGCAATCATAGACGCAGCGCAATTACAAGGAGGCATAGCTTGATTCGCGGCTTTAACTTCAAAAAACAACCGGCTAAGGCATCTGGAGAATCTGTGATATAGTTTCTAGATCAAAAATTCGGATGTACAAAAAGACTATATTCCCGGAGTTTACGTACTTCTCTTTTGAAGCATCTCGACTTAGCTGGGGTCAATTGGATCAGAGAGATCATGCACCAGCTACTGCGTAGTCAGCGAATATCTCGCTGAGGCGACAGTAAGTATGTCATATCCCGTCGAACCTACCGATCGACCTCGCCCTTCTTGAGTCTCTGCCAATCTTGAATCTCTGCCCATGGAGTTAAATGACTATCATCAAGAACAGGGAACAAAATAGCAGACGCATTGAGATTGGCCACTTATTTTCCTTCGCTTTCTAGTGCGGGGTTGTGTTTGCGATAAAACGGGCATAACAAATCAAGATTTATCGTTGTCGTATGACGGGATGACCGGAGATATATGTGTTGGCTTGAGAATCGCGAGGCCTCGAGGTTCCGGCTTCTTGGGGTGCTGGTTGATGACTGGGGCTTGGCACTGGTCGGTACAAAAACATGTCGTTTTGATGCTTTCCGGTCCCGGGGGTTGGCGCGCGGCTGTTGTTTTGGGGACACAGGCTCAGAACGGAGGATGGTGATTTCAGATCGCAGGTGCCGCTTTTCGGTTTCGACGGCGAAAATCGGTGCATTATACTCAACTGCGAAAGTCTTGTCATTTATCGTGAGCTAGCTGCAAAACAGTGGTGTTTTTTATCCCCAGGGTTGGTTTCTAGTACATAGATCTACCCCCTAGAGTGTTTATCCCCAGGGTCCAACTACATACAAAAACAGAAGAGGAAAAAAACTATCTAGTACAAAAGAATTCGAATGTACATATCTACAAAAAAAACCCACAGTTCCACAAAGAAAACTAACCCTGACCCACCACCCATCGACCCAACCGTAGCTTCACCGGCCCCCAGACCCTCCGTTCCACCGTCGCCAAAAGAATGAGAACGGTGAAACCGGTTAGAGGAGTCATGGTTCCTGATTCGGGGAGAGCCAGCGACTTGAAGAAGTTGGGGGAGGTGCTGCTGGGAAGTAGCAGTATGAAGTTTTGAAAATTTATAGTAAACGACAGTGCCAAGACGAGTGGAATTTTGTCAGCTATTAGAATAGGTAGCATAGTGAAGTCGGGATAGTAGAATATTCTGAATGGTAGCATATTTTTAGTTGGCCAACGTCCCTGAACGAGTTTGTATGCGCAGGTTTTCTCTCAATATATAGTAGCATATGCAGGGCTGTCCTCGATCGACTATATATAAGCCATTATCGAGACCTCACAGTACTTCCTTTTTGGCGCTTTTAAATTTGTTTGGGGACGTTTTGTGCTTTATTAATACATGTACGTTCGGGGCGGGAGTAACATGACTCGGGGCTCCACAGCACAGGAAGGATCAAAACAGCTATTTACAAGTCACAAAATACTATTACTATAATACTATTACAATCACTATAGCCGGATCTCGCTATAAGGATACGCGCTAGAACGGAAAAAAAATACCCTTATAGAGCATATATTCCTATAGGCGAGAGGCGAGTGATATTACATGATCAGTAGCCTAGGCACTGTCAAGAAGTAGGTCCCTGGACGCCGTGAGGCGGCGATAGTTCACAGCACGGCTTCAGGTTCGTGCATGAGAATGTATGCCCTAATCCTACTTTTCCTATAAGGATGTCCATTACTTCGGTTAGGTCCCAATTCAGGACTATAACCACTCTGTCGATCCTGATGAGGCCTTTTGAAGCCGAAACAGAGAGAGTCTGACTAGAGTACATAGACAGACTGCACGACAGACACTACGTGTTTTTTTCCAAAAGTTTTCTCCGGATAGTAAGGTTATCCTAATAGCCAAATATCCAGCTTATTTCCCCACCAGAAACCACCGAGACCGTACCGTCTCAGGATATGATATCCTTATAGAATTTATGTACTTATCCTTACAAACAACATCTTTATAACAAGATCCGACTGTATTTCATAAATGGCTATTATATTAAACATTAAAGAGAGCAAAAGATGGAAATTCTAATTGCGCCAACACTACTATTCGCAACCATTATATTAGACATTAAAGAGAGAGCAAAAGATGTAAATTTCTATTTGCTTCGGCGCTATTACTACTACTATTGGAGCACAAAAGCAGAAAATATTTATTGAAAAGAGAAGGGCGGGGGGGGGAGTATATAAGTAGTTACTCTAATTCCAATTCCTTCACTCACTCAGTAACTAGCTAAGTGCGTACTTATACCGGGGTTCCTCCCTTTACTCTCTAGAAATAGAGGAGGCACGACAAGACAGAAAGAAAGACAAGAAAAGCAAGAAAAGAAAAGACAAGAAAAAGACAAAAGAGACCCTAGCACCCTACCCCCCAACCACACCTAAAGCACAATATCCTCCACCTCCACCCCCTCCTCCTCCTCCCCGCCCATCCCCACCTGCACCAACCCCGCCTCCCCCCTCTCCCTCTCCATCCTCTCCACCATCTCCCTCACCCCCTCGCCCATATCCACCAACACCCCGCCCCCATCCTCATCCTCCTCCTCCTCCGCCACCAGCGCCAACCCCGCCTCCAACCTCTCCTTCTCCCTCTCCGCCTCCCCCCTCTCCCGCTCCAGGAAGTCCGCGCTATACCCAAACTTCCACCGCGCCGCATGCTGTATCAGCAGTCTCAACGACCCGCGGATCGCGTCCTCCGTGATCAGGTAGTGGCAGATACTGCACAGCGCCAGCCCGCAGCCGTCGCACGTGTAGTGCGTCGACGCCGTCGTGATGTCGCACGCGAGACAGGTCCCGGGCGCGGCGTGCTCCGTGAAGTGCGTGTGCGGGAGCTTGTGCAGGTAGTTCTTGTAGAGGTGGGAGGTGGGGGTTAGCTTAGGCGTGTGGGCGGCGGGGGCGGGGAGGAGGAGCGTGGACGCGGGCGGGAGCGGCTTGCGTCGGATGCTGAGGTGGCGGATGGGGGATGGGGGGAGCGGGAGGGGGCGGGTGCGGGTGCGGGGGGTGCCGACGGGGGTTGGGGGGCGCTCGGGGGGCGGGCTGGGGGCGGACTCGCGGGTGTGGCCGTTGGCGGTGGAGATATGCTCGGGATCTTGGTAGAGAGGCTGGACCATGTCGGTGGAGATGAGCTCGACGTTTTGATACGGGGCCCGAGCGATATCTTCGTGATGCTGGGTCTGCACCTCGGCGGTGGTAGAGCTATTTCCGGGGGTAGCTCCCTCCAGCTCAACGCCGGTCATGGAGTCAGACAGCTGGATAAGGGAGCCCAGATACGGCTGCAACAAGTCAGGATCAATCGGGATACCCGGTGGGAGACGGAGCGGTGCAGGAGGGTGCTGGAGACTGTTGTCGAGAGCCGCGTCGTCGACCGGGGCAGCGGGGGGTGGGGGAGAAGACATTCCTCGCTGTTCGTGGTTGGTCTCGTGTGGTGTTTTTACCAGCGGGGATGATGATAATGATGTTTCTGGGATGCTGGGAGTTTGGATGGGATGATGGGAGTTGGCTAGTGGTGGAGGTGAGGTTGGAGACTTGGTGGTGAGTAGGTGGAGGTAGCGTTTGGGCAGCGGAATAGAATGGCGGTGGCCGAGTGATGGGCTGTGATGGGTGGGAGGATGTTGCACAGAGAGAGGTTTGCTGTGGTTTGGGTCTTTTTGACTCTTGGATGATGATGATGATGATGATGCTGATGATGCTGATGATGATGCTGATGATGATGATGAGTGAAGGAGTGAAGGAGTGAAGGAGTGATAGAGCAGGCCTGTCTTGATGTGTATGATGTGTCTTGGTTTGGCCAACTCTGCTGGTTCTGTGGCCGTTCCAGTGGCTAAATATACGCACGTGTGGTGTGGAGCACAGTCATCGCGTGTCACTCCAGTTCTTAGGTTTCACTAGCGGTGGCATTATATACGGCAAAGAAGACGTTGGTTGAGTCTCGTCAAGTCTTCGAACCTGCGCAGAACTGGTCTCAGGCAGGTGCTTATCGGTATATCAGGATCATACTAGACCCTCGAGTCTTTCCATGCATATCAACCAAGCTAAACGGCAGCACCAGCAGCTTCAAGCCATGTGTCTTTACAGTCACCGGTGCAGTGTGTACTGTGAATATAGGAATGATATTCTACTCATAGACAGCCAAGGGCCACTGCCCAGTACTCATAGCATGTTAAGAAAGCATACAAAAGTTTCCTCAAAATCCACTCCCCCAAAACACCAATAGAAAAAAGCCATACAAGACCCAACCCCTCAAAAATACACCCAGAGACCCCCTCTTCGCTAATAACATCAATAGGAAAAAGCATATACAAAAATCTTATCAAAACCCAATCCCTCCAGATTGATACTCACTAATACCCCGCCCCCCACATCCCCACAAAATCGGAAATCACAACGAGAAGTGCCTTTTGAGGAAACCTTTGCGCCCATTTGTAGCCCTGGCGGCACACTCGTCCCTGATAGCACGCTCCATGTTGACGATGGCGAAGATGACAGCAACAGCTACATCGATAGTCTCCATGACGATCGTCTTCTGGATCCACATCTGCCCTGCTCCAAGTTCGATTGCTGCAACTGGCTCGGGATAGTCCGAGTTGTAGAGCTACCAGAAATGTTAGCCAGATACGAGCAGAGAGGGAATATTGAGGTTCATACTTTGATAACAGTGCAGTTCAGTTCATCGAAACTAGAAGCAGTGGAAGAGCGCTTGCTATCATCCACACCCGCACTTCCATAGCCCTGAGCCTCGGCCTGCTCCTTCTCTCTCCTCCTTCTCGCAGCGTTTACTTCTGAACTGTGATAGCCCTCGCGCCACTCGGTTGTGCCGTCGGGGTCATAGATACAGCTCCAGGAGGAGCCTTCCCAGATCCACCAGTACTTCCTCCGTCTATCTGCGCTTTTCGAGTAGTGAAGGATCACGCCGGGATCTCCATTGATCTCTTGACCGGCCATGTACAACGGGGTGACAACGCTCCTATCCGGAGTGGAAGTAAAGCGGGTTCCCAAGGGCTTATTAAGGTCCAAACTGACGGCACGAACACGCGGAGAAGCATAGATTCTCGCAGCAACAGTGTCTTCTCCCAGGGCTCGTGTGACCTCAGCTGCGCAGGCCTTGAGCCCCAACTTTTGAAGGAGAGACTTCTCAGAAGCAAGAACGATATCGGAATCGCCGGCATCCTCATTGGGGCCGAATATGAGACGCCATTCAGCATACTCTTCGAGAAAGCGGACACAGGTTGTGGTCGTGCTCTGGCGGGTTACAAAGTCTTTACGGTCCAAGAAGTATTGTAACATGGATGGACGGTCAGGAGCAGCGTGGGGCGGCTTGCCGGCGTAGTTGTTACTAATCGATTGTAACGCCGAGACCTTGGGTACAGGCACTTTTGGGAGGTTGTGATCCGCCGGATGGAGAGCTGGGTAATGCAGGTAGAGAGGCGAGAGCGGGGAGGGTCCAAGGCCCCAACCGGGTGTAGGACCAATGGTTCTGCGAGTCATTTCTGATGATTAGCTTGAACAAAATACTCATATTAAGTTGTGAAACTTACGTATAGACATTGAGGACGATAAGATCATCGACATCACGCCTCCGAGGGTAATGGGTCTTGATATTTGAATAGTCCTTATTCGCAACCATATCTTCCTGCATCTTCTGGAACGACGAGGACCAATAGAGTTTCTTGTGGGCTATCTCGGGATTCATATCGATCAATGGGTGAGAAAGCGGGGCGTGAACACGCTCGACAGCACTATATGCGGCAGCCATCACTGTGGTTGATGATGGCAGTGATGATGGTTGTGACTTTTTGATGGATGGAAATGGGAATGGGTAGACAAGAGGTCGAGATCGAGGTCGGGGGAGATGTTTACTGGCATCAACAAATCTAAATTCTACATTGGGTATACGGGGGTGCGAAACCTATAACCGCATGTCTAGAACTGCCCCGGTCCGTTGACAGATAGTATTCGTCCAGTGGACGTGGGTTGTGGGTCGAGTGATGTAGGGAGATGCGGTAGTTGGTCGTGGGTGGCTCGTTGTGGAAGCTCGTTCCGTTGTATGCATGATTGTGAAAGCCAGTAACTCGTTTCTTGATGGAAGATTTCTCACAGGTATTATTAGAGTGTAATGTTTCCATATTAGAGCGGGATACGCTGTATTTATGATGGGAGGATGTTCTTTTCATCTTAAGTGATCATTGAGTCATCAAGCGTGTAATACATGTATCTCTGATTTCGTTGGCCGTGCTCTGTCTGAGCGTTACAAGTCTCTTCCTCATCCACGACACACCACGCTGCACTCTTGGTTGTTTGCCCATCTGAAGAGTTGCGTACTGAGTCACTCATATAGTTAGCAACGAGCGCTGCCACCAGCCGCTTGCATTATTAGTCTCAACCCCGAATCTTGTGGTTTGGTACATGCAGGTACCTTTAACATTGCATTTTAGTAGATGGAATGATTGCTAGAATACTAGTGCTCTTGATAGGGTTTAGCGTAGAGCGGTGGATCCCGCTAATGGATTGTGGGTTGTGGGCGCTTTTGCGCTAGCTTGGCTGCGAGTGATGGGCTGTGATCACGCGAACCTCAACTGTGAACCTCAACTGTTTAGGGGACTGTCTAGCTTGTATCAACATCATACCGCGGGGTGAGGACATAATCGACTATAAGACCATAAACAACGCTTTCTTCTTAATTTCACCACGGCATACCGTTTCTGGATTTACATTATCTTTTGGTCGGTACGTCATAATTCTAGCGCCGAGCTTGAGACATCCCTTGTGTCACAGAAGCTTGAATATATGATCCCACTACGTTCATTGAATACCGACCCTTCAAAAATCTACATCACCGCGAAGCTTCAGATCTTGCCCAACCCAGAATCCCTCACCACCACCGTCACCACTTGATCCAGCGGCGTCGCCGTGTACGTGTACGGCACACTCGTCAGGCTCCCCACCTGCGTGATGTTTTTCGGATATCCGCCAAAGTCATTAACTACCACCCCCCCGACGACACCCACATTAGCACTCTCCCCGGCCACACCATCCACCCCCCTCTAGGAGCATTCAAACAACTTACACTGCTCATTCGCATACCCATCCGGCTCATAGTCGCCGTCCGGGCTCGTGTTCGGGCTATCCTGCGGAATCACCATGCCGTACGTCGAGATGCACTCGGTGACGTTGCGGAACACGTTGTACTCGATGAGCGCCTGCGCGCCCGAGCGCGTGTGGATCGCCTGCGCGAAGATGTCCTTGTAGTAGTTGTTGTAGACGTGCGCGAAGCTGAAGCGCAGCGCGGGCGTGCGCGTCGACAGGTTCTCCCACAGGTTGTGGTGGTAGGTGATGTGGTAGGTTTCGCCGGTTGCGTCGGGGTTGCCGCCGACGAGGGAGGACTGGGGGGGGCGCGGGTGGGTTAGTTGCCATGCCCGCTCTGGGGCCGTTATAGGTGGGCGGCCGGGCAGGGGAGAGGGCGGACAGCTAGCCAGCCGGCCAGACAGGGAGAATGAGAAGGAAACGCACCTTGAAATGCGCATGGAAATAGTTATAACTCAGCGTCACATAATCGCTGCCGCTCGTGACGTCCACGAGGCCATCATAGTAGTCGAACCCGTTCAGCACGTCGCTGCTGAAGTCGCAGTGGTCGATCCACACGTTCGTGCTCGACTTGACGCTGATGCCGTCGTTGCCCACGATCTTCTGCGTGGCGATGTTGCGGATGATGACGTTGGAGACGCCAGACACGTCGAGGCCCTTGCCCGTCAGGATGGCGTTGGTCCCGATGCCGAGCAGCGAGGTGTTGGAGCCGATTTGGGGCCGCGCGGTCAGCGTGATGGGCACGGAGAATTGCACGATTTTTTTGGTGTTGCCCTGCGGTGTGTGTGAGTATGGGGGAGGGATAGAGGGATTTGATATTGGAGTGAGAAGGCGGGGAGACAGACCTTGACGGCGGCAATTAGGGCGGCGGAGGTTGAGACGGTGGTTACGGTGCCCCCGGTGCCGCCGGTGGTGCCGCCATTGAGGGTTGAGTAGCCAACTTGGGGGAATAGTTCCTGGCCCTTGACGAAGCTCAGGGACGCAAGGGAGAGCAGGTGGAGCGAGAGCGAAAAGAACTTCATCTTTTCAATCTTCAATTGCGAATGTTACAACTATATCGAATTGAAGTAACTACGTTATCAATGGGCCAAGATTGCCCTTTATAAGATGGACGACTTGATCATTCTTCGGGAAAGTACACATATGAATACGCCGAGAGAAACGGGGTTCACGGGAGAAAGCACCGGGAACGTTGCTACGCAAGCTTCGTAGATCTCTCTAGGCCTGGGTTCTCGGGATATCGGTGGAGTTATAACCCTGCACTCATAGTGGTGGTGGTGGTACTACATGAAGATAAAGTAACCGTGCAGCATGTTTTCTACTTGTGAAACATTACCAGATCATCATGTCTAATCAACAAAAGGCGTTATATAGATGAATTTGCGGGGGAGGATAATCACTCAAATTTGACATAAGGCGAATATCGGCATCTCAGAATGATATTGTGTGTGGTTACTATGCTTTAACTAGCTAGCTCTTACATGTGATTAATAGCTGTCCCAGACAGCTATCAAATTTCCCCGCTCAAATATCATAGGTAATCACTTTGGGAGTCAGGTAAGAATCCAAAGAATCCCTCCCGAATCCACTATCTTTGACCCCGTGAAATTGCAATTGCGCCTCCCACGAAAGTGTGGCGCCATTAATAGTAATGAGACTACATAGTCGCAATGATTAGCAATATCCTAAGCACCAATTTTCAAGAGATGTCATACCCAGTCTGTAACTTCTTCGCGACTCTCAATGCTCTTCTAAGATCCTTCGACCAGACAGCACCCACAAGACCATAAACGGTATCGTTGGCAATCCTGATAGCCTCCTCCTCGTCGTCTACAACAAATAAGGAGGCAATAGGCCCAAAGCTCTCTTGGTGATATAAATCCATTTTATCTGTCACGCCACGGATCAGAAGATTTGGGAAGGAGTTGCCGCCGCTCTCAAAGTTGAAGCTGTCATAGGCCTCCTGGTTGACAATCTTTGCGCCAGCGGCAACAGCAGAGTCCACGAGTGCCTTTACCCGTCGTGGAGCGTCTGGGTGCAGGAGGATTTGAGAAGTACCGAAGATTGCTGAGGCAGCGATGAACGCCTTTGCAAAGGCGTCCGCGATAGAGGAGTGGACAATTATCTTGTCGGTCGACATGCACACTTGCCCGGCCTATAAAGAGGGTTAATACCGCCAACTAAACTTATAAAAATGGAGCGGACACCAACAAATGCAAGCGCCCCAAAGGCAGCTGATCCTGCAGCTTCTTCAACATTGACATCCTCAAACAAAATCAAAGGTGATTTTCCACCAAGCTCCATAACAACAGGCTTCAAATGCTCCCCAGCAAGTGCTGCAATTCGTTTCCCTATAGCTGCAGAGCCGGTAAATGAGACCTTTCGTATGGCGCGTTGCGAGATAAGAGCTTCGGTGATCTCCGCTGCATCTTCACGGCAATGTCCAATGAGGTTGATGACACCCGGCGGAAAGCCGGCGGATATAATAAGAGAGGTGAGGATGAAATGGGTTCGGGGGGAGAGTTCGGAGGATTTGATTATTACTGTGTTTCCGGCTGCGACAGCGTAAAGAATTCCGCGTACGAGGAGAACGATTGGCGCGTTCCTGAGATAAGTTGTTAATAAGGAAACGTATTGTATTGAAGCTGTGATGAGTTATAGTTACCAAGGAATGATAGCAAGTACAACACCGAGGGGTTCCTTAACAATTATTGCAGCTCGTCCTATAGTCATAAGCATACATGTATGTACTACACTATAACAGATCATACATACCTGGAGCTCGAACATCTGGAACGCTTCCTTCAATCCCCGCCAGTTCACCTGCCACACGTCGTGTCAACTCTGAAGCCGTACTCATGTTAAAGTCGACCCAAGGCCCGTTCGCCGCAGTCTCAATTGCCAAACACTCTCTGAGCTCGCTGCCCTCATTGTCAAGGATATCTGCAACTTTATGTAGAAGCTGTTGTCGTTTAACAATGTTTGTTGCAGCCCATTCGGGAAAGGCTGCGGTAGCAGTTTTAGTAGCTGCTTCAACGCATTCGAGTGTGGCGCTGGAGGCCTTCCAGAGTGAGGTTGTAGGAGAGGAGGGGTTTCTGACAGTGAAGGTCTTAGTGGTGGTATAGGGCTTGTTGTTAACAATGAAAGGAGTGATATAAGTGGGGTCACTGAGAGTCATTTTATATTCTGGCTATGGGATCTTTTGTTGAGATAGATATCGATAGGGGGATTGAATTTGAAGAAGAAATGGTTGGGCGTAGAGTTCTCATTTATAATCCTCATGCTCAGCAGCGGCAGGCCAAATGTTTTTTTTACAGCCCCACACGAAACCGAATCTGCATTACAAGTCTACCCCTTAGCGGGATGAGTTTAGAAAAGGATCTGAACACACGTAGCCCTATAATATGGCTCCGCGATGTACCGGCTGTGTTATGTACATAACCTGCAGATCCTTAAGATATGCTATATATTCGGAATACTAATGCAAACTACTAGGCGTCTCGTGCCCAGCCTTCTTCTGATTGGCTATTAATCGAGAGTCTACTACTATCTCTATAATTGAAGTCTGGTTCAATAACTTTGAGTATGATTTAGGTGGTGCGAAGATTTTTCTCCGCTGCATCAACCCATGAAGCATAAATATATAGTTCGGCGTTAAATGATATTATTCGGATTATAGGGTTCAGTTAGGGTGGTAGAATACACTTTTCTAGCTTTTCCCGATGAAACTCTATCTACTTTTCGTAAATTCAGATTAACGAATAGATATATAAAAACCCGGGACAAGCCTCGCGATCAGCCGGAAAATATGTACGTAACTTTTCGTCCATTAAAGTGTATATTAGGCTTTATATATTCCGGAAAACTGTTTTGAGACTTCTTCTTTGATTACCGAGGTTTCTACTTTTTTTAAGCCCATAGGACTAAGAAGGCTCGAGGAATTTGCTATTGACGTTGACATATGGGCCTCAATCTGTATGGATTCCAAGCGCAGCTAATTGCTGAAATGTAAACGCAGTACATGTACATGCACTAACCGATTGATTCCTTACTATCTTCGTCGAGCCTCGCTCATGATCAGGTATTGATCCATATAATAAGGTGCGATATAGACTTTAGTGTAATCAACTATGGCATCCGGGATGTGTTACTAGTGCCTAGCACTCGGGGCGGTTTTGTCTCGCGCGGCACTTGATGGATTGGCCAATATTTAATCCGGTCAGCATTCTTCTCGGGATAAGCACGACTATCCTGGAAGATTGTAAATCAACCGCGCTAGGTGCCAGGGATGTGCTTAAGTCTTATCTTTTCGTACGATCTTTTCGTACGATTACCAGCTCATGTTATGGTGGGGAAACCCTTGACACAGAGTGCCGCGACATTGATTTTGCTTTTGCTTACTAACTCATACAAATTACGTGCCAAGAGTGGTCTGGACTAGGGAAAGTACTTTTTTTGACCATACAATTGCAAGCGACATTGTCCCAGCCAAAATATTTTTATAGCTCAACAACGAAGAATGATTTTAAAAGTTCGAGGAGATAGAATGGTATAGCAGGTGAAACTGAGCTATAAGCGGTCAAAGCTGAGGTGTCCAAACTACTCCGTGACAAGGCTTCCCCCACCATGCATGTCTGTACCTACTCGATAAGACACCTGATAGGGTATGTACATATATGTAGTACGGAGCCCCCATCTAGAGACGTGATCGGGATACAGGAGGTACTGATGAAACTGGATATTCAATGAGCTCTTAGTTCTTAGATAAGCGCTAGAATTCAATGTGCATGCATGCGCAGTCTCCTATTAAAACGCGTTAACGTCGCATCGTGAGCACAGACTTGAAGATACAGATGTACCAAGTACAGCGGTAGGTAAGATACGGTTATATAATTATACCTACAAACACCGTATGTTGGTGGCGTTTTACCCAAAACAAGTATCACTATGTCTCGGCCCGTTTCATCACTTATTACCTACGTATACCGCTGTACTCAAGGTGGAATACAAGTAGTGATAATTAGGTAGTTATGTAGTATGATTTGGCATCAACAACTACATTCCTATATACTATGGTATTCTCCGGGCCAATGGCGAGCCTATTAAGTCAATAATGGATGATCAACCAGGGTAAATGGTGCTGTATCACCCGGGCCGGGTCATGCTATCTCACCCGCACAGAACAACTAAGTACTCGTCTGTGCAATATTTCTGTTTTCTTTAGTTCACGGACACCTTCCTTATTTGGTATTTCTTCTCTTTCTACTGCGATTTTCTTTTTCTGCTTGTTTGTTTCGAGTTCTACTATATATAATAGCGGAGATGGCCCAAGGAAAAGAAATTACACATAATCTCACCTTGAAAGCATGAAAGCAAACCCTTGCTTGCGAGTTTTACCTACTTGCAGATGGGATCAGGACCAGGTCACGTCAGTGAGGCCATTCTGGTATGGTTGATTAATAAGTACGAATATGCATTCGCAATTGAACCAGGTTCGCCAATTTAATATTGGTGTAAACCGGAAAATCTATTTTCCGATCACCTACCTACCACTCATCAGCTCAGATACCCCGCACATATTCCTATCTGTAAGCTTGTATCAATTTGCCCTGAAGTTTCTTATACAAATCGACACGATGCCAAACCTCTTTTTCACTCCAATTCTCAACCCCCCTCTAGCATGTACGACCACTCTTGTTGCTGGCAAGCCAATCCGCTTCTATGCCTGTATGGAAATCACAACAGACAACAGCGTGGTCATCAACCCTGATGAACGGTTCGCATTGATGATGTGGTACACTGTGAACGGCCGCGGCGCATCGCGATCCGCGTTGTTCAGAGAGATTACAGCTTCTGATGAAGATATTGTTAGATTGGTTAGTCAATCTGTCTATCCACCACCATAAATTTCGACCTGGCGGGGATAAGATACAATAGGACTGACCCATTTGGGATAGTTCTACGTTCAAGGGAGTGACAAAACCGCGAGTAATATCAACTTGCGAAGAGATCTCTTCGTTTTAGATTTGGATTATGATTGTGACCAGGGGCCATTGCAATTTTGTCTGAATTACCGCTACTCAGACGGACCTTGGTAAATTCCACAAACAACTTCTCTTTTTGATCATCAAACTCTACTTAAAAATTGTGGCTATATTCGGGACGATGGAGAAATCTTACTCTCTCTAACGAGCACGTATAGGCTTCGTGCTGGCTCCCGTATAGGTTCTGCCGATGGCCGCATCATTTTCCAGAAAAAATCAGAACATATTATGCATCTCTCTGATCTATTCATTCCTCTTGGGAGAGATGCCCATAAATGGGATGCAAAACTAGTAGTAGAGGACGGCGGAGAATCTCCTCGGGTTTGGAATATGACACACAAAATAAGCACAGAGGATGCTATTGCCGAGGTAGCAATAGGGAGACCAAAATATCTTGAGCAGTTTATGGCATTAGTTAAGATTGCACGTAAGGCCACTCACCAGAAAGAATGTGGATTCAAGACTATAAAATATTCACAATCGTGTCTCACAAGCGCCATGGATTGGACCTATTCATGGAAGAACTAGTTTCGATGTCTCGAAAGATGCCGCCTTGGTGCTCTTCCAGCGGAGCTACGATGGAAAACATGTAGCGGTTCTTCCGGTTTCTGGACTTGGATCTGGGAGCGCCTATGTTACATCTTGTGCATCTGGAGATGGCTCTATTGTCATCCGTGGAAAGAATGATGGTGAGGGGCCTATATCTGAGAGGAAGGTCCAGGTTATTATCGCAGTTTCGAATGACCCTTTCAAGACGGTCGCAGCCGCTACGAACTATTTAAAGAAACTGATTATGGATAGTCGGGGTTTCGAGTCTACATTGATTGACCAGTGGTCGAAATTAGAACTGGAAGGCGAGGATAGGACAGCGTGGGAAGATGGCTTGAGTTATTGTACTTGGAATGGGATAGGTGCTGATCTGAGCGAGGATAAAATTCTCAAAGCACTAGATGAACTGGAGAGAGCAGGGGTTAGGAGTAAGCGCTCATGTAAGATCACTCGGTGGTAGATATACTAACCAGATTCAGTCGGAAACCTAATCATCGACGATAACTGGCAATCAACCCCTCCAAGATCTTACACTTGTAGTGGGACATGGACATCATTCGAGGCTAATGAAAAGTTTCCTGGCGGTCTGAAAAGCCTTGTTGAAAAGATTCGGGCTAAGTGGCCATATATTAGACACATAGGGGTCTGGCATGCACTGCATGGATACTGGGATGGGATTACCCCTGGAGGCGCCATTGCAAGTGCCTACAAGACAGTTCAACTAGGGTGGAGAGACAACGTGAAATCAGTGGAAAGAAAGCTAACATTCGTTGCCCCAGAAGATGTTGGGAGATTTTATGATGACTTCTACAAGTTCCTGAGTAGTTGCGGTGTTGACGCTGTAAAAACAGATGTTCAATGCCGTATCGACGAGCTAGTGGATGGGAATGAGACTGCTAAGATGGCAAGGGCCTATCAAGATGCTTTCAAGAAGAGCAGTATTAAGTATTTCGATCGAAGGGCAATTTATTGCATGTCTCATGTGCCGCAAATTCTTTATCATTCCCTACTCCCAGATGACAATAAGCCCGTTTTCTTTAGATCATCTGATGGTACGTATATTTCTGTATTCAAAAGTCAGTAATCTGCTAATTGTTCTAGATTTCTACCCGAACGTTCCTTCAACTCACTCATGGCACATATTTAGCAATGCTATGAATATGATTCTTTTTGGGCAACTAAACATTCTTCCAGGTTGGCTTCAACGAAAAACAAATCACGGTTGCTTACTAATTGGTTTCTTATATATATAGATTGGGACATGTTTCAGTCCTCTCTCCCGACATACAACACACTGCATGCTGCTGCTCGTTGTATCTCAGGCGGTCCAGTCTTCCTCACTGATATACCAGGTGAACATGATGTGGACCTCATCAATTCTATGGTTTCACCTTCCCCGGCCAACCGTACGCCTCGTGCACTGAGGCCCTCGAGAATGGCCATGGCTAGTGACCCATACGTTAGTTATCATGCGAGTAAACTGCTTCAAGTAAACAATACGCACAAGCATTCGTCGTTGCTGGGGGTATTTAATATCTCAACTATGGCACTGACAGAGCTCATAAATATGAAAACCAGCTTTCATAACCTTGATCAACAAAAAGAGTACGTGATCCGTGCGCATACTACAGGGAGGATCACTGAACCAAGGGGGATCCTGGACTGCGAGGACTCTTTATTTGTTGTTTCTCTTGAACCGAGTGAATGGGAAATCTTTACTGCAACACCGGTAGAGGCTGTGAAGGTTAAAGAAAACATCATCAAAGTTGCGGCATTAGGAATCAAAGAAAATATCACGGGAGTCGCTGCATTGAGAGACATTAGAGTGTATATTGGGGATGGCGAGAATACAGTGACTATACAGGCAGATGTCTGTGCACTTGGCGTGCTGGGTATGATATTGGATCTACCTGATTACTTTAAAGTATCGCTGACCTTTCAAAGTGTTCTATATCTCCGACATCGCCAAGGATCGTACCCTGGAACGAATTCGCGTCCACGTTGGCAGGAAAACTCTCCCAAAAAGAGTTTACTCGTTCGTAGATTCGACACTGGAGATAGATTTGTTGAATGCCTGGAAGGATATGGGTATAAGTGAAGGGCATGACGAAAGTGAGGAAGTAATCACCGTCTCGGTTGAATTATCTTGAAAATCAACAGATCATAGGGTAGTCTCGAGAAGATACTGGGGCTTCCATTAATTATCCTAATAACAAAATACTCCTCTCTACCAGAAATATAATTTTCATAGGCTGAAGCGTACCTTGTAAATATGTACGTAAGATGCATATACTACATTTAGTTTATATCATTCAGACAATGGTAGCTGGGGGATGCGTACGTCATCTTCTGTTTTCCAACAGTTTATCGGTGATGCGGACCGGAGAAGATATGTGGGTCGGAAGAATAACTGCACTATATTTCGAGTCGTTCTCATCATCACGACTTATGCTTCCCGCTGAGCCTTGCAATACCAAGACCTTGGTTTCGCAACTTTACGGAATACGGATAGCAGGCCGCATCTCACCAATGAAGACGAGGCTTAAATCATCTGAGGACCTCATCTAGGGTATAGGCTCTTGGCTGTTTCAATGGATCAATCAGGTGGGTAAAAGGTAGATCATTATTTTACTAGAGACTGCTAACATTTCCAATAAACACTAGGCTGGGACAACCTGTAGCAGTAAAGGCGCGTCTACTATCGAATTATCGGTTGTACAAGCTTTTCAATCATGGAATCATTTAGGATTCGATTATCTGATGCTCAGCTTAATAGAGAGCCTCACCAAAGACGGTATTATTGTCGGCTTCTGGACGTGGGGAATTTGAAGTGAAACCGGATTGCGGAATGATTTACCGAACCTACCGAGATCGGCATACCCCAGATCACTTTGTTTATCCTAGGAAAGCAATTTATATATCACTTAATAACTCCGTTGCCCAATTATTAGGAAACCATGGTCCCCATGCATGCTGACAACTATTTAGCCGTGTCCCTGCTTTCGACCTTTGGCCCTGACTAATCTAGGTAATGATCAACTACTGTTTCATGGTTCTTTGAACTTTTCGGGCCGGTAGCCAGTACTGCACGCGCTTATCCCGTACGCTTTGAACATTGAAAGTTCCCGAGCTCACTTACTTCGGAGACGCCAAGGGACGATCAATCCTTTTCTAGAGCATTCCTTATTAGATCCAAAGAACTCTTCGAATGAGATGCCTGGTTTGGTGTATAATCTTGTTGATCGTAAAGATTGAAGACATGGGCATATCGGGCTTCAGACTCCGCAATCTATCAACTTAATTTATCCTCTGTTTACCTTAAGCTTCCTTCAGTCGGCCTGTCAAAATTTCAAAATGTCAAAGCAGATATGTGTATATAAACACTCAGTTCCGCCGCTCTTTTCAATACCATCCTCATCATCCTCACGCTTGAATCCATTCACTTCATTCATTTTCGAAGCCAGACTTCTATTTTACCACTCTTTTCACTCATAAAAGTTTCCCATACGAAGTTCAAAATGAAGTCTGCAATTCCACTCCTCGCACTTGCCTCCCTCTTTGCCACTCAGGCCACCGCCCACACAACTCTCCAGTACTTCTGGACAGACTCCTCAACTTCCACAACTGACTGTGTGCGTGCTCCTCCCAACAACAACCCAGTCCAGGATGTCACATCCGCCGACATGGCCTGCAACGTGAACGGAAATGTTCCGGCAGCGTCTGTCTGCGAGGTCACAGCCGGCAGCACAGTGATTCACGAGTGGCATCACACAAACCGTGAGCAAGGTGCTACTGACGCCGATGATCCGATTGCCTCCAGGTAAGCATATATTCTCATACCTAAAGATATTACAGAATCGTTACTTACTCCTTTTCCAAAATATAGCCACAAGGGACCAATCATTACCTACATGGCCAAGGTTGATGATTCCAGCACCGTCACCGACGTGACTTCGCTCGACTGGTTCAAGATCGCCGAAGACGGTCTCTCCGGTGGTGTCTGGGCTGTCGACACCTTCTACGCAGACAAGACTGGAAAATGGTCTGTCAAGATCCCGACAAACATCCCCGACGGTGATTACCTCCTCCGTGGAGAGATCATCGCTCTGCACTCGGCAAGCTCGTACCCTGGTGCTCAGCTCTACATGGGATGCGTGCAGCTCCGTGTTACCGGTGGAAGCGGTGGGACCCCGAGTCCCACTGCCAAGTTCCCGGGTGCCTATGCTTCGACTGACCCTGGTATCACTTGCAACATCTACTCTGGACTCACTACTTATGAGATTCCTGGACGTAAGTTGCACCCGACCTGAAAGTGATTATGAACGATGAATTTGAGCTAATATATGTGTTTTAGCGGCCGTTATGTCGAGCTCGAGCTCCAAGAAGTCGAAGAAGTGGATTGCCTAAATTATTTAAAAATGAAACTAAGGGAGTCGTATTATAGTGGCGAGATGTTATAGTGTGACACCGGAGGTGAACACGTTGAAATTAGATAGACCTTGCTGAGCAAGGATATGTGTATATAGTCAGAGAGGTTATATTAGGATTTCAATGCACATATTATCTTTGTGGAATATTGAGTACCAGAGCGAGGAGAGAAGCATACCATATTCGGCAGTCCACGCGTACTAGATGAGACAATTAACTCTAACCAATTAATAGAATACTATTTAGCTGGCTATAGAATAAGTAAAATCGAGTGATATATAATGATTATAAACTAAACTTCCCCATTAGTAAAAGGTACCATTGAAATATATACAAACTGGATTTAAAAACCCAACAACACACATAAATGTAGTAGTATGCTGATTTGTGAATGCTCAATGTCAGCTGCTCGGGTCTGCGTTGGGGGGTTGAAACAAGCTAGGGGTCGTCGGTCTCAGGCTGAGTGTAACACCACTCGTATATATGGCCTCGACCCGAAAATCCTAAGCCTAGATCACTATATAAATCAATTTAGGGGATGTTCTGGATTGAGCTAATGTTTCTATATTGGGGACGTATACGTATCGTGAGTTATATATTGAGGGGTGGCCGCAATCATCGATAGAGCTACCTTGCTATATTCTATCGTCAACCTCGCATATCCTCATCCCTCACAAATACATATAGTAGTCGGATACCCACGCCATATCACCTTTCCTTGCGCTGACTCAGGTGCGGTTGTGGAGAATGCAATCGCTCGTGAAGCCTTGGCACGAAACTTGCACTCTACTCGCAATCCCACCTACACACTCTCTCTCCTCTGTCCTAAAAGTGAAGACCCACTAGCCAAAGGATGAGGAAATAGCCCAAAAGGATATATGGAACCGGTATGAGTCGAATATATTTTCACCCTCGTAAGGTATTCTGGTGTAATTCATGCATGAGAAATCACTCGCGATCGACAACTGAAGGCTCATGATCGCCAGTGCCAAAACCACATTATCACCTTTAGAATTGTGCGACGGGAATGTTAATCTAGATGGTCTTTTTATTTTAAGTGATAGCGATTAGTAGTGTTAACTGAATCTGAAATTGTTATCTTTTGGGGGATATTTGAGGAGTTGTGTGCCTGAATGTGAGTATTTATGTGTGGGACTATGTAGGTAAGATCTGAGCTTACATGCGTCCTTTTATCTGATGTATCTAGCGGCAAAGCGGTTGGAGCCCTCAACAGTTATACGTGTTACTCTTAGAGTGTGAGTGTAGGAAACGGGCTAAGTACTACGTAAAGCTTGTCACACAACAATGTCATTACTTATATGTGGCTTTAATTTACGTGTATTTATTGATGCAGCGGTAAAATTATATATGCTGCACTAGGACAGATTTGCTATTTAACCATTCCGTTACACACATCACCTCTGGCTAGCTCATTTCCAAAAAGAAACACTTCAATCTGTTCACTTCATTTCATCACATCGGAAAGCAATTCGACAGTTATATAATAATGAATTAAGTATATCAAATACAAAAATATAGACTCTCAAGAGAGGCATAAGAAATAAAAATCTACAACAAGCTTACAGCCTTTTCACCCCATATTATCACACCTTTCCAAAACCATCTTTGAGTCCTATAGACGCCACCGACTCACTATCTCAAACAACCGCTTAACAGCTGGCAACGGAAGGAACGTTCTTGCACTTGGAAGAGGTCTTTCCACCAGTGATGGAGACACCAGACCAAGACCAGTCGCTGCAAGCACCGGATCCACAGAGAATGTAGATATCGGTACCAGAGGAGCTGACGGTACCCTTAACGTTGCTAATGGTGAGATCAGTGATGGGGACACCAGTGGTAGGGCTATCAAGAAAAGTTAGTATCTCATTGTTGTCAAAACTGTTTGGAATCAGAGTGTTACTTACGTTCCAGTGGGAGAGCCGTTCTCGTAATCCTGCTCAATGACGATACCGTACTTGGTGATGTTCGTCAAGGTGATTCCGGAGTAGGTGACGCCCTTGACCTCACCAGTGGCATCGTAGACGGTCTTGATGCGGACACCGTTCTGGGAGTCGACGATGGTGCTGTCACTGATGGTGACAGTGTCAACGGTGTTGTCACTGCGTCCACCGACGGATCCGATGGAGATACCGTGACCACCTGAGCAGTATCCGTTCTTGAAGATAATGTTGGTCCCAGAGTTGACAGCCAAGCAGTCATCCTGGTTGTAGACGGTGGCACCGTCAATGGTGATGGTGTCAGAAGAGCCGACATCGAAAGCATCAGTGTTGTGGCCGAGCTCATCAGTGTCACCGTCCTTGTTGTTGATGGTGATGGTCTTAAGGCTCAAGTTCGAAGAACTGTTGATTGAGAAACCCTGGACCGGGGTGTTCTTAAGAGTGACACCGGTGATGGTGGAATCATCAAGGTTGTGGGCGTAGAAGAACTTTGGCTTGGTCTTTCCGCCGTTGCTGCCCTCTCCGTCCCACCATCTGGAACCATCACCATCAAACATGGATCCGGAAGCACCAACAACGGTGATCTTGGAACCGGAAACGGAGACCAAAGGACCTGACCATTCCTTGTATCCGAAGGTGATAGTGCCCTTGAAGGTCAACGTGGTACCATCGAGGAGATCAGTAAGATCAAGAGTGTCTCCGGCAGGGACAACCACGCTGTCGATAACGAGAGTGGTGCAAGCCTTCTTGGCAGCAGCAACATTGGTGTAGGAAGTGACTGTGCAAGAAACCGAACGGGATTCGATATCAGTAGCCGGTGCTGCGGAAGCAAGGCCAAAGAAGGCGGTGAGAGCCACTAGGGCAGATTCAGTGATGTACTTCATGATGGTAAGTTGATTGAGGAACTAAAGAGCCTGTCTGTAGTGTTGTAGTTGGAAAGAATGAAAGGAAGAGAGTAAAGACTGAGCTGTGCAGGTGTAAAGAATGAATGATGAGCGAGGACTGGAGTTTGAAAGATACGACGGATACAAGAAGGTTATATAGGAATTTGAGGTGTATAGAACCACCTCAGTGATTCCCTGTTAGGGGTTCAAATGTGGGGGACGGAGAATTCCTACAGTACGGACCGTAGGTAAATGGGTACGGACTGCAGGTAGGTACGTACTATCTAGCAGGAATGTTTAGCTTTTTCAAAATAGTAATCTTCTAGATAACCATAAGGACTCACTAGCACTGCGGGCTAACAATTGTTTGAAACTACAAACACCTCTACCCTAAAGTGCATCATGCAACGTTCAAGATAGTTGATACTTGGATTAATTGGGTAAAGAATACCCGTGCATTTCCTAATTCGATTATTGATATCGGTGTTTTTACCGCCAGTTACAGATTGAGGTGTAGTTACAAGGGTCGGCAATCCGGAAGCGAATGCATCGGTACACATGTCAAAGCTTAGCTATTCCCCATCAATCTCGCAACCCTGCACTGAAACGGGAATTCTAGATGGCCTACGTATGTCCGAGAAGCTTTAACCTTTCGGAGTTTTGTACAATCAAAAAGCGAATGGAGTACAAGCTGTCGGGTATCGGGTACGTACAGTACGCCCTAGAAATGCTTGATTCGACTTCTTATATTACCGTCTCATATTGATCTCAACATTTCTAGAAATTAATTACCCCAGACAAGCTTTAGGTAATATATACTATATACGATCGAGCATCTGGGCATGCATTTCCTCGCCGATATATCCGGGTCAACACAATGGCAGCATATAGTACTTGTGCGCTGTTCTTGATTCCAGCCATTTCAACTTCTAGTACAAATCGCATTCTAGACCGATACCTACATAGTATTACAAGCCACCTAGTCCTTCAAATTTGTCCATTAGTATCGGACAATAAACACCGAACGCGGCCGGCACGGGGAGACTTGCTAACCCTCGTTGTTCTCCCCGCCTTACGTTTATTAGCATTTCGGCTTGGCGATAGTCCGATGTCGATAGATTTCTATTAGCCCACCGAAGGGCCAGCTAGAATAAATCTGGAAGCACTTTATTCCATTCACAGTCCGTCCTGAAATCATCCTATCGCATTAATAATCTTTGGAATAGTGCGCGTACTGTGTCTGGCGGAGAAGAATCTCCGCTGGATTTATTATAGGATTTCAATTCCATGGACGTGCATTTGCCAAGGGGAGATCAAAAAACAAGACTTTTCAATATGTACGACAGACAGCTTGGCATGCGAACAAATAGATCAGAATCAAGATGCCTATTTGCGGCTCCGGTTAACGTTTCTCCGGGAGGAAGAAAAGCATCCCAAATCCAAGCTCACGGGATTTCCGCTGTATCATCCGGTCAGCTCGGGAGACTACAACCCGAGTAGAGCCAACTGCGATGACTTGTGTGCTGGAATGAAAATAATCACATCACCTCACTTCATTATCCACCGAGTTGACAAAGCGAAATCAATTTCACTTGTGAAGGAGGCAAACACGGGATTAAAGAGCGACCGAGCGCTAGCGCCGAGCGGTGAGAAATGATACTCGGACGGACTTCAATATCCCTTTCTCACTACACGTGAATCATGTCTACTCTTTTGAAGGGTGATAATCATATCACTCCATCTATACGTACTCCTTGCTGGGTTTGGTGGGGCTAAGTACTGTTCCCGGAAATCGCGCAATTTGTGCTTATTGGACAAGGATGCGATAGTAATACGGAGCCTGGATCATGATGAATCACTCGATTTAGAAATAGTTACAGTCGCACCTCGCTATCTCGTAATTCGATATCTCAGATCTCTTTCTGTCTCGTACGGATTTGCGGGACATTCTACACCAAAAACTATTTGCTGTATCGTATATTTGCTATCTCGTAGGGATTCGGCTCCTAGAATACGCTAACGACATAACGAGGTGCGACTGTATGCACATACATGTAGAGTAGCTACATACATGCCTCCTAAATATCATCTCAGTACGCTCTCCGCTCAATAGAACTGGACTAAAAGCGCTGATGTCAGTAATTTACTCGAAATCATTAGGAGAATCAAGGCTAGGGTCTCGGCTCATATGTAGCTCTTTTTCAAAACTTGATGCGATATCCACAACAGGCTGTCCATGGAAGATTCCATTTACATTGACAAGTCAACGAATATTTACCAAGGACCAACGGAAATATTCGCGAACCGGTTTCATATCCCCTGTCATCATTAAATCTGGTGCCGACAGCCATAGCACCTGCTACCCTGTGCTTAATGACCTAATCCAATAGAGCGAAGCTTTTGCCAAGGCCACAGCACTACACGTAATAGATAGCTCGTTCTGGCAGGTCAAAACGCTGCTCTCCCCCACGTGACCCCTTGAAGCATCAAGTGTCACTCGCTTTATAGAAATTCCTCCTCCAAACTCTATGTACCCTGCTTAATTCTACGTTAACACTTGTGTTTGTCAATGATGCTATCGAGGCCTCTGCAAAATAGTATTTCTCTAACAAATGGATATCTACGGTCCCATGATACAGAGCGAAATCAATTTCCGGCGAATCACAGGCCAGAGGACTTGCTCGATACCATTGTATTCTTGTCTTCGAGTGACGATAAGGTGAATATTAGTCACACCCCTTGAGTTGAGCCAGTCATTTAGTCGGACTGTATACGGAGGGTTTGAGGATATGCCCAATGGTAAACTTTGACAAAATGGTACTACCGTTGAAGATTTGGTTAAAAGGAGCTGGGACATAGGAGATGGGCTGCCTATCTTTTATTCATATCTCGCAGTTCGATAAACATCCAAATACTCGAGAAAACAGCGCAGAACAAACTATTTTCAACTTCAAAATACAGGAAAGAACCTTCAGATCGATCATTGCAGATACTACTACCACTGACCGAGATAACACAAATACCACTAGTATAAACTGAGAAATGTGTGCCTATAATCCTAATGCGCAGTATAACTACTGGGCTAACGGGCAACGTTGGGCTCAACATACCGCAGAAAATGGGGTCCCGTACTGGTAAATAACCTTGAATACATGTAACTATATATCTTACATTATTAACTGTAATTACTAACACCGCTCCTCTTCCTTTAGGCAGAACCTGGATACGGGCGTATTCGTTTGGCAGATGCCTGACGAAATGAGACAAGCCATGGCGCAAGTGCCTATGCAGAACACAGGCGGGTATTATGAGATGCCAGGGATATATAATAAGTGAGCCGCAGCTCATTTACCTTTCCATGAATCTAAATGCCCACTACTACGACTACTATCCCAGTAAATCCATATATATAAGTAAACAAGCTAACTAAAAAAAAAAAAAACCCTACACAGAAACGACGATGACGATGATGTCCTCGAATACACCCTCCGTCTTTCCCTCGCCGAAATCCAGAACCCCACCGCCGCCGCCATACCCACGCCCGCACCGGCACCCGCACCGGCTGCGCCCGTGCGTACACCCACGCCCAGGCCCGGCCCCTCCCAGATGCGCGAAGGCCGCGAAAAGAACATCTTCGCAAAACTAGATGTACCTCCCCACAACCCTGTCCGCGCTCATATGGATCCCGCCGGTCCTGCTCGCGGGATCTGTGCCATGTGTTCCTCCGATACGGGGATCCAGAGTGCTCCCTGCGGGTGCACATATTGCTCCGGGTGCATCGTTAGGATGTTCATGTATGCGACGAAAAGGGAGCCCTATGAGCCGCTAAAGTGCTGTCGGATCGAGTTCCCAATGGAGCTCGCCGGCACCGCCTTCGCGCATGTCGATGCCGCACGTAGCGCCGCCGGCGCCGCTGCACCTGCGGTGGCGGCGGCGGCCCCGGCCCGCGGCCAGAACTACATCACCGCCGCCGGCAAAAGTAAAGGCAAGGGCAAAACCCGGGAGCGGGAGAGCACGGCGCAGCGGACCTTCGACTGCGTAGCCTGCATGGACTCCTTCATCCTCGACGAAGTAATGGTCGCGCCCGGCTGCAACCACAACTACTGCCGCCCCTGCATGAACCGCCTCTTCGTCGAGTCGACCAAGAGCGAAGACCTATACCCTCCCAGCTGCTGCAAGCAGGCCATCCCCATCACCTGGGCCAACCTCGTCCTCAGCACCGCGGAGCAGACCGAGTTCTACGCAAAGAGCGAGGAGTGGAAGACGCCCAACAGGCTCTACTGCTCCCGGCGGGCCTGCTCGGCGTTTATCCCGCCGCTGTGGATCACCGCGGATTATGGCACGTGCGCGAAGTGTCGGGCCCGCACGTGCGCGCATTGTAAGGGCGCGTTTCATAGGGGCGCAGCGTGCCCGAAGGATAAGGCGACGCAGGACGTGCTGAATCTTGCGCAGACGGCGGGGTGGAAGAAGTGCTTTAGCTGTAATATGATGGTTGAGCTCGACTCGGGCTGTAACCACATTACGTGCAGGTAAAGTTCTTTCCTTTAAATCCTTTTCTATATGCCCAAAATTTAATGGCCTGCTAAAAAGCTAACCTAACCCTCAAACACCCCTAGATGCGGCGCCGAGTTCTGCTACACCTGCGGCGTCAAGTGGAAAGAATGCGACTGCCAGATGTGGATAGCGGAGAACCTCCGCCGGGTGGTAGCCGCGGGAGGGATACCTCATGTAGCGATGCCTGCTGGAGCAATACCCATTGGAGCCATGCCCGCCGGAGCAATCCCCATCAGAATAATGCCCGCTGGAGCAGTCCCCTTCAGGGTGATGCCCGCTGGACCAATCCCCTTCGGAGCGATACCCGCGGGAGCAATCCCCGTTAGAATGATGCCCGCTCATGGAGGAGGAGCACCAGCCGGCATGGAGGTGCCTCGAATCTTTGTCAACCATGGTGGCCATATCCGGGAGTTTCCGCAGATGAGGGTTGAGGTGCAGGGGAATATGCCGATGATCAACGCGCGTTACAATGCACCGGATGGGCGCAGAATGATGTGGGATGCTGTGACTGGGAGGTGGCGTGAGTTCTAGTTCTAGTGGGGGGTTCGTGAGGATGCAGAGGGGTGGTAGTGGTGGGTACATACACGTATGGATAGTTTTTATTTATTATTTCTATTGGGTTGCCAGTTGGACTGGTCTGAGTTATGGTGGGTGTGTTATTGATACTGGCATTGGCGTTTTTCTTCTTTGGGGTTTTATAGGCATCTTTCAGTGGGTTAACATTTCCTTAGATTGTTTTGTAAGGCAAGGGCATTCATTATCTGGTTAGCATTTTAGATTCTTTTTTATGTGATAACGGCATAGGTATTTTAAGAAACATGAAACAAAACGGCGTTTGCTCAGATCTCTTCACGTGAAGCTCAATGCCCTACCAGGATGTATGCCGCAAGCAAACCCTGTCGTTCTCACTCGCCTCCAGTCCCGTCATATTTCGTAGCTCCATAGAAAAGATCCTTCATGTGCTTTAGCGCCAATGTGCTTCAGTGATAGTCAGTCATTGCCGTAAACGACTTGTATCCACATTCCTGGCCATATAAAAAGCACCATCGATCTGCTCTAAAGTCGACCGATTTCGACTTGCTCATTACCACATTTCCCGCCAAGCGATCATTGACTCTCGTCATAGACCAAGCACAGCACCCCACCCGGGCTTACTCGGGCAAAACGCCAAGAAAGAGTAATCCCATGGGCCATAACCTTCAAGTCTGCACTCCACCTATGCTCATATCTACCGTGGGTGTTGTTGCTACACATGATTTCAAAAGCCATTTTACTCGGTGTCCAATTATTAGACATTCCCAAAACGGTAAACTTTCCGCCGGCCAAGCCTTGGCGTCCAACGTCGACCTTAAGGCCGATAACGACGGCCGATAGAGTGCCGTACGAAGGGGTGGGTGTGTATACGGGTGAGATTTTCAGCCTTATTGGAACTCTAATACGGCTTTGGTTTACTTTATATTCACGTCGATTGTAAGCCCGCCAAGAGTGAGTACCAGGAAGGTGCGTCAATGATTGAGCTGGATGGTTTTATTTTACTCCGCCTTGTGTTTCGTGCTCTAGTGCCCAGACTTGGAATGACAGGCGGGTGCAGGTAGAGTACTTGGTACCTAGGAATTCGTAAGCTGGGGATGCGAGCTGTGTAGGTACTGGCTGACTCGACTCCGGGCTCGAGTCGTGCGAGAGCTATGTTATCTGCGTCTCTGTCCTCTTGGCTAAATCGATCAATGCTGTAGCTAGTTAGTACTGAGTATCATATCATGAAATACCTGTTGGTTAGAATTAGTATCGTATTATGTCCCTCATCCTCATAAGGATAGGAGCCTATATATATACTCCACCCCAAAGATTACTGTATTCCATCCGCTTCAGTGTCAACTTTGCTACCTCTCACCTAACTACCTAACCCCGCACCATGGCCGTCACCGCCTCTGAAGCCCACTTTGCTAAAACCCTCACCTGGTGCACCCGCCTTTTGCAACTGGCCTTTAGCATAATTCTTCTCGGCTCGCTCTCATACATCATCGATGAGCACCGTGAATTTGCACGCCCGGGCCCATATTCACGCTTTATCCCCTACGAAGTGATAGTTCCTGAAGTCTTCGTCAGTATTCCATCAAAAATACCTTGCCTTCATCCTTGTTAACAATGTGTAGTCTATCTTTTCAATCCCCATCACTCTCTTCGGCATTTTCGCAGTCTTCTTCTTTTCCTTCTCCGTCCAGATTGTGGCAGCGTGTCTCGACCTTGCCCTCTTTATCGGCTGGATTGCTTCCATTGGCCTATTGCGTAACAACTTCCGTACTGATGGGAGGCCTAACCAGTTGACGAGGTATCTTAACGGCATTAGACGTAGCCATGGGGCTAGAGGACATCAAGGTCTAAATGGGCACTTGGTCAAGCTTATAGTGGCGCTGGTCATAATGCAAATGTAAGTTGTTGTATTGGTGTTTGTGGTGAAGGCTGCTAATTATGGCGTTAGTATTCTTTATTTCGTGACAGGAATGCTTGCAATGCTGGTCGCGGTCAACGACAGGAGGAAGAAGGCGGCGGCGAAGGTAGCCCCGGTCGTGGTGCCGGCCGCGGTGCCGGCCGCGGATGACGGGAAGATGTACGGTGTAGCCGACGATGAGAAAGTTAGAGAGTTCTGGAAGGGGAGAGATAGCAGTGAAACCGCGGTAGCTTAGGAGTTGGTAAGATATGTTGGTGAGGGTTTCAACGATGAGTAGGCGTCGAGTTTATGATGAGATATATCTAGTGCAGATTCTATCCTCTTAATTTCCTTTGTCTTCCCGCACTCCATTAGTTAGTACATGCAGTCCACGACCTTGAATGAACACAATTTTTTAGCGTTTCATTCTTGTTCTAGCGCACATCATGAGTACCGAATGAGGTGTTCAAATTGGGCAAAACGTGGTTCTGGATGGAAGGTGGCTTTGGGATAAGGAATGATAAAACAATTTACCTTCTGTGAGGCTTCTTTAATGTGCAACGCCCAAAATGAGCAAGAGCCCGATGGTCACGTCAGTCTAAGCACGAAGCTAGAAGAGAGACAGGGTGTGCCTATTCCTACAGTGATGTAGCATCCGTAGAAATTCTTTATCTCGCCCAAGCCAACCCGCTACCTTTATAACCACAACCCAGAGACAGACGTGGCATCAATCTTCCCACCCTCTAGATCTTCCTAGCACTGATCTTTGATAATGGGGGGATGCTGAGGGCGGAGTGAAGTGATAAAATAGGGGGAGATGGATGATGGAGAAATGAAGGGGAAGATAGAAATATTCTTCAGTCGCGACTCTTAACCTTGTCTGGCCTCAACGCATTGAACCGATAACATCTTCTTACTCGGATAGCATACACTCGCATCACGTCAATTTAAGCATATTTCGCCCTTTGAAGTTTCCCAAGTACACGCACGATTGTTCCAGGCAAGTCAACGAAGCCATCTTCCACTGTTTCTAAAATCCGACCTCTCCCCGCATTCTAGCGCCCCCTACTCCGCTAAATCTACCCACGGCTTTTAGTAGCATTCACCTCGTAGGTGAGGCTGTGGTAGCCTAGCTTTTTTAATACTACGCAGCGGTGTAAGAAGTAAATTTCCAAAATAAAACAAATAATTGAATTTGGTATCGATGAGGAATTAGGCCCAACACCTATACTCAACGAAGCCTTTTATCTGTGTATTTGGCGCTGTAGTAGGGTGGTACGGGGTGGCTACATACTAAAGTACCTCTTACTACTACATGTAGTACATACATACGAGTCAGTACAACCCTCGAGGAGTTCGTGGGCGCCGTTCAAAGTTTCAAAAAAACGGAACAAAAAAAAAAAAAGTAAATTCCGTGTTCCAAGGTCCAAAGCAGCAAAAGGGAGAGGCATCCCGCTCTGCTTCTTTACCCAGTCACACAGTGTATGTTTTCCCACCAAGTCTGGGAGGTTCCAACTATCGACCTCGGCTCCTCTGGGCGACACTTCAGCTTGTTAGGCCACAGGAAGTGGTTGATGGTAGGTAATTTTCTAATTCCCTTAAAAATCAATGAGCGCTAGTGAGTCTGTAGCATACTTCCGTCCTCCGCCGTGACCCTCGAATAGTATGTACATAACACTACCTCGCGAGCGCGAGTTCCTTTTACTCCAATTAACTGCCTTTAATGGGGCCTTCCATCTCGATTCCCTCCCCCCCCCCCCGGGGCCTCCCCCGCTAGTGAAGGGACCTTATGAACCTGTTCCTAGTTGATGATTCTCCCATACACCGTGGATACCCCGTTGAACTCCTCCTGTTTAAGGTATCTCTCAATACCACCCGTTGATAGAACTATGAATTAAACAAAGAAAGAAAAAAATAACCCGTTGATCATTAGAACTATGTATTTAATGATACCTCCCCCATACCCCGTTAATAAATAGCTTTTGATACCCCGTTGATGATATCTCAATACCACCCAGTATATTTTAAAAGTTTATTCAGTCTGTGAAAATTATTGGAAAGAAAGATCTTCACGAATTTGACATACCGTTTAAATTTGGGGTACGCCGTTGGCGGGTGGCATTTTGGCAGGGTCAGGGTTTTCCGCTCTCGACCAATCAGAGGGCGAGTAGGTTAGAAGAATTAAGGGCAGTGCATATTAGAAGACAAGAATTTACTGACTCCCGGTAGATGGGCACCCGAGCAAGATATATAGAATAGGACATATATAAAGTACATATACATATCGCATGCAAAAAAACCGGAGCTAATACCCAAAACACGCCTACCCTCGGTGTATACATGCACACCCTCCCTCCCGGTGGTTATTGGTTCATGAAAGATCACTCGATTAATCAATACTTTATGTGGGTTCTTTGTGTCCAGAACATACAGCCCTAGGTACAGCTGTCGATATTAGAAGGGCCCCGGCTCAAGCTTTGCAATTTTGACCTACATTGTTTCAGAAGCTTCATGAGCGCAGTCTGGTTCATGAGCCGAGTCAGCCGATTAGACCTCGCTATAGCGCTATCCCCGGCAGAAGCGGTGCAGACTTCATCCAGGTTCTTTACTACAGGATCAGTTGAGCCACAGTAGCAGCCTGTCTATATAATCAACGCCCTGCAGACCCAAAGCCCCAGGAAGCCGAGTTTATATACGGTTCGTTGTCCACAGTACGGACATTAATTCAACTTGAGCGCCGTACGCGTACACACAATCGAACGATACATCATACCACCGCCTTCTCCGCATGCTCCTACTGCCTGTCCACAGCCGTAACTGTTCCGAAGCTAAAGCTGCTTGGGGTTTGGATGAACCATTCAGATGAACCAGGTCTTGTGCCTTGCATGTGGGGTAGTGGAGGGGAAGCAGTGGGGGCGGGGGGGGGGGGGGGGCGGGGGGGGCGCGGGGGTGAGGGTCTGGGTTTACAGTTTTAAGAATAAAGTTTTAAATTATGTGGTTAGAGTGAGAAAGGGGGCAGATTTGTACTCTTTGCAGCGCCCACGTATACATGTAAGAGTAGATTACGAGACTGCCGATAATTATAAGGGACGTTGGTCAATAATCAGCAACACTTTATTCATAGCTATAGCTAGAGAGCTGGACACTCATGCACTGTACAAGTAGAACAGATATACCAGACTACATGTAGCTGGTATATCTTCACGGTTAGAGGGATCTTCCTCAATGATATTTTCTCGCAGTATCCGAAAACCCCGTAAAAAAACTGTTTCCTTCCTCCCTTCTACGATCGATTGGATCACTCAACAGGATACTTTCTATATCTGTGAATAAAGCTCCTTCCAATATAGTTGTCTACAGGATTCAATGCTATCATCTCTTGGAATTACCGGTTAGATTCTATATCCTACATCTTAGGCAAGCCGTGCACTCGTCATGTTGTAGTAATTTTACCCCCCTTTTTTATGCTGTATGCTGACCTCCTGAGACAAGCATGATACTCTCTCAGTTAAAGAAATAGAGGGCTCCGTCCAACATAAGTAAGGAACCAACAGATGGAAACAAAACCCCGAATAGAATATTAGTTAGAAGCGCTAGCACTTTCACTCCCGCTGATCTTAGATCTGCACTTGCACGTGCGCCACTTCCCAATCGAGACACCAGAAAGCAACTATCTCTTCACCGCCAATCACTCGTTGGAATCTCTACGAGTCGCGCTGAGCTCTCCCTCTCCGTGAGTTTCACAACAGAGCCAAACCACACACGCGTGTTTTGCGATCGATGATAATCGCTACAAACACCAGTCCCCCTGGCGCACTAGCTACTATAACACAATCTCTCTCTCTCTAGCATAAAGCCCATAGTCTCACGTCTCAACACCTGCCAGTCAATCAGCCTTCAACGGTGCGCGTTAATCCTCTGAGAGCTGCCTTCCGTGTGAAGTTCACCATCTGGAACACGACGAGGCCGTGCCCGACCCTGTCTCCGATGATGTGATGCCGCGCGCCCAACCGCTCTAAGCCCCAAGCGGTAACATAAGCGAATAGCCGCGCTGATGTCGCTGCGCGTGCTGTCCCAAATATTAACTCCGTGCTCCGCCTCGTTCCCCTCAGGCTAGCTCCATGTTCTGAAGCTCCACTCACTCCCCGGGCAAAAAAAAAAAAAGAGAAGAGCTCTCAAATCCCCACCGGATCGTGTTAAACCCATTTCTTAATGTCGCTCCCACACACTCGTTCACGGTCGCCGTCGCCGTCGCCGGCCGCTTCAACTATCCTGCCAGCCGACGACACGATTGCGACACCGCTTTCGCCGGCTGCGAGAGCTGATACTGCCCCGCTGCTGTATCAGAAGGTGATCCGATGGATTAAAGGTCCTGTCCCGCCCCGGGATACAACGCTCAAACCGTGGTTTCCAGAGTACCAGGAGATTCCGGCGAAGCTTCTGCGGCGTGGGCCGTTCAAGCAGAGGAGTTGGAGGGCGGCGCTGTTGGGTCTGTTTTGGTTTGTGTGGTTGACGACGTTTGTTGCTGTTGTGCACAATTCGAGGTTCCGCAGCAGGGTTGATGGGGTGACGCCGTATATGGCGAGTTGCGCGGATACGATGTGGTATTTATTATTCTTTCCCCCATATGATATTATTTATATATGATATTATACTCCGAATATATGGCTAATCTTTAATTCATAGGGCAAAGAACAATGGATGCGGCCTTGACGGTGCTTCCTGTGGCCCTTTCCAGAACTATACACAACCATTCCGCTGCCCGGCCCAGTGTGCCAGGACACATGTACTCAACCCGCGGGTCGTCGGAGACCAGGTAATCATCTACGACACGTTTGTGATCGGCGGGCCCGTCAACAACGTGAGCATCTCTGATCAGGGAGCAGAGGATATCGATTCTGTATATCGCTCCGACTCCTTCATCTGCTCCGCGGCAATCCACGCAGGTGTCATCTCAGACAAATACGGCGGCTGCGGTGTCTACTCCATGGTGGGAGAAAACCACTATTTCCCCAGTGTCAGGAAGCACGGCATCTCCTCGATCGGCTTCGATTCGGTGTTCCCGTCTTCGTTCACGTTTCTCAAGGGCGTGTCTACTTCGCACTGCACTGATCTGCGCTGGCATCTTCTTGCAGTATCGTTGGTGTTCACCGTACTACTCTCTTTGACAACTACTACACCAGTGATATTATTTCCCTCGGTGTTCTGCGCCCTCTTTTTCCACGTCGCTCTAGGCTCGGACCCAGAAGCCTACTCAAACCCCTACGAGCTGGTCTCGCTCGCACTATCCCGCTTCCTCCCCGCCTGTTTCGTTGCCTATGTTCTCTTCAAGCACGTAATCTCCTACACGCTCGCGCTCCCCTCCTCCGCCAACATCGAAAAGACCATCCTCTGGCTCGGCCCCCTCTGGGTCGGCGCCCTCAACAACATCACAATCGACCCCCTCATCCCCATCACGCGCCTCACCTCCCGCGACATCCAGCAGCAACCCGGCGCCATCTCAGCCCTCGTCATCGTCTGCTCAATCATCACCCTCATCGTCCTCTACCACGCCCACGCCCTGCGCCTCGAGGGCCGCCTCCCCCGCTACCTCGCCCTCTACGCCGCCATCGGCATCGTCCTCGGCTTCCTCGCCGCCATCCCGGGCTCCTCGCTGCGCATTCACCACTACATCATCGGCATCACCCTCCTGCCGGGCACAAAGATGCGCACGCGCGTCTCGCTCATCTGCTCCGGCCTGCTGATCGGCCTCTTCATCAACGGCGTGGCGCGGTGGGGGTTCGCGGGGATCATTGAGACGCCCGAGTCGCTGCGCGGCGACGGGCTCTACTTCTCGACGCTGCCGGTCCTGGTGGCGCCGCAGGTGGGGGCGGCGAATGCGACATTTGCGTGGGAGGCGGGGAAGCTGCGCGGGTGGGAGGAGGGCGTGAGTGTGCTGATTAACGATGTGGAGAGGTTTAGGGTGCCCGGGTTGACGGGTGAGGCGACGTGGGAGAGGACTAGGTATGGGGCGGAGGAGGAGTGGGAGAAGCTGTATGTTCGGGTGGGGTATTATGGAGGTGGGGAGGCGGGCGATTATACGTTGGCGGGGGTGCTGGAGGGGAATGGGACGTGGGTGCAGCCGGGGGTTGGCAGGTCGTAGATGGTGGCGGTATGTAGCTATGTAGCTGGGACTTTCTAGATTTTCTAGACTTTCTTTTTGGTGAATGTAGTGTCTACAGGTAGATTAGACTACGGAAAGAAAAAAAACCGAATTGCTTTATGCCCTTGGTCTTTCATTCCCAGCTTTGGTCCGTCCAATATAGTCTATAAGTCGGCGCGGCCTGCGAGTCGGTTGTTTGTGCTGCGGGGTGTTTCCCGATGATTGCAGCGAAGGAGTTTGCATAAAAACGGGATAATATACATGTAGTCAGTCTCTTTGGCTATAATAATGCGTCAGGCACTTCACTCCCCACAGGAGGAACTATTTCCCACGCTAGCTTATGGGGTTCTATTCTCTTCCCCGGCCACTCAGTGCAAAGCCACGCATGAAATATGCGAGTGATAGTCTATGATTCCACCTTTCCCAAGTTTTTTTTTTTTCTCTCTCCCCCTTAATTCATTAATTGTATACCTTTCCCAAGTACTATGTCAAAAATACTTCTGTCTTATTTCTTCCATCGTTGTCACCAAACCTCAAACTAAAGTCCACCTGATGTTTCCACAAATACCCCTTACCAATCTAAACACATTGATAGCTACATGAACATGTTTTCCGAGTGAGACTTATACGCCCCCTCCCAAGATACCTCCCACTGCCATCAACAGATAACTGCCAAAACTCAAACATTAACCCCCCAGGATGTCCAACCACCGAAGGTCAAACCCTACAAAGCGGCCAAAAACAATCCTTTGCGCCGAAACGGCTTTTCTTTATAAACTCCTCCACAGCCCAACTTGTTACAAAAATCATAAGGATCTCTCTGCACCCTCGTGGTGCAGAGAGATGAGTGCTACAGCACTCACCTCTCCCTGTGGAAGGGAGGGGAAAGATGGTGGTGGCCTGGGGTGTGGCCTTGTGTGTGGCCCTGGCGGCCTGTGGTGTGGCCTGGGGTGTGGCCTGGTGTGTGGCCCTGGTGGCCTGTGGTGTGGCCTGGGTGTGGCCTGGTGTTTGGCCCTGGTGGCCTGGTGTGTGGCCCTGGTGGCCTGGTGTGTGGCCCTGGTGGCCTGGCGGTGTGGTGCGGCCCTGGTGCCCTCGTGCCCTCCTGGTGGTGGTGCGGCCCTGGTGGTGGCCCGTCCTCTCCCCTTCTTGTGAAGGGGAGGGGACTTTATTACTAACCCGTTCGTCCTCTTTGGACAAACGGGTTGGTACTTTCTTTGCCCTCTCCCCTTTTGGGGAGGGGGCTGTTTTACGTTAGGTCCTCCCGGCCTCGTTCTGCCCTCTCCCCGGCATGGGGAGAGGGCTTTTTTTTAGGCTGTTTCGCTTTCTGCCCTCTCCCCTTCATGGGGAGGGGGCTTTTTTGCGTTCAGTCGTTTCCCTCGTGCCTCTGCTGCCCTCTCCTCTTCGTATGAAGAGGAGGGGGCTTTTTTACGTTAGGTCGTTTTGCCCCTGCTGGGCTTTGGGTGATACCGAGGGCCCAGCAGGAGTGAGCGAGCTATACTAACTTGTGCGTGCTTTTGTGCGCTTCGTTGGCTGCCCTCTCCTCTTCGTATGAAGAGGAGGGGGCTTTTTTGCGTTAGGTCCTTTCTGCCCCCTTTTGGGTCTTGGGTGATACCGAGGGCCCGAAAGGAGGCAGAATGGTTATCTTTTCTTGGAATGGTTTGACTTTGGCCTATGATAAAGAGGAGGTGAGTACATGCCGAAGGGGAGAAATAGCGTTGATCGAATAGAGGTATGGAAATATCAAAAGGTAATATAAAGAGAGGTTTCGCTACCAATTCGCAACAGTAGAGGCTTATATACAAGTGTATTTGTAACGTATAGACTACTCGTATATGACATTATTATGACCACGTATATCATCCTAAACCCGTAGGCTACATATCTCAACAAATAGGTGGGTTCACGAATGAATTATCGATCGATCAATCAATACGTGAGTTCTTGGCGCGAGTGATGCGTTGTGATCCCAATTGGTGCAGCGGGAAAGTATAATCCAACCACATATGTACCCTGTCCCAGACGTCATACTTCATCCTCTATTTTCCTTTCCATATCAAACTGGATCCATATCACCAGAAAAGGGGCTTCGTTCAGCTTTCTTTCTATCCGTAAATTTTGAGCGCTACGAATTGGTAAGGGTCCGATAGGGGGTCCTAAGATTGAATTAAAGAGGCATTTTGACGCTATATTAACTGACTGGGCTGCCTATTGACTAAATGCGGTATATAAGATTTCTACTCGCGGATGACGCCGCTGGAGGATTGCGGATCGATGTTCATGGATCGACCATAACATGTCACTTATGCAAAACATGAGGCAACGTGGCTATAAATAAGCAAAAAAGGCCAGCCTTGTTACGGGAAAGAATTAGATATACGAGGGAAGAAAGAGAAGAGAACGAAAGAAGTCAGATTTTATAGAGAATGGTAAGTGAGGATTCTCACAGCCTCGCTAGGCAGACTTTTGAAAGGATAACCTATATAATGCAGTCCTACTAACATGTATTACGTTACCTAACCGCTCAACCGCCCACAACATATCAAGTCCGTAACACCTAACACCCCCCCTCCAAACCCCGTATCCTTAAGCCTCACGTATTTACCAAGCTCCCGCCAAGCTCCGCTTCTTCAACCCCTCTCCCCCGCAACAGAACCACATCATGATCGCCCGGCATTTACTCTGCTCCCCCGGTCGAGTGCAGGAATGAACCCCAGGCAAGGGTGCAACGGGCGCTAGACTACGGAGTGTGTGTGTGGTGACATTTGCACCCTACTCCGGGGCGGAACTAATTTTTTCCTTGGCGGATTGTTTAAGGCTGTTTCTCCGATATGCGTCATAGGTTGTCACTCGGTGTCTGTGCGTGTCGTGGTGGGTCTTGGCGCGGGGTGATGGCCGGTGTACGATGCAGGGAGGAGGGGTCTATGGAGAGATCTATGGTGAGGTCTATGCTAGATTTGAGGTGTTTCGCCGGTGGTTGTGGGGATCTATATAATGAGGCTCGGAGAGATGACCTGTCGTATCTCTTCACGCGGATCTAGATCTAGATCGTGGGGAAGTTGTAATTAATTATGCACTTGATGATATCATGATACTACACAGGTGTTACTCAATCAGTATTACATATTGACTTGAGAAAAAAAGCCTACTACGGGATAAGATATGCTGCATAGATGAATACGAGATCTCGGCCTAAGAGCTATATACAGTGGAACTACAATCTTGGCATTGACAGCAAAACTAAGATGTACATACTTTGAAACACTATGGACATAAGAATCAGTATGTACTGGCGGCTATGATAAGAAAGCCTGAATTAAGTGCTAAAGAAAAGGGAAGAAATTACGCCTTGGGCTTCGTAACTCTATTGCATAGGGTGGTAGGCCTATATATGTGAGTTTAAGATTTCACTATATAGATAGTACTCAGTCATAGATATTGCTATACCAGCGAAGATAATGTAGCCTTACCAAAGTTACCTCAATAATTACTGCAGGAACCGAGTTAGATGGTCTAGCGGCATAGAGAAGTTATCTTTATGCTGACCATGGCTTACGCGCAATCATTTAACCCTCATAGACATGGTGTGTTCTAGCGAAAATATTATCAAAGTCCCCCCCTTATATGAACAGCGAAAAACACAGCTTCAAGTCTAGTACCGATATCTATATCGATAGAGTGCATGCGATAAAAAACCATTTAGTGATCTGTATGCACTTTCTGGAGAATAAATCATATAAGATACATCGTTTCCAAATAGAATAAATGAATTAAAAAATATCAATATGCAACAGCGATTTTTCCAGATCGAGTGATATACCATGATCATCAACCTCGACAATAGCTTGCGTGCGGACAGATACTTGACTCAGTGCATGTTCTATCTGGAGTTTTAGATTTAAAAGCTACATACAATACATACACAAAATAAACAAAAATAAACCACTTAAACATCCCATTGCGCAGTCAACGCCTAGTACAAATTCAAAACAAACACAATTTTTAAAAAGAAAGCCCCCATCAAGGGGTTTTGGTCCGTACTCACACTATCACCGCTGTCTCTCCTACCCCACTATCTATCTCTGCTACCGGTACATCCCCGCCATTCACCCCCTTCTCCACATCTACATCTACCGCCCCCACCTCTTCCTCCTCATCCACCGTCGCCGCATCCACCCCGCTATCCCCACACCTCATCGGCGCGCCGCCGCCAAAGATCTTCCTCCCATCCTTTTCACCTCCATTGCGCCCTTCCCATACCCAGAAACTTCGTACCAGGCTCCTCAGCACTGGTAAACAGAACGCGATGGTGGCAGTCGATATCTCGGCCGTTGTCCAGACCTTGATGATCTCGATCTTGTAGATTGCGCCCTCAACATCCTGCTCCTGTCGGTAGGCACTGTATATGAACGCCCATCGTAGAACAGATGCTGTTGTGGAAGCGATGCCGACGAGGAAAACGAAGGTGAGAGCGAAGCCTTCGCGTGGTCGGAGCTGGAGTGTTTTTAGGATGAAGAGGGGGAGGCCGAGGACTAGAGAAATGTTAGTAGGTGGTTTCATTATATAGTTTTTTTATATTGGGTTTACTTACGGAGGAGGTCTGTGGCAACGTTTGTAAACGTATTTGCGGTGAGACTAGGTACGGAGCGGAAGGTGGTGCAGTTGTGGGGGCCAGAGGTCCCTATAAGGTGTTGATATGAGTATAAATATAAACAACCAACACCCCCTCAAACAGATCCTAGATTTATCTTACAGTTCGTTTTAATTGGCAGACAGTATAGCCCATGAAGGAGCATATTTGCCACATATGTCATGGCCGTGAACCCCGTCGTAAAATACAACGCCATCCGCACCCTCGTCTTGAGCGCTGGTATCAAGCGATAATACGTCGCCAGAAATGCCGACTTGATTAGCCAGAGTATCGTCACATATGCAAACCCTCCCATAAAATGCAGCTACTCTCCACACATATCAGCCTTGTTACATTTCTCTCCCCATAGCTCACTAGAAACAATAAACAGCAACATACAAAATGTCCCTTTTCCGTAATTGGCGGCGCAACCCCTCGACTGTCCTCATCGGCTCTCTCCCAAGCCAGCAGCGCAAGCCGCGTCTTAGTTGATAGTGCGATCCACGTCACAAACATTGTTGTGCTGATGATGATGCTGGTATTTGCCCAGATGTCGGAGCGCTCGATTTCGCGGCGGAGACGGCGCTGGTGCCAGAGACGTAGTCCGATGAAGATTAGGACAGCGACGCAGGAGAATATGTCGAATGCGATTCGAGAGACGATCAATGAGTCCTTCATTGTGAACTAGCTAGTTGTATGATCGGGCTTGTAATATTTCTTGATAGGAGAGCCTTGGAATCCTGCTGCGCTGCGGTAGAGAGGTTATGTATATATTTGGGCGCTGAAGTACTATAGCTACTACTGCTGCTAACTGCCCGGTTTGAACAAGAAAAGCCTACGTAGTTGGTACTTCGCTCGTGGAACGGGTATATGTATATATGATGGACTGATCTTCCGCTTCCTGGCCCATGGTACGATATCGCGGGTATGTGCTGCGGCGGGAAGTCTAAACTAAACTAAATAATCTCCGCCGTCGATCGGGGGGTGCGGACGGTTTTTATATGTAGTTTTATATTGACTCAGTTGTCTATTTTATATCCTCCCCTGTAGAACGGCGATTACAGAAGCGGTGCACCTTGTGATGTACTGTAGAAACTCGGAGTAGACAAAGTAGAGTGGAGTAGATTAGATTGCATGTGTGCGTGTATATGTATGCGTGTGTGTGTGTCCCCTTGCCTCGGTCATAGTTAAGGAGAGAGGCGGAGGGGTGTTGCGGGAGAGAGGGATCTGTAATCCTGGGGGAAGAAAGGTGAGGGCAAGAAAGTTGAGGGCAAGAGAGTGGCTATTGTGTATTCGAGAAATCTGTATGCTTCTTTCTAGAGAGTGCTGTCTGTATCTATGAATGGTGTTCTATGTTGCTGATAGGAGATTATTTTGTCCTGCAACGGCGGATCTTCGTACCGTCACTTTGTACCGTAACGGCGGATCATCTTCATATTGTAATCTTATAATTAGCACCTGAGTTATGTTAGAAGAACCACCCAGACCGAGTTAAACTCTTGATATGATCACCATGATCAATAGCCAAATACAGTTGTTCTCAAACACGAAGGACCCGGCTCGTTAAAGATTCCCTAGTTTAGAGAATAGTTGGTTATTAACCAAGAACCAACAAGGCCAACAATAAGAACCTTCCGTCACTCCCGCCCGTTACAATTCGTTAGGAGCAAGGGAGAGAGGGGAAACGATGATGGCTGAGACAGCAAGAAAAGAAGCCTTTTGAGCACAGGGCGCAATTCGGTAAATCCTTTGGTTATGCATTAAGCGCGGCGCTGGCTGCGGAGCGGATTGTGCATGAGACAGGCAGCCGAGGTTATTAATAGTGACGATAAATAGTCTTGTGCGATAAGGTATTTAGGTAGGTAAGCCCCGGGTTGGGTAGCAGGATCGGGTGCAACAGGTGGGATATGGCGATGGAGGTAATACCAGGTTTGAATTTTGATCATTGACGTCGACGTGTGTACTTGTATGAAGTACTGAGGTGGAAAGCTTAAGTAAGACAAGGGTATGGGCTAAAGCCATATTGAGAGCCACCTACTAATAATCAGTGAGCTACATATGTAGCAGGTACATAGTACAGAACCTACGGCTGAACAAGAGGTTGATACTCAGTGGCGGTCTACCTGGGGAGATGAGTAATGATTTATGTACCTAAATCCCTCTTCTCATCTCTCACTTCCCATCTCTCCCATATAAAGCATGTGAGCGTTCCTGGATATACACATCAGTGCGCATACTTAGAACCTCCAATGATTGGTAGATATTGGCGAGCTCTAAGGCACATCACCTCATGTGTAATCACACCCCACATTTTATCTCATCTCAAATTACCCATCGCATCTCACCCTTAAAACGCCTTTTCCCTTAGCTAATAACCGATCAGGGGATCCGGACAGAAAGCCTAAAAATCTCATGTCGTTAAAGCACAGTCTGAGTGTCCGTCTAAACTTGTAGCTGGAAATATTGAAAGCCTTGATTTTTTTAGGGCAGAATTCTGCCCTGTGACTCTGCTGTGATGGGCTCCAACGCGTCCCGGAAAACAATTTCGTGGAACTACCAATCATCCCATTGAATGCCTAGCACCGTGCTTGATTGGACATTCGACTATCCCCTGTCATCCGCCTCAACAACTCATGGGCATCGAGGCCTGAGTACTCTATCTACGTACGTACTTACGTACAGCGATGGGGAAAATTATTGTAGAAGTATGGTAAGAGTCCTATTGGCCAGGGCAGCCACCTTAACCCTGTTTTTAGACCCCTGTTTCTACAATAATTTTCCCCATCGCTGTACGTACGTGGGCAGATTATTACTATATATTGATGGAGATGATGATGATGCCCAGTTGGATTATTTCCATTTACGCTGGTTCTTTTTTTATTCTTTTTATTTTTCCCCAACATTGTTGGGATATTCGAACTTGTCCTGACCGGGCTCAAGGCTCTTTCTACAGAGAATGGCTCCTGAATTGCTGATTGGTCATAACCGTAAATGCTCCTGCGGAAAGTGCGGAAAAGTATAAAATTGTTTCGGGGAGTCGTGTTGTCTCAGTTGTTTTCATTACTTGTTGGGACGATGTTTCCAGTTTATTGGTCGTTTCAATTCCCTACTGGAGTAGTTGAGCCGTTATGTATGTATACAACTATGGACTTATGATATTACGAGAAATATCTCGCTGAATTTGTTTGTTATGAGCCTATGGTCCGATCGCCACAGTTGATTGGGGGTTTATATTGTCGAATTGGTAATGTATGACTCGAGACACTTTGAAGCGGCTGTGTAAAAGTTAGCATTTTAAATAACCATTGAACTGAGTAATTAAAAAAAATTAGATAACAAATCTTCGACTTGCTGCGGATATAACCTTTTGAAGTTGATATCCGTTCGACCCTCAATTATGTAGTTATCTTGAGCCACATGTAGTTTAATTACTATCAATGGTAGATCATCCGTTTTTATGGCACTGATAGATATATTTCAGCTGTATAGCGGGAAATGTACAGCTTAAAACAAATACCAAAGGTTATTTGCGAACGAGGAATACGTATTTCAGAATTGTGTAGTCCTGATACCTCTATAAACCCTAACCCTATCATGTTGAAGTTTTCAAGTCTGCGTCACTCGCTAACATTCACCACCGTCGATCGCCTTCCGAATTGATAGAACGCAACCAACATTTCCAAAATGGCTACTCCCACAGATCAAACATGCTCAGCAGAGTTCCTGCAAGAGCATGTAGAGCTTGTGGGTCTCTCCCAGATGCATCCATCGGCTTCTACCCGGCTTGAGCGTCCCCGCAGTAGTAGCTAACATGTAGTCCACCTCCCCCGCTGCAGATTTGGTCGCAGATTCGGGAGAACAGCCCAATATACCAATTTGCGTTAGAGAAGGTTGTTTATCTTTAATACTGGCCCAGCCTTGCCTTTGAATTGTGGTTCTGACGCAAGGTTTGAAAACTGTCAGATCAAGATCACCTCGGTCGAGAAGGGCACCGTGAAGGCGGGGCTACGGGTCGAGAAGAAGCACTTGAACTCAAAGGGGTTCCTGCACGGGACGGTCAGTACATGTTTGATTGACTGGATGGGGAGTATGGTGATTGCTTCTCATGGGTTGGAGAAGACGGGGTTGAGCACAGATATTCATGCAACGTATATTGCGACGGCCCAGGAGGGAGATGTGTTGTTGGTGGTGGGGCAGGCATCGAGGGTGGGCAGGAGTTTGGCGTTTTTGACGGTCAATATTTCGAAAGTCTTGCCCAGTGGAGAGACACAGATTGTGGCGACGGGGACGCATACGAAGTACATCAAGCAGTAGAGTAGGGAGAGATATTGATAGAGGATGGAGTTGACCTGAGTAGAGTTGAAGCGGGGTTAGGAGCAGAGTTTGGATTCGTTCTAGAGGTTTGCTCCCGAACGTTTGAGCATTAGTTCCGCTTCGCAGCTTCAGTATAATCAAACAGAAAATCTTTCCTTCATATCCGCAATGTGAATATCAAATTTCTCACTCTTAGGAAAGTTCCTGACTGTGTAAATTCTACAAATAAACTCAATCTTTAATTTCTTGTATATTTCCATGATAAGTCGTACATGTCATGTTAGCTACATGTACCTCCTAGCTAGCTTACATGTAATTAGTGCCACTCTAGAAGCTATCTGTTCTCAAAAGGTAGAGACACGGCAAGAGGGCATAAGTACTTTTCATCCTCTTCTTAGAGTAATTACAACCTCATTTATCTCCTGTTTCATAGGTCCCCCCGCGTTCCCACCCACTTCATTTTGCTTGGTATTGCTGGATTCAATCGTAGGGCAGGTAACAACTCCAACCCGGTTGCTTCAATCTGAGTTTTCAAATGTCTCGTGCTGATCTTCCCTTCTAGAACCCTATCTTCGTTCTGTTTGGGCCATGGAATCTACAACAAAGTACCCGCGGCAGTGGTTTCCTAAGTCTCACATCTCGCTCGCACCCCCCCCCCCCCTTCTCCCATACTCATGATCAGTATTTCTCGGGCTTGTTCCTCCCTAACCTAGGTTTCCAATCTAACCCTGGCCCTAACAACTCCTGTTTCCTCTCCATAGCCGCCGAGATTCATCTCGCGCCCTGATTCTTCTCCGAAGATCATTGAACTCGATTATCCGTAGGATGATTTAATTGCTCTGTGTAGCTTTTTGGCTGTGAGATAGGACTTGAATTTTCTGTGTCTTGCTTGATTGTCCTCAAAGGACTTGGACCCCTTGGCGATGCTCCTCGTTGTATATCATCTTGGAAAATTAGATTGGTATGGGTATTGGCCACAATTAACGAGATTGGTCTTCAGGCTTATAAGGATCTGCAGAGTGACAACTTGTGATTGAGGGACGATGTATTACGAAGCTTACTTTGCCCCTGCGCGCAAGGCAGGAAGTAGAGTCGAGAGGTTATCGTTGGTTGATCTTGCCATGCTGGGGTATGGTCAAGGAAAAAGCAAACACCACTTATCACTCGCTTTGCATTGCCGCGCCACACGACTATGCAGATTGTGTGCTTACAAGCCACTGGCCTTGATCAATTGAGCCAGTGATCATACTTGGGGTGGATGGGGGTTGGCAGGAAAAGGTCTCGATCAAGGACCAGGGTACCTCTGCTGCCACGAACCTTTATTTGTCGAAAATGTCTTTGATATCATCGCCTCCACTAAAATTACCGCGCGTGAAATTTGAACATGAGCTGGCACATCAATGCAGGAACATTGTCCACGAGATCGATACAGCGCTCTAAATTCGCAAGCATAGGAAAGAAAAGAGCTGGTCTTTACAGGTTTCATGCCAACAAAAAAAAATGTCGTTTTACTGCAACCAGGACTCGATTTGTTCAGAATGTAGCCACGTCCGGCGGGAGTGTGCCAACCACCGGTTTCCCAGCATAACGAATGAGTGACCACTTATGAACCACGATGACGAATAACCGTCGAGGAAGTTGGAGACGATGTGGAGATTTTTCCGGAAACACCCATGCGCTCCACGATCCAGTAGTTCGGTGGTTGATCAAACAAGGTTATTCCGAGCCAATCGTTCGTGCGCCATGTCTCATATGCGCGCAATGTATTTCAGATTTCACACTTTTCCTGCTTCAGCCCCCGCAACAGTAATAACGGGAGGAAAAATAAAGTTCCCAAGACCTTCAATACAGGCATGTGCAGGCATTTACGATGTGTTGAGGTTAACCACTTAGACTGCGAGGTGTGCATCTTGGCTATTTGGGGTAACCCTCCAGACGCCGGAACACAACCAATGATCTGCAAGTCGAAAACCAGGAAAAGCCTATGCTGCCTGAGCTCGAGCGTTTTCTGGCGAGCTTGTGGAACAGTTGTTCATCTTAACCCCTTCTCATCGAGTCTTCTCCTCGAGTCCTTCTCCTCCTCCTTCTTTCTGCTCTTTCCCCTCCTTTGCTATTTCCTTCCCCTCCTTCCGTCATCAACGCGGAATGAATAACCCGGTTTAAAACAATGAGACGACTCGATATATTCTTACTTCTCTTCGCAACGTCGGCCTGGGCAGCGGAGCTGCTAGTTTTCAACGATTCAACAGGGCTCCCCGAATGCGCCTCCCAATGTTCAACTCTTACTACTGCGGAAGCCGATTGTGCCGCAGATACGGGGTCAGAGCAATTAAAATGCTTCTGTGGCATTAGCTCGATACTTTGGAATCATCAACACTGGGATGGGTGCAATGATGCTTGTGCGGATGGGGCGGACAGGGAGAGGGTTGATGATTGGATGGAAGAGATCTGTGGAGGTGAAGATATTGAAGACGATTGGGTGGGTGATGGGAATATTACGGACCCGCATTCAATCATAGGCGATATCAGTCCAAGTGATATTGAAAGTGACTCTGCAGAGAAAGCTGCTGCTCATGACTCTAGAGTTCGACAATGGTAAGCTTTCACATTCTCTTCCTCACCTTTCAACTGGACAGCTTTTAACAAAAAAAAAAAAATAGGTGGCATCGAAACTACCCGTTCTTTATCCTTGCCTTCCTCATGATCACCATTCCGATCCTCTGCTATGGTATAGCAATCCCGATGAGGAGATGGGCCAAACGTCAATTAAACCCTCGACCAGATGACAGCATGGAGGATATCACACCCTACAAGTCTATATTTGCCTCTACAGGTTCTAGACATAGCCAAGCACCCTTTATCACTACAACAATAAATGGAGAACATATAATTACTATCCCTCAGGAGCAAGTTCTAGTTGCAGAACCTCCTCCGAGTACGGCCGATATCGAAGCCAGCGTTCGACAAGACAGCTGGGAAGCAAGGGTGAGAGACCAATTCGAAACGAAAGAGTCTAAATCTCTTAAGGAAAGATTGCTGTTTTGGAAAAAATAAATTTGGGGACCTCGCGGTCATGGGTACTATATTATTACATTGGATAACGGAGGAGTTCTTTTTATTTTTATTTCATTTGAATCTGGTGTTCTTTTTTTCTTTTTTTTTTGGGTGGGGGGTTTTCTTATTGCTATTTTTTCTTTCTTTTTTTTCTCTATCTAATGACTGCCTGCCCTTCCTTTCTTGCTTTGGCGTACTTGTATCCTAATAGGATGAGACTGGCAATTGGGGCTTATGATGAATTTGTTTATCGATCCTTTGTATTTATATTTCTGACACGATTTTAATGACTGTGTTCTCGATTTGACATTTATATTGTCACCCCTTTTTTGCTCTTTTTCGAGACTATGCTGATAAACTCCAATTCTTTGTTTTCCGACAATTCTGTCAGACATGTCTTGCCCGCGCCGCATTGCAATGTTCACTATTAATCTACATGTGTTTCCTGTTTTAAGTGCTGATACGTATTCGTACGTATGTTTCTTTGCAACTTAATTACTCCAGTTATCCAGTTAATAAATCCCATTCTAAATTACATCTATCAATAACCTACCGAGGCAATATCTAGTCAGAGTAAATTGTAAAATTATACTTCATGCACTCTTCCTGAAGATTTGCCTCCCTGCAGTGTCCCTTGCGTTAAGCCGGTACAACTATAGTCACCGTGCAGAAAACATAGATCAAAGCGATGATGTAAGCTATTGCTGATGCTACTAGCCGTTCTACGGCCTTGGCCGGTGGCGGAATCATGAAGTTGCACTCGCTTGTGTAATACCGGCACAGCGCACTTAAATCTCCGGAAGTAGTAATCCTAGGTTTGTACTCGAGGGAACGATAAATTTATGCATTGATAATATCTGTTTAATTAAGAATATGCATTCTCGGGAAATCTGAAAGCCTTTATTTAACTATACGAAGCACTGTCTACATGGTGTTTAGACGGCAAGACTTATTCACATGGCTCATAGCCCGCAATCAACACAGCCAACTAAGAGCACTTTCCGCTCTGTACACAATCTCTGTACGCAGCGGCCAGTAGAACTGCAAACGAATTTCCCTCCGGTGAACCTGTGTACACCGGGTTTCTATCACCCCACCACAGCGGATTGATAGCGGGACCAAGTATTCCATTGGTGTCGACACAGGTGGCGATCGTTGCGCGCCCGGCGTCGGCCCATTTGCGGTACTTGCTTCCAAAGGTTTTGCTGTCAAGGACGTGCATTCGGTAGGCTACTGCTGTGAGGATTGCGGTACCGGACACTTCGCCGAACCAGCTGGCGTCCGTAAGGTAGTTTCTTAGGAGCCCATTTTCAGTCTAAATGGTGGTATTAGCTTTTTTCCCCATGGGTGGATTAAGAGTTGTGTTCATAATAACATACCAAACCTACTGTCATTACTGCATCCAATATTTCTTTGATCTCCTGCTTCAACTCTGCAATCTCACTTGTCCACCCTTTCGAGATGGGTGCTTTCATCACCGTTGCCAGCACTCTGGTCATCCCAGCAGCAGCCCACCCATTCCCGGTAGACCACGATCCATTATCGGCAGACTGCGGGCCGATAATGTGAGTCCAGAGTCCATCTGGCTTCACCAAAACCTCCCTGTAGAGCTTGGCCTGGCGTACAGACTCTTTGAGGAGAGTGGCGTTGTTAGTTGCCACGGCGTAGTATGCTATAAATGGAGGAGCCATATAGACGAAATCAGCCCTAGGATTTGTTAGAGACGGATATCTTATTGTATGAAGAAGGCGGTTTGAGAAATACCATAGTTCTGCGACATCTTCCCGGTGGCTAATTGCGCCATTGGGCCATCGGGGTGCGGTGTTGAGAAGATAGTTGATCTCGCGCGCGGAAGCGTCCATATACGCTGGATCTGTCTGCCCAATGAGGACCGCAAACGCACCCAGGGACGCTGAATCACCCACAGCACCTACAAATAACGCCAA